CGGGGCCGAAAAAATTGGTTTTTTCTCGAATTCCCCCTCGCCCGGCACATGCACTTTCCCCGTTCGCCCTTGCCCGCCTCTTTTTGAGCTTTTTCTCTAGATACTCGCTTCCGTGTTCGCCCGCTTTTTCAACCCTACGCCCCCTTTTTTATCTCGCACTTCTCCACTGGGTGCCCGGGTTTCTCGACGAGTTGGGGTGGGGCTTGGCGCGGGGCCAACGGGGAATTTTTCCCTCCTCCCCCTCTCTCTCTCGGTTGCTCTATCCCAATGGGCCCCCCACACTGCTCGCTCCCGTTTTTTCGGGTGGCTGGCTGCTTCTCGAGTCCGCTCGCTTTTGGCCGGGCGAACGTGTGACCCGGCTGGTCGGGTGGTGTGTTTTAGTCCAGCACTTTTGCCGTTCCGTTTTTGGTCGTTTTTGGTCAAGGTGATTTTGCGGCTGGAGTGAAACTTGATCGTTTCCACTCTCACTCTCTCTCTCTCTCTCTCTCTCTCTTTCTCGCTCTCTCTCAGCATACTTACCTAGCAATTAGGCATTTTTCTGGGAGTTTGCGTTTTCAAGGCATCGTTATAGTCGTCATCGTTTTAACGATCTCGCTCTGTCTCTGTCTAGCTCTCGCTCACTCTCTCTCTCTCTCTCTCTTTCTCTCTCCCTCTCTCTCTTTCTCTCTCCCTCTCTCTTTCTCTCTCTCTCTCTTGCTCTCCCTCGCTCACGTTCTCGCTCTCTTCCCTTTTTCTCTAGCTTGCACAGTTCCTTTAAAAGCTCGGTCAGCTAAGAGGGTATTTAGCTCCTCTCTCTCGGTCTCGCTCTCTCTCTCTCTCTCTCTCTCTCTCTCTCTCTCCTATTTCTCTATCACCCCCGCAAAACACATCCACTTGTTTTTCCTACGGTAATTAGTTTCCCTGTTACGTTCCAATCCAAACTAGAGCAGGTGATTTGCCCCTCCCTACCCAACATTAATCATCCTTTCAGAGAACACCCCATTTTTCTATAGACTAACCCGTAAATTGAACTCTAATTGCGTGGTAGTATCCGGGAACACCCCGATTTTTGGTGCCCCAGCCATATAAAAACGGGTGTTCTCGAGTAGGAGTGCGCGTGCAGTTTCCTTATGACATTTGGGGGTTGTGGATCAGGTTGGTGGCGGCCGAAAAATGGCAGTAGTTCCGGCTTATGGGTTGGGGAATTTGAGACGATTCAATAGGTTTTTCGCGGAGGAGCGGTGTGATGTCTTTAATACGTCAAACAGGAGGAGACGGAAGTATCAAAAAGTCGAAAAATTAAGCAGGGTTTTTAGAAAAAGCAAAGTTTAACGGTGTGCCAAGAAATTTGACTTAGTTGCCAGAGGGTAAATTTTTTTGGGACGTCCCTGGTTCCCAAACATTCTCCGCTAGCCTGTCGCCTCAGGAAATGAAACAACTGGACTTTTTCAAAGGGTTTTTTGGGATATGTATCGTTAATGCGTCAACCGGAAGCAGTACCAGAAACAAGAGCCTTGCCGTTAAGTTTCTGATATATTACAATTTCGTGTTATACAAATTGATCCGGCCACAGTCACTAACTAATTTTTCTAAATTATCTTTTTTTTCCGAAGAACCCCTGCTATGGCCCTTGGACTCCACGTTCGGTGAACCATTTTCATGAAATCCCTATCCGATCCTCCTGACTAACTAATCTTTCCCAGATCCGACCCCCACCCTCCACATCCCGATCACCACTACAATACCTTCCTCAAAAACACCCATAAATCGCAGGCCCTCCCTTCACTCATTTTCGATTCGAGCACCAGCCGTGTCGGTTGGTTGGGGCCTTTCACTTTCTGTCACACTTTCCGTTGCGCTACTCTTTTGCGTGTGGCTGTTGGGCTGTGCAACTCGTTCGGTGCGTGTGTGTGTGTGTGAGCGGCTAGTCCGGTCTAACTCTGCCCCCGCGATCGACAGGAGCACCGACAAAAACAAGTCACTGGTAGTAGTAACGTGGCGGAATCGGGGGAAATCCCCTACATCTCTTTCTGTCTCTCACCCCTCTCTCTCTCTCTCTCTGTCTTTCTCTCTCTCCCTCGCAGATCCTTGCCATGTTTGCTATATTTTTCAACGGTCCAGAATTATCTAGGATTTCGAATAGATGTTTTTAATGGTATTTGGTAGTTGAAAGTCGAAACCAGGCACCTCATTTTAGTCATTATTCAAATTTGGCTAATTTATAGAGATTTTCTATGCCATTACTGCCTCAAAATTCCTTAAATATGCATGAATACTCGTTAAATTTTGACGTACCAAGCCCTTTAAAAATTTTTTTGGTTTTTTGAACGAGTTTGAAGCTTTAAAATTTGCTTCTCTGGCCATTTCCCGGTCGTTTTTTGCACGAAAAATCGTATAGCCAGCCGACAAAAACCCATCTAGCTTGTACTTTATTAAAGGACACGCTAAAATACCCCCAATTTCCGCCACCCTCAGTTACCCCTACCCGCCTCAATTTCGGCGAGTAAATCCAAACTTACCGTATCCCCCACCCACATTTTCTTCCTACCATTTCATTATTATAACGTGACCCATCTTACCGTACCTATCACGTAGAGTCGCGATTTTTCGGCGGTCAAAAACAAGTTGGCCCGACCTAACCCCATCCCTCAGCCGATCCCACTTTAGTCACCCGAACACGTGATGTTTTGTGAAAAGGGGGAGCACATTTTAGAATCTAAAGGGAACTCCCGGGGTGTCCTCGCGCGGAGTGTTGCGTAACCCCGTTCGTCTGGAGCTGAAAAAAGGGGGCGGGGCTTGGATCGCGGCCAAGTCTCCGGAAAACACGTGCCGACGGCTGGCTGTGATGTATTCAGGTTTCCGCCTAGCGATTAGAGGGTGTGGTTTAGTGCGCCGGGGGGGGGGGGTCTGGCGGAGTGCCACGGAACGGCAATTATTTTCTCTTTTGCCTGGGGTACGAAATATGGGCTACGGTAGTATAGGGAAAGGGTGATTCCGCTTAAAAGCTCAGAAAGGAGCGCGTGTCCCCGGGGCGCATGCTTGAAATTTGGGTAGATAATTGGTTATTATCGGGGTTGGCACGGGGCCAAGGGCAATTTTTTGGACGGTTAGTCATTTTAATGAAATTTTTAATGAAAGAACGTTTAAACATATATTTTGTATTTAGGCAATTTTGACTATTTAGAGTTGTTGAAAAATCTTAGAACATGTTTTACGAGCTTCCAAATGTGCTTTTAATTAGATTTAAACGATTCAGAACCGCAAAATTCTGATTCTCTTCTGCCTCTCCATCGTTTGTGAAAATATGTAAATTACCTTTCATTATGTTTAAGGAGCATTCTACAGTTCGCTTTGAAGAATATTCCTAGCCCCTTTAAAGTCCCTTAGAAAATTCAAATTATTCAACTCGCCTTCTCAGACACTTTTGATCCCAAAACGCTGACTTCTAGTAGCACCTGACTAATCTCAGACGCGCCGTACCTCACGCCCCGAACTTTCCATATCCCTCCAATTGACGCAAAAAGCGGCCACCTACAAATAATAGGGGACCACCACAAAGTGCAACGCGTTCGCCCCGGACCCACTAGTCCTATTGTTAATTTTTTGCCCCTTCTTTTTCCCTTTTTTCCGCTCCAGGGCTCAGACGTCGGTCGGGATCATTTCGTAATGATCCGCCGCGGTGTGAGAATGTGAACGGCAGCCCGGGCGCTTTTCGATGAATTCGCCTCAGATTATCAGCCCCGGGCCGCACGTGCCTATCTTTTTGTGGCTACTACCGCCTCTCCTCCTTCGCGCCGAGCTGCCCTTTTGTAGTTGGGGCATCAAAAACGAACCCCCCGGGCTTCATATACCCTAATTGACACCTCATTTCCTGGCATTTCCAACGAAGTTTCCGGACGTACGCCCGTTTTGAACGTTACGTTTTGTACTCTACAGTAATCTGGAGATGTTCGCAGGCTCGGATGGTGGTAGAGAAATTGTTTCGTTGCGTTTAGAAGTATTTAAGTCCAATTTTAATGTTTTATTTGGCAAAAATCCCGTTGGATTCCGACTGATTCCGACTTCCGGTACTTTTAACGTTGCATTTGATACTTTTAGTTGATTTTAAGCATTGTAAAAGTTTGAATTATATCATACGAATTCTTTAAGTGGGATCACACCTTAATATTTTGGTTTTCTAGGCGTCTTAAAGGGATGCCCAACCTTTTTCGGGGCTCAAAAAGCAAAAACCATGCCGCGGGCGGGGGTCGAACCCGGGACCCCCCGTTTTGGAGGCCAGGATGCTATCCATTAGGCCATAGTGGCAAGCCATTGGGTGGGATGGTGCCGCCACAAGAGGGAAAGGTGTCCGAATTTTGTGCGGCACTGGCGCCTCATTGCCACACAAAATTCCCGCGTCATTTGTATTGCCCGGAATACATAACTATGTATTTGCCACCAAAACCTTGGGTATCCCTTTAATGCTGTTTTTGAGTTAAATTTTGTTAGATCCCGCTTTTCCGTTCGAATCCTCCTTCCGCATTAAATCTTCGCCTCAGACACCCATTTTCGTTGAAAGCATTCATTGACTAACGTATTTAATGCCCGCCAATTTAATCCCCACAGTGTGCACTTTCATCTGCTGTCCATAATCCCGCCCCCAGCCATTTCCCCCGGAACGCGCAAACATTTTTTGGTGAGAGTTTGAACTCGTCTGGGGGCTGTCTGGTCGGTGTACATTTGGATTTCTAAAATTTGCTCTGATTACAGTATTTCGTGACCAATTTTGCATTAAATTTGTAGCTAGATGTACTGCTTCAACTAGGTGTCTAACCCTTGAAATTGACGCGATGTCCACTGGCCTGTTTTCCAGCTGTACTGCTCCAAGTCGATATCGCACCATGGCACTTGACGCGTCTAACCGCCCCTTGAATTTGTGTATAAAATTTTTTTGTGCCTTTCCATTCGGTTTTACGCCCTTCTTACCGTACCCTCCGCTCCTCCAGATTCTCCCCTCCACTACCTCAAGCCCGTGGGCCGGCATGGTGCGCAGCCTGGAAGTGCCCACGCCGGCCAATCTGGCGTTTGGCCAGCCGCCCGGCGGGTTGAGCATGTTCTCGTCCGCGGCCAACCCGCTTGCCCACCTCCTTCAACAACCCTCGTCACTTTTATTCCCCGTTGAGCAGAAACCGGCCACCGGTTTTGAGCACTCCGTCACGTCGCCGTTTGTGTAAGTATTGTAGGAAAAAAGAGCCAAAAAATTAATGGGTAGAGCTGTCAAAAACCGTGGAAAAGCATGGAACGTCTTGAACTTGACGTCGTTTACTTATCCTAACTTTCAGGGAATTCCAAGATTTGCGGCAGCAGGTGATCAGCTGGCTATGGCTCAGTAAGAACTTGAACGGTGCGGCGGAACCAACGACTTCAAGTGAGTGGTAGAATCAACGAGAGAGAGAGAGAGAGAGAGAGAGAGAGCGAGAGATATATTGGAATAGCTTCTAAGCTAATTTTTCAGCCCCCTCCATCCCAACATCTCTGGGGCTCCCGGGCGGTGACGCTCTTAGCGCACTTGCCGGGCTCCCCGCCCAGCTGGTGCAGTCCCGGAAACGGCCGGCCTCAAATCAACAGCCAGAGTGCCCGGTGGCACTACGACCAGTACCAACTTGTGAGTTATACTAATTTGCATACGATTTTCTGAGTTTTTAAGCCTATCTTGAACTTTTTTAGCCTTGAAAAGCTATCTAAATCATAAAACTATAAAAATTGCGTTAAGCTACCTTTTATGCAAATTTCAACGTGCCATGACGCATATGCTCGGCTTGGTCATTCCCGCTCAGCACTACCACCCAAAAAAGTGGCCCCGGAAATTTCCCTTTTCCATTTTTTGCCTTTTTTTGCAAAAACGAACACGACCCGCCCCTCAATCCCCCCAATTCGACCCGCTCTCGAAAACACAAAATTTTAATCCGCTGTTCGCCGTCGAATTCGGCACGTGTACCACGAAACTAGTGATCACCCAAACTAACGTGCACTTTGCTGGTCGGATGCCTGAAAAGTACCGGGGGTAATAGGCCAAATTTGGCCAGTGGATGTTGCTCAGTTTTTCGCGTAACGAACCCTCTTTGCCGTCACGTTGTAGGGGGTAATTTGGACTCTGTCTGGCTACACCGTTTGGCTGGGGGCCAAGAAAACACATTCGATTACGGTAGGGAATTCGTTAGGGGATGGCTGGAGTTTTTCATAGGGAAAGGCACTGGAATAAAAGGATCAAGCCCATTGGAGGTTGGGTTAAAAAAGACCAGTAAGCACCAGAATCGACCCCTCAACGGACTAGGTCTAGACAAGTACGCACCATGTCGAAAGACGGTTGACGGAGTTTCGCTTGTCTCGTTTCTTAATGCGAACATGCCAGATATGGTGAGCAAACCAAGCGATTTTGGCGTACGCGTAGTTGTGGGGGCCTAGTTCCAGGCAAATCGTCGACTTTTACGCTGCCAGGTCCCTTTAAATGAGTTGAAAAATGAAGATTTTGGTTAACCGCCAAAGGAACCTCAAATTTTATGTTAAAATTCGATTCGAAATTTTTTGCAACCCGTTTTTTTCAGGCTTCCCATCGAACTGCTTCCCGAACATGCAGAGCCCATTCCCGTGGTCCCTGCTCACCCAACGGCCACCATCCCCGACCCTAGCCGGCCCGCCCCAGCAACAGGAGCAGCAGCAGGAGAACGGCAAGTGGAGCTCCCCGTCGAGCGTCGAGTCGAACGGCCACAAGACGGACAGCAGCACCGGTGAGTTTTGCTACTGAAGCTTGAAAATCAAAATTCGAAGACGGGAGTTACTGTCTTTCTAGTTAGCGACAACACAAATTACCATAAGCTTTTTGCGACATTTCTGCAAATTTATTTACTGGCTGTGCGCTGGTCTTTTAGGCACCAATTAGCCCGTAAATTGCCCGGCGCCAGTCAGACGGACACGTGAACCTACCTCATCAGTTTCCTTTTCCAAAAATGGGCGACAGAAAGAGCGAGAGAGAGAGAGGAGAGAGAGAGAGAGAGAGAGAGAGAGAGAGAGAGAGAGAGAGAGAGAGAGAGAAGGACTCGAAAACGGAACGGCTGTATCGCCCCAGCGCTCGCCACCCGTCCTTTGCACTATGATTCGGCGCCACAGGGAGTAGAGATATCAGGGGATCCCGAGAAAAAAAGCGAGGGACGAACGATTGTAAATTTGGCCGACACCGAGGACTCGACGTTTCCACGTCAATCCGAAACAACGGTTTTTGGAAAGTCGGGAAAGAAACGGTCTTGTACAGCGTTGGAATGCGAAACTGAAATTATGTGATTTTAGAGGATGTGAAAAACTATCAATTTTTAACGCGAAAAATGATACATAAACTTCCTATTAACGCGTGAAAAGGCCTTACAAGGGAACCTCGCGGAGACATGGTGGAATTTCGGAAAACGCTCGCGGCTACCCCCGGGTAATCGACCATTGCGATCACGATGCGCTTGTCAGATTTTTCTAAATAGACCTGTGGACAGAGATACAGCACTTCCGGAAAATGCTGATTTACATGCAAAAAATTTGCATAGGAGGATGGTTTATGAGGCTCTCCCATCACTATGGAATCAGCAGTTGAATGGCCGAGTGGTTAAGGGACTCGCTTGATAGGATTCTGACCAGGGTTCGAATCCGCTTACGATTTTTTGTTCTTGCTTTTTGGACAAAAATTTTTGTACAAGTCCAAAACCATACGTGCTAAAGTACTTCTAAATTTTATGACAGTGGTCGACGTTACGTGGTCAGAAAATTATTCTTGTAAAATTTTTTTCATTTTTTTTGCAGATGGTCAGGTGTAGGAACTCTAGCCGGCAGAACTGCTTTCATTTTTCGATTTTTTCGATTTGGCTAAACATTAGGGATTTCGGGCTATTACTAGTAACATTCTGGATTTGTACAAAAATCACTGGCCAAAAAGCAAAAACATAAAATCGTGAGCGGATTCGAACCCTCGTCAGAATCCTGTCAAGCGAGTCCCTTACCACTCGGCCATTCAACTGGTGATTCCATAGTGATGGGAGAGCCTCATAAACCATCCTTCTATGCAAATTTTTTGCATGTAAATCAGCATTTTCCGGAAGTGCTGTATCTCTGTCCACAGGTCTATTTAGAAAAATCTGACAAGCGCATCGTGATCGCAATGGTCGATTACCCGGGGGTAGCCGCGAGCGTTTTCCGAAATTCCACCATGGTCTCCGTGAGGTTCCCTTGTTAGAATCGGTTATATATTAAAATTATATATTAACACTCCGTTTTTCCATAACTTTGCATAAAACATGTTTTTCATCGAGCGCAACGGGTTTTCCACCTAAATTTCACGCATATCCGCAATAATGACGGATTACAAGTTCCCTAGGCGTCCGACAACTTTTTAATTATCCCAGAAAAACCCCCGGGAGGTACCTCGAAAAAGCCGAGGGTTGGCTATAATCCCGAGAGGGAAGAACCGGCGGGAAATTAGTCGGATTTTGCGGCGTTTTTTTTGAAGCAACCCTTGGATCCCCAGCAGGCCGCATTTGGCTACCAAATTGTAATTTTGACGGTTGCGGAATCGCTCTAACTGGCTAGCTAATTATGGATATTCCATCCGGAAGCGCTAGGGACGAATATTGGTACTACGTGCCGGAGTACGGCTGGTGTTACTGTAGGGATTTTTACGCTTAAATTGTAATATTGGAGCGCTTGCAAGTAATATATTACGCTGGGTATCTAATGTTAAAATTCCCCTTAAAAGTAGATAAATAATAAAAGAGAATATCATACGTTTGAAAAATCATAAATGACATTTTTCAAAAATTGTTTTACCTGCTTTTTTTTCTAAATCTTTTTGTTTTCTTGATGCCAAAATTTCCCTACATTCTCTTTCCTTATTTCTTCACCTTAAGAACAGCTTATCGCGACCCAGAAGAAATCTCTAAGGTTCCGGCCCGTTCGCCACAAACAAAAGCCGACCCGAAAAAAACGTCGTAGTGGCCCCCTATCCCGCTCAAAACCCACGTTCTTAAAAGCTGGAAAATCCCGATGACGGCCCAAATGCAAATCCCCAGAGCAATTTTCACGTTGCCTTTCCCCGCAAATCCGTTAAGACCCGTCGGGGGCGCACTGAAAAACGCCTGCTTACCAATAATCCCCTGTAAGCCCGGGAAAATTAGGCTGATTTTTTTGTAAAGGGGTATATCCAGAGGGTTCTCCGGGGAGCTGGGCAGGGCATTTTGCATCTGGGATTTTTGCGCTTGAAGACGTTCCCCGTTGCCTTGTAACGTCGATGGGGTCTTCGAGAGGTTCTCACGAAGACTACTGGTACTATGTGCCGGAAGAGGGATGGTGCTGCTGTAAGAGAAATATTAAATTAATGCCTATCGTTTTGGCAGCCAACGATTATTATTCTTAGATACCTTAAAGTGGTTAGCAAGAAAAATTTTTAGTTGTTCGCTATATGGTTTATGAGCTTGATCGAGCACTCATTCCGCCTTACAAGCGTATCGTTAATGTGTCATTGTAATTTACATAAGCTAAACTATGATACGAACTACAGAAATATGAGCCATTTCTTAAGAAAAATCAACCTAGCAGCCTCAAAATACAGCCCATGTCAACTCGAACTTTACAGCCGAATCCAACCAAATCGACCCGGTTGGCATCGACGCTTCCGAGGCGTCGTCGACGTCGTCCACCTCGACGCAGGCGATGATGCAGTCTCCAGTCCAGGCTCCGTCCGCGCAACCGGCCTTTTCGTTCGCCCCCAAGGACCTGCAGAACAAGTAAGAAATTGCATAATTTTGAAGGTGGAGCAGATCTTGAGAAGCTGTAGTTTATAGCTGCGTTCACCCAAAATGACCCACAAATCAAGCCATCAAAATTCCAAGTTTTTGCCCGTCCATCCCGCCTGGACTTCCCCTCACCGCAAATAGGTCGCTAGCGATTTTTTTTCGGGGGTTTGAGGGGTGAGAAATGAGCTAGGCCAGGAGAACGGGAGCGTCCAGTGGACGGTTTTGCCCAAGATCGACGAGATACGGGATCTCTCTGTTTTGGTAGCAATTAGCAGGGAAGGGTGAGGGGCGTAAAGAAAAAGGACAAGTTTTCACCCCTAAAAATGATCCTATTACGGTCTGTCTTGTTTTGAAACTTTTTAAAGGGGTTGACAATGCAGGGCAATCGTTTTTTTGGCTACGAACACGGCAAAAATTCAATCGTAACGATACGCAATGTGACGTTTTGCTTTGTGATTACAACACTTTAATGGTGGTTACACGTTTCGTGTCGCTACGACGGCAAAAATTAGCAGAAATTTATTGCCAAAAAATCCATTGCACTGACTTGCCAACCCCTTTAATCCCACCGAGCCTCACCGGGTGATTCCCGGTTCCCAGAGCCCTCAGCTTCGTTCCGGTTGCTCAAAATGTCAGCGTGGTACCCGATCCCACCCGATTAAAAGTACACACCACCTAATCATCTCTGGGAACTTTTACCGTGATTCATGCTAGTAATTTGGCGCATTGTTTGGCCAATGGCAGCTCTCGGGGCCCGCCATAATTTAATTATCTCGGGGTTTTTCGGTTCCTGATTTCGACGCGGGGGTCTCATGACGGGGGATGTGTGGGCCCCGACCCCTAGGGTCCCACGGGGACGGCTGGAAAAAGGGACTAGGAAAAGGGAAGGGACGGCCGAACCTTAGGGTTTGGCATTCAAGGGGTTGGGAAGTATCGTGGCATCCATTAATGTGGTCTCGATAGGAAGATTTTGGCTCGGGAGATCCGTTACGGGGAGAGTTACACCATCATTCTCGACAACCTTAAGCGAATAAATCCCTGACCCTGACGACTTCACGGGTCTTTTCAAGGGAGTGCGACACCTAGCGTTGCTACTGTCTATGGCAACTGGAACTGGCCAGATGTCGATTGGTTCCGATAGCTGTTACGGGTAGTCACCATCCCTTTAATACCTCATCCTCGAGCTTCTTGCCTCGCATGTCGCCCCCATTCCCATCATCACGCGTTGCGCCTGGGCCCCGACCCCTAGGTCTCGGCGCTGGCCTCGCGTGTGTGTGGAACGCCCCGAATCAATGAGACCGCCCGAGATAGCGAGCGCGAGGGCGCGAGAGAGAGCGAGAATGCATTCTTGCACACGCAGCGCACACATTCGCGTGGTCTATGGAAAAAGGGCACGGGGAAAAACGTTGAAAAGAGACGGAAAAACCGGGCGAACCCCGGGCTGGGGGAGGGGGACGCTGATTGGCGAGAGCCGAGGAGAGGCCCCCCACGTCGCGTTCTCGGGGCTAAAAAACGGGTGCATGGGGGCCTAAAAAAGAGGGATTTTTCCGGCTGGCTTGAGCATGGTGGTCTCCCGGAATCGGGGGATCGGAATGGAAATGGGAAATTGGAGAGCTGGTGTCTGGCATTTTGGAACTGTGGTCGGAGAGGTTGGATATATGATATGGGATGTTAGGAGCGTTCGGGGCAAGTTAGCAGAGATTTTTGGAGAAGTCTTACTTTTTTAGACGCGGCGCAATAGCTGATATCAGGCCTTGGATGGTCATTTAGCAAAGATTCCTTATGAATTTTGATGATTTTAATGAAGTTCGATGAGTTAAAAGGTTTTTGATACATTTATCCAGGCCCCTAGATGCATTCAGGCAAACGAGCAGAGATCTTCGAGGAAAGAAAACCTTTTGAGCCGTTAGGCTTCGTCTCGAAGCCCGTTTGGGCCCCAGCTGAAGTTTAAATCAAGATGGAACTCCGATGCGCTTAAGCTAAACCTAAGTCGAAGTCTGAACCTAAGCGTAGGCTAAGAACGAGCCGGAGATTCTGCCCTTTTCACAACACGCTAACTAGCATCGATCCCTAATTCTCACCCATTATCACCCGCTTGCGGCCTTTTGAACTTAAAATCCTCCTCCTCCCCCTTCCTCCGTTCAGCCATAAGCCTAAAACCCCAAGTGCCCCGAGAGCGGCGAGTTCGACTTGTTTACCTCAAAATGTCTCGTTCCCCATCCGTGGCCTGGCCGGGGCCGACTCTCGAATGTTCGGGGCGCCCAGGCGGAAAAAGGGGAACAGAAAAAGAGGGCGGGTCTAGTGAGTTTTTCAGCCCTTTCCGCTTTTCCACATGCCCTCCTCTCTTCGTGGCTAGCACTTTCTGGGTCCCCCTCACCACATAGAGTTCGGGGGTTCCGCCCCATTGATCGGGCGGGAGCGAGTCCCGGCGAGAAAAACTCGAACCGGGGGATGCGAAAAAGCAATGTGGAATATTTTGGGGGACCCCGACGACGACGAGCCAGTTCTCGGGAAGACGTCCTGAAAGAAGGGGCAGAATTGAGGAAGTAGAATTCCGAAGGACACCAAAAAACACACACACCGCAACACACGCGGACACGCATGTCAGAAACGGAAAAACATGTACCGGGAACCTAATTGGAACGCTTCAGGGGGATGGGAAGGGGATTTTTGATGAGGGCAAAGTGGGCTCTGGGGTGAGTAGTACAGATGCCAGAAAAATTAGCAACCTGGGTTTTAAAGGGACTAGGAAACGCCAGAATCTACCGCTTTTGCCTAGGTGTCGACAACTCCGAGGGAGGCCAAGTAACACCTTCTCGCTCTTTTTAATTACAGACTGAGCTTCGTTTTTTTTCAGCTTCGGCCTCCTCTTCGCCAACGGTGACGGCAAGTCCCCATTCTACGCGCTGCCGAAGACGAACATCCCCGTGGCGGCCACACTACCGATGAGCGGCCAGAGCACCTGTGAACGCCGCCAGCGCAAGCAGATCTCCGACGACTTCGTCAAGCTCATCCAGCAGTACGAGCTGAGCGGGAAGAATGTGCAGGAGTGCGATATCCCGGTCCCCGAGGCTGTCAGATGTGATCCAAGTGAGTTCAAACCAACAAGGATTTCTAAAAACGCGCATGATAAAATTGTGATACCTTAGAGGATAGCTTGGAAATCCTAGGGTAAATTACAGGACGTCTAGAAAACACAGAATAAACTAAAAAGCTAATCCACCTTAAACTGGACCTCAAACACGGACCTTTTCCAGGCTTCCGCGCAGTGTCCGAGTCCCAGATCGTCAACCAGGTTACCTCGTCGAAACGCTTTGACGAGATGGACCTCGGCGAGTGCATGTCCAACCTGTGCAAAAAGCTCGCCGAGAAGCGCGTTTTTGGCTCGAAGCTGATGTCCCAGACGACAGTCGCCGGCCCGAACCACTCCAACTACAACAATCTGCCGATCGAGGGGATCGTTTACATCAAGGGTAGGTTTTGGAAGCTGTAAAAAGTGCATAGTACTGGCTGGGAATCTGAACCGTACTTATATCAACTGTTTTAGATGTTTGCCGTCGTACGTTTGGAGACAAGGTGACTTCGGACGTCGAATTCTGGGAGCACTTCAGGAATGCGATGAGGAAGCTGGCTGCAAGGTATGTTAGAGAGCGAGAGAGAGAGAGACAGAGAGACAGAGAGAGAGAGACAGAGAGCTAGAGAGAGAAAGAGGGAAACAAAGATTCCGGCTTCTGGAGATCCACACGATACCTTTCCAGATGCCGTCGCGTGCGACATGCCAAAAAAACCAAGTCGATCCGCGAGGAGGCCATCCAACTGGCCAACTCCCAGAGCCGACTGGCCGCTGAGACCGTCAGCCAGCAGCCGTCGTACCCGTTTTTGGCTGCCGCTGTGGCTGTTAGCAGTAAGTTTTCCGGATCAGCGTCGTTTTGCTCAATTTTTAGTAGTATTTTTTTAGTATTTTAGTAGTAGTAGCCAATCCCAATCCCCCCTTTTTCAGCCGCTCTCGGAAACAACCTCCTCGTCAAACAGGACACCGACGAGCAGAAGAACGAGGCCGCCGAGGCCTTGGCTTCGCTGAACGGCAGCGTCAACCTCAGCTCACTCGGGATCAACGTCTCCCTCGCCGGGCTCTCCTCGTTCCAAAACGCCGAGAATCAGTCGGCGGCCCTCGCCCGTCTGTTCCTACCCGACCTGGCCGCGCAGCCCGCTTTCAAGCAAGAGGAGATCAAGCCGTGGCCCCAAAAGGAGGAGGGGATCTAGGGCGTTTTATAGGATGGACCGGGTAGAATGATAAAAACGGAAGTTTTTCTTCAGAAGACGACTTCTAGCAGTTCAATTTTTATCGTCTCCAACCTGGTCCATTCTACCCGACGACCCAACTACCGTACCCCGCGCTTTCAAAAAGCCCTCTCAGCCACCAGTACCGTCTAGGCACTCGCTCTTCAGCTAGCCCCCGCCTGCCCGCAAATCTTTCAAACCCGAGAAAGCGACAAAATTCGCTTCCGCTTCCGCGCCCCGCCATTTTGATGGCTCAACCTATTCGATTTTTTGCCCCAAATGTATATCCGATTTTTGCTTGCTGATCCGTTTTCTTTGTAGTTTGTAGTGTCGCGGAATTTGGAAGGTATCGGATTGGCCTGAGCTTGGACTTAGGCTTAGGCTTAGGCTTAGGTTTAGGCTTAGGCTTACAAGGTCTTACCGTAATAACCAAAATTTTCGAACCCTTCCAAATTCCGCAACTTTTCGCTTTCGTTTTGCCAGATTTTCTGGCACCCACACCCGCGTGAGTACCCGCCCGATTGATGACCCGCGTCCCGTTGAGCCGAGTGCTTCTCCCCAACCCGCAAAAACCTATTGTACTAAATTTTAAAGCCCCCATATTATGTATTATTCTATTTCCGGCATTTCCCCGTCATCAGGAACCCCACAAATTACCTCAAAACAACCGCTCGATTCGCCACCACCCCCCAAATAGGTTCAGGAAATTGTTGTCATTTGGCTTTTTTTTTGTCGCTGCAGAATTCTATGCCCCCCACATCCTCAATCCTAATCATCTCCACGTTTTCGGCAGGGCTATTTTGGTCTTTGATGGCCCTCAGGAATGAATACCTCGACCCCAAAAAATATATATGATTCGACAAGGTGATTTTTGTGGGATTTTTTTGAGAGTTGTGAAGGTTTTTACAGCCCTAAATGAATATTTTGGCGCAGAAAAATGCTTCTTCAATATTCTGAGGATCATAGCTATATATTTTAATGTTTTGAAAGGCCTCGAAAGCGATCGAAACTTAGTTAAATAAACCTTAAAAGTTAATTTTTGACATTTTTGAGCCCTAATTTCCTGAGAAAACCCTCAAAAATCCCCTAAAAAATCACCGCCCCCATATTGTTTGCTCCCGATACCGTACCCAAATCATACCACGGCAGGAAATGTTTAAACTATTCGACCCAACCGCCCCAACTCAGGAAACCCACCCCCAACAGTGATTCGACAACCCTCCCACCCTCAGCGATTCGACCCGTTCATTTCATTTATTTTATTTCGCGATTATTTTTTTGCTATTTTGTGTCTTCCCACCCATTACCGTATTTGCCGATTTTCCATTTGTCACATTTCCCGGCCCCCGTCAATTTTCCCAGATCGCCCAAGCTTTCATTAGTGTGTGTGAAAATCCCCTTGTAGCGCCTACAGAACCCCCAATTTCTGCAAACCTATTTGTCATTTTTGAGAAATCTTTAAATTGTTACAATACAAATTTCTTGAAATTTGAATATTGCGCCTAGCGCCTCTGAAACTCGCAAATTTCAATAATTTTTTTCCTGATGTGAAAACCACCCCATTTCTAGCCCGATTGCCACCCCCTACCGTACCCCCGTTTATTTCATCCACTCCGCTATATTACCTCAAAGGCTACCGCATCCCTCACGTTCCATTAATTTGCGCATACCCTCACTCAATATTCCGAATATATCCCATACCCACCCGAAACTCGCCAACTCAGGATCCCATATTGCAACCACCTCGTTTCAAATGAAAAACTATAAACTAAAATAATGCTGAATAAAAATTTGTGAAAAAATGGTTTGTAACTACGATCGATGGCACAGAAAATACAGGGGGTCCCAAAAAAGCACCCCTGCGGCATTTCGCCGTATTACATCCGATGGGTCCCATACTTTCCAAAAGGGTGTATCAGACCCTGAATAACCACTATCCTGAGTTATAGCCCGATCGTTACAGTAATTTTCGAGGGATCGCCAAAATACTATTTTTACGTGATTCTTAACAGTTTTTTTCGGCTTCTTCTTGGATTCTGCATCAATTTGCATCGACTGCCGGCTGAGAATCCCTAATTTCTTTAATTTCGGGTTGACTTTGGGTTACAAAATTGTTGAAATCAACGGTTATTTGATTAATTTTTATCGGGAAAAAATTTCTAGAGGTAGAGAAGGCTTGCCGCCTCATTTTCACTGAATATTCGAAGGGTTTTGCGACGAAAACCTTATGAAAAACGCAGTATAAAGTTTATTTTGTTGTATCTCGAAAACTACTCTAGCTAGCGGGCTCGAACTCTGGAGTATGGTTATTTAGGGACTAATACAGCCCTGCAGGGCCGTAACAAACCCCAATTTCGGGGGGGGGGGGCGACCCCAAAAATTTTTCACTAATATGACTAAAATTACAGCGCCGCAGGCAAAATTTTCGAAAACATAGGGTTTATAACACCAAAACTAGTGTTAAAAATAGCCAAAAACAGCGCCGCAGGCAAAAAAATTTTTGGAAAAATTAAATCATAAGGGTCCCCCCTTATGAACTTTTCGGCCTTCGGCCGATTTCGGGGGCGGCTCGCCCCTCCCCTCTTACGGGCCTGCAGCCCTGGTCGGATTTTGGGACCGATCGGGTGTAATATGGCGAAATGCGGGAGGGGTGCTTCTTTATGGGACACCTTGTACACTTGTAAAATATAAGCACTTCAACATCCTATTGCTATTTCTTTCTTTCGTTTTTTTGCGCAATTTGCATAATTTGGATTCGAAACGTTTAAAACGCTTTTTTAGGTAAAACAATTTGCGATTTAAAACAAAACAGGCACTAAACCCAAATCAAACCGCTTTTTGATAAAAAGCTAAATGGAGAAAGTGATGCTGAACAGAAATTTGTGTGAAACCGCGTAGAGTTTTACTGCAATCGCAAAAAAATACATTTATCAAATTCAGGCTCACCAAAAATCCATACAGTTTTATCTTCAGCACAATTAAAACACAAAAGTGTCAGTAAAATAGCACAAACAGAAATCGATTTTCATGAAAGTTACAGTACCCGTAGGGAGAGTGGGGTTTTGAAGGGATTTGGGGTACTTTGTTAGGCGTAATTGGAATCGAATGGAGTCCGATGGCGTAGGACGTTTAAGAAGCCTCCAACGAATTTTCATTGAGTTTATCTTTCATCGAGAAAATAACGGTATAGCTAACCTTTGACAGTTTCCATTTTGATGAAATCCCTCCAAAACCCAAATCTGATTATCGTGACTAGACTTGAATTTCCTCCAGCGTTGGCGGGCCGGTACCAGCCGAAATCAGCGAGTTGCCTCGGGACCCTAAAGTTGTGCTCAGGATTTTTTAGGAATCCGTAAAATTCCGCAAATGCTCTCTGCTAGCCTACCACTCACTCACCATGCAGCGCAATCGCAGCTCTTCCATGACGCGGGCAAGTTGGTGAGACCCCAGTCCTCAGCCCGGATTGTGAATGCTTGTGGGAGGCGGCCAGCAGCGGTTCCTGCAACTGAATATAGGAGTATTGGGTAGTCGAACGGAAAGGGGAGACTACGCTACGATACGGTTACGGTACGTTACGGTACGCTACTTTTGACGACTGTTTTATACTCTGGACTGGTTTTTGTGGTCAAAATTTCCGGAAAATCTGACTCGGAGAATGTCAAAAAACTTTCAAAACTCCCGTTTTTTTAAATCCCCAAGCTCACTTCCATCGGATACCTCTTCGCGCTTTTCGTTTAAATCTTACTCAGTACGCTACGCTACACTACAATACGCTGGCGTACTGTATCGTACTTTCCGAGTTTTATCTACCCCGAAAAGCTATTTACTGCTGAAGCCAAATGTTTATCGCTTTTACGCTATTTTGCGACATTTTTTGCGATGATCTGTGTGGCCCGAAACAACTCAAACTACATGCACACCACACTACAATCTATACAACCAGCCAAAAAAACGCGGGATGCCGTTCGACCTGTTCGTGAAAGGATGAGGCTCTGTGATAGTGTTGAGGACATCCATTTCCGGTTGTGGTTGTCGTATGCCCGTTGTACGTTGCGTAGTATGACGTTGTTGGGGTTCTCGGATCGAAAAACTCGTCCCCCATCACCGACTGGTTCATCGTCGACGCCGTCATGGAGGTATGGTGAAGCGGGGGTGGTGGTGGAGGCATGCATGACTGAAACGGAGGAAAAGCCTAGGGAAGATTTGGCGGAAGCTAGCATATAGAGCTCGTGAATGACAGAGGATAGGGTGGATTATGACAAAGCTAATGCGGAAGCGTAATTTGTGTGAAAACTAGCTTAAAATTAGCATATTCAAAACGTTCAAAATATCGAAAGCGGGGAGAGGAAAAGCTTTGAATAACATAAAACCTATTCTAGTAAAAAACTTAAGCTAAGAAATAGGAATTTGCAAGCGTTCTCGAGCGATTTAACTAAAATTATATTAGCATAACTTAAAATAGAAAAAACTGCAGCCAAGAAAAATTAGTGTGTAGAAAAACAAAAGGAGTAAGCGGCGGATAGGCAAAAATATATGCAAAACACTACTTTTTTAATAGCAACTTACTGGTGAGTTCAGGCCAAAAGTCAGACCATCACTTGCCCCGAGCGCGTGATTGGAAGCGTACGTCTGGTACTGTAGTTGCAGCTTCTTCTTCGTGTTCCGCGTCTTGTCGCACTGGAAATTGCGGGACATAACCAAAATTTGGAGTGGAGGGCAGGATTTATTAATTTAAAAATTGGTTCAAAATTTCGTTTGTCATGCTGATCTCAGAATAGGAAATTGAGGCATTCCTCCCAAAATCAGATTTCTCAGAACTTTTCCGACCTGTCTGCAAATCATGATCAGCACGCAGATGTTGAGCAGCAGCATGCCGGTGCCGATGGCGAGGATGTAGGTGAGGTAAGAGCCGTAGTGGGCGGTTGTTACGGGAGCAGGAGTTGGTTGGCCGGTGCTCGATTGCATTGGAGGGGCTAGAAAGGCGGATATCTCGTTAGAAACCAGCGCTCATAGCCTTCCTAGTTTCTCTAATGTTGCATATACCCCCTTTTCCTTTCCTTCCTTCTTCCTTAAAACCAAAACTTACGCGTAGCCTTCTTGATATCCTTGGGCGGTGGTGATGGTGGCATAGGTGGAGGTGGGAACGGCTCATTAGCATATCCACCGTAGGGCCTGACCTTCCCGTAGAAACTCTCCTTGGCAAAGTGTCGGGGCAACAAATGGTGGTCCTAAAAACCGGTGTTGCTCATTGAGTCCTCACGCTTACATCCGGGATCCCCGTGCCTTCTTTTCCAGAGTTATGAAGTTGGGGGACGAGTCCGGTCCAGAAGCCGACCTGGGCATTCCGGTAGTAGTTTTTCACCCTGGGACGGTCGGCTAAAAATCGCGATAAAGAAATTTGGAGATTTTGATTTATAGATGTTGTGATGAATCTCTAAGCTCTTGGATAAGTCAACCAAGTTTTGGGCTAACCTACTTATCTCCAAGTATGCTTCCCGATTCGGCTGATCAAATTGCGGCCAAGCGATTGAATGGAAACGTTCCTCAATTGATGAGGTCCGCGTCATCCCCTGGGGTTTTGACGGGTCCCTGAATTCAGTTTCTTTGATTTATGAATAATTTAACGTACCCAGACTTGACGAAATTCGCCAAGTACTGCATCATCACTTTCGAGAGTCCCTTGTCTTCCGGGGAGAACCCGGAGTAGAGCTGAAACCCCGGCAATAGGTATCTGGATCTATATCTGTGGCTTACCCTATCTTCTTTCTCGCCTTTGAAGAGTGGATAACCGAGGAGGTACGGTATGTGGTCACCGCTTAGAGAGCCTCGAACTCCAGAATTTGGTTGTTCGGATGACCAGGCACGAGTTTCATGACCGAACACGAACCTAAAGATAGACAATGTTTTGTTTTCGGATTTATCTGCCGGTCTCTCTCTCTCTCTCCCTCTCTCTTTCTCCCTCTTTTTCACTTACATAAAGCTCTTGCCCTGCCCTCGTTGCTCATCCGAACTGTGCATCCGTAACGTTTCTATCAGCGGAGCATTGTAGAGGACATCTGATAGCGCACCGAGTACACCATTTCGGATGGATTTTGGATGGTCCTGAAATACAGTAATATCTAGCAGTCTTACCTTAAAAATATGCAACTGCAAAACGTCAAAAAGTATTTTTTTAGTGAAACACTGTCACCAATCGATTATGCCAAAATCTACCACCTGGCCCACTAGGTGAAAATTTTCACCATCATGGGGTCAAAATGAAGAAGGCCTTCCCGGCAGTCCGACCGTGGTGGCCGAGTGGTTAAGGCGTTCGACTCCTAATCGAATACCCTCAAAAGGGGTACGTGGGTTCGAATCCCACCCGCGGTCGGAACAGTTTTTTCGTTTTGCTTTTTGCTAGTTTTATGGGTTTTTTTGCATCGGCGCTACTAAACGCTTTCCGACTGACTCTACGTGGCTCCTAACGAGCTTTCGATACGTTTAAAAGATACCTGTGGGTTATCCCAATCCGTGTACTCGTTGATGATGGCGGATAGAATTTCGGAGCGGTGAAAGTCATATAGGTTCCGTACCAAGGTCCTAAATAATTGAGAATTTTGGATTTGCGGTTTTTGAGCTTACCTGAAGATCTTCTCCCTTCTCTCTGCGCTCAACCCGTTTTTTAGATCGTCATTTGACAAAAATTGATGAGCTGGATGTGACGTGGTGCCGACGAGGAGGTCAATTTCACGGAAAAGCGAGCCGAACTCGTTGAAGGAGTGTCTGGGACGGTTTGGGATTAACTAAAAAGGTTGATTGGGTTTTGAAACGGCATCGCTTCTTCTAAATACATCGATCAAGGAAGTTAGGAATTTTTTAATTTTGTAAAATAATGCAGATTAGGTGCCATATTTACCTGTCCATCCACAATTGGTGCAAATGCTGATAGAAAAGTTGGGACATCAATTTTCTGCGCAGCTTTTGATACGCTTTCGGCTGTGTGATCCTGAAATGGTACAAAAGAGGTTTCCAAAATTATTAATGCTCACCTGCATACATCTGACCATCGCCTCGATGCCACCTTGAAATTGGGATGTCGAATTCTTCCCCGAGCACTAAAAATTCAGCTATGTTACGCGTAATTCGGCAAATAATACCCCCAGCTTGTCGGCCAGCTCCATGAAGAAGGGCTGCGGGTTGTGCGACATTGCCCAAGGAGCAAGAGCTGAGCCGTCGAGAAGCACGGCTCGTTGAAAGAGTCTTCTTGAAGGTTGCGTCAATGGGGAGGCCATTAATAGGGAGACCAATGAGGCTCCGGAGCCCCAACCTAAAAAATAGTGATATTTTAGCTTAGTCCTTCACTTTCTATCTCTCTCTCTCTCTCTCTCTCTCTCTCTCTCTTTCTATTTTTAAAGCATACCCAACAACGTCACTGCCTTCGGATCTCCTCCAAAAGCTGGTAGAATCCCGCTGAGCATCTTCAAGGCGGAAACGAGATCGGAAATCCCGGAGTTCCCCTGGCAAGAGCTGGATTCACACCGGCCAAGGAAACCTGAAAAGTTTATTAATTTTCAAGTAGCTTGCAAGCCCTACCGAATACGCCCAATCGATAGTTCAGGGTGACGACGATCATCTGACCGTGAGCGGCAAGAATCGTGCCATTATAGGGGTTTCCGGAATTCCAGCCGTAGTCATCGCCATGGACAATAACGAGGACGGGGAGTAGGCTTTCTCGGATGGTGATTTCTGTAAGAAAGAAGGATTATCGATTTATTGCAACGCGGGAACGCCTGCGAAAAATGATTCGGGCTATAGGGGGTTTCCGCATTAATAGGAGGATTAGCTCATTTGCAGCGAGGTATCACACCCAGATTTAAAAGATTACCAGCTACTAAAGTGCTGTTTCAATGCCGCCAGCGTGCTTTCTTGACTTACCTAACCGCTCTGGGACGTAAAGATTGAGGTAGAGACAATCTTCAGACTGTTGTTTTAGCCGAGGTAGTAGCTTGTGGATGTAGTCGAAGCGTTGCGCAGATGTGTGCTCAAACGCTCTAAAAATTAGAATACTTTTCCTTTTTTACTCTTCTTCCTTTCTTTTACTCCTGCTTTTTCTCCTATACTTTTTTTAGATTGCGGCAAATGTGTAAATTCATGTTTCCGATGCCCACCGATTAACGCTCAACTCCGGCAGTCCGGCTTGCATACAAACTGAAGCTAGGCCTCTGGCATCTTTTGCAGCATTCGTCCACTTCGCCGCCGAGATGGCCATGTTGAAGCGGTACTGTAATTTGGCCAATATTTTGGAACCCTGGGAAAACTGACCTGACCCGTTGGCGCGACCCCATAAGGAATTCCTAAATATTGGGCGACGGGTGGTAGGTCTTCCGCCCCGGGGCTTACCTAAAAAAACATGTGAAATTAACTTATTCCCCGTGAAAATGAGCTCTACACATTAATGATAAGCGCCTAGCCTGTTACACCATTAAAACGAAGCTTTTTTAAACCATCTTTTTCGTTTAAAGATCCTGAAAACTACTCACAACTTCTCCGCGGAGAATGCCCCAACCCGTGTTGACGGAGCGCAGGTCGGCGGCCCTAAAAAAATGGATATTTCCTACAGTCTGTGGTCCTGAAATTACCATGTCAAGCCAACGAGCCAGCCGATGAGGTAGAGAATTTCTTCGCATGAAAGAAACAGGCGAGGGGCAGATCTCAAGCGTACCATGGCCCTCCGGGGCTTCACATGCTTGTAAAATTGGGTGGAATCTGAAAATATACAATAATATTATGGAAATTAATATGTGAAGCACAAAAATAAACAGAAAATAAGCTTAGGAACGAGAAACTGGAGAAAAAGGTACAAGCCTTGATAAATCGCTAAAAATGCAGGAAATCACTAGTCTTTTTCGTCCTCTTGATCAAAAACAAAGACCCCCGGAAGCCCAGACGTAAAAAACGTTTAAGCCCAAGAAGAAGTAGCAGATAGCCCATCCAACACGGATCCCATCAGACACAAATCTGGGTCTCTCGACCCATTTCGAGTCGAGTTCGTAGAAGAGGATGGGGGGATGGGGCCCATTCCGACGGCATCCGCCCCGGGGGGCCTCTAGGGCAGTGTGTCAAAACTCGATTACAGGGCCCGAAGTCCGGACCTCAAGGAGGACCCAGGCATGGGAGGAGGGCCACTTCGGGTTGGTCATAGGGGCTTGACTTGACTGGATTTCGGTTTAATAGGGAAATGTTTGGGGTTTGCGAGTGACAGTGAGAGAGAGAGAGAGAGAGAGCGGGAGAGAGAGAGGGAACGAGAGAGAGCAAGGGCGATAAAGGAAAAGGAAATACTAGATAGACACAAAAAGTGAGAGTGCGAGAGAGAAACATAGCGAGAGAGGGAGGGAGAGAGAGCGAGAAAGAGAGGGTGAGTAAGAGGTTAACCATTTTGTATTGATATTACCTTTATAACCAACCTTACCGCCCTATATCCCTCAAAAGTCCAGGTCAAAGGTAGCCCCACGATGTCTCGTCAGGATGTGAGAAGCCGTTTCGGCCCGTCAACACATCGTGTTCACCCCTCGGCTCAGCCCCATTCATATCGGAGCCACACCGAGTGATTAATGGCCATGCCCTCAAGCCTGGCCACCGGATTCGTCGAAAAGGGCACACAGAAACACGCTGGCCCGCCACTTTTGCATAAATCGACGCGACGACTACGCAACGCTACGCCTACAAAGATCTGGGTACAAGACGGGTAGAAGAGGTACGGCGAAAATCGACCACATCCATCCCATCTAGCTATTTTAAGAAAATCGCATCGTTCTCGCTGCCAAATTCTAAAAATAGCTACTTACATCCTATGCGCGAGCTATTAAAAAATCCCAGAAAAATCGAGCTTTTTGCGGGTAAAGATAAACGACCGGGTGGATGGACTCGATGAATCTGGAGGGCCCAGAAAAGAAGAGGTGTCCCCCTGGCTAGCCGGCGGTCCGCGATTTATGGCATAATCTAAAGGCAAAAAGGGAGGGACCCTTGTGGCCGGAAAGCGAGTGAGGTGTGAAGGCAATTATTTTTGGTCGCGTCGTGCACGAGGGTTTTGGGGTTAGGGGCAAAAAAAACAGCCCAGGATTGGGTTCCTAAAGGGACTGGGAAGTGAGGATATGGCTGCGGATTTTGGACCTATGGGCGAGCTAGCAGAAATCCTTTGCACTAGCAGTGACCATTTGCCTTGTTTTCTGGTCATTATTATACAAGAAGGATATTTGCAATAGAAAATCAGCAAAATTTAGGAAGGTTTAGTAGCAGGCTAGCAGTGAGCATTGTGGAAATGGAAACAATGTGCTTAGAGGGAGTTTGAATAGGCTAGCAGAGTTTCTTTCGGAAATCCGGGGGTGGGGAATTCTCCACCAGCGTATTTTTCATCAGGCAGGCAGGGCAGGCTAGCATTCTTTCCTGGGGAAAATCCACTTGATCGTGTTCTTCGGATCACGCAAAGCAAGTTACCAATTTTTGTGTGAGGAAATTTTCTAAAATCTCTAAAAAAACAGCAATTTTTGAGGAAATTTTTGGGATCTCTGGGGGACAGGTTCCCAGATTTTTCTATCAAAAAAATCGAAAAATTCTCGTAATCCGATTTTTTCGGCTATCCTTAAAGCAGACTAGCAGCGTTTCCTGATGAAACTCTACTGCACCTCCCGAACCCGCCTGCAACATCCTGTTCTACAGAAAAATATGCCCAAAATCACATCTCCCGCCCTTCAAAGTCCTAACCAGGAAATGCAATTTTCGGTGAATCAAATTTTTTCTGGGCCAGGCTCGGCAAAGCCGACGCGGATGAAGCAGCGGACGGGGCAGTTCCCACGATGTCTTCAACGGGGTAAAGCCCTCGACAAAAAATTGTCGAAATTTGTCTTTTTCTGAGGGCCCAAGACGCGGCCCCGGCAGCCATTTGGCGCCCTACGGCAAGCCCCCCTCTTATGCTAATTTGCAATCCCCTGGGAGCATAAGGCGCGACGGGCCAAGACGAGGAGACGGAGGCGCTGAAAATTTTTCGGGTAATTTTTGACTCGGAAAAGGGCATCGTCATGAGTAATTTTGAAAATAGCAGGGAATTGAAGAAATTTGGCAAGCCAATATTTACATAAGGGAATTAAAACAAACAATAATACCATACGAAATTTTTCTAAATTTTCGAATTCGAAATTTGAAAAAATCACCCTAGAAAATTTACGGTATTGATCACGTTGCATGGAAAATTCAGCTAGCTCCAAAACTACAGGCTACAAAATTGTTTGCAAACGGCGCCTAAAATGTCTCGAGTAATTTTTGGCTGGAAAAGGGCATTTTCATGCGCAGTATTGAAAACATAGAATAACTGCAAAAAATCAAAATAGGAGCCAAGAAACAGGAAAGATAGGACCTAAATTTGCTTTTTTTTAATACTACTTAAACATTCAAAATTTTAGGAAGGAAACCTCAAAAAATCTTAAAAAAATCGCAATTACGTGAAGCTCAAATTCTTAATTTGCGAATTTTAATAGCCGTTGTAAGTTTTTAGCATTTTCATAGGGTTTCGCTAACAAATAATGCGAGAATTTTTGGATCTGCAGAAGTACAAGATCTTAAAAAAGTGCACCCAGGGTCCAGTAAGAAGTTAATAAATTCGCAATACCCCCTCCCGGCGCTGAAAAATTAATAGGAAACGCCCATAAAACAGTAGATTGCGTTCGGAGGAACGTCCTCGCCGGCGGGTGAAGCGTTCCGTGCTCTCTATTTCCTGCCCCTAGCCGCTCCAATCCGTTTCGTTGCCTTCCTTCCACCTTCCACTTGGGCCGAATTGAAAATGAGCAAAAAGTGGTTGGCCGCGGGGAGAAGGAGCTGGGGAAGGAGGAGGATGAGGTGGAGGAGGAGGAGAAGACGAGGTGAGTCCGGGGCAGTTCAGTTGGCGCACGCTGAATTGATACGTGAATTTCGTATCTACTGGTTTCTTGTGCGTCAAAAACCACAGGGACACACTTTTTGGCTCTAAACTACAAATCACGCAAAAAAATAGCGTAGTATAAACTGCAAACTCGGCCCCCAGCTGGATCAAAAATTAAATTCCAGGGCCTAGAATACGAACGACACCAGCCGTTAGGCTAGACTAGACTACAATTGGTACAGACTACAACCGTGGGACAGACTACAAATAAAGCAACAGTCCATAGCATAACCTAGAAATTTTATAAAACTACAAACTACACTGCGAATTCGAGCAGATTGGAATTCAAGCTGCAAAGCACACTTCATTATAACTTGCCGACACACTACAAATGAACCTACAAACTACATATTTCGCAAAGAGGCTCAACTTATCAAAACAAACGAAGAACAACACGGCAAAGCCGTCTAGGGCTAGACTAAAATCGTACTGATGATAGAAACCTAACTACAACGGAAACTATGATACGAGCCTGGATACGGATTGGACGATAAATCCGTGCAAATTTGCGTGAAATAAGACGCCGATGGACTACAAACTCCACTAAATGGTAGATTAAATTCGGACGACAAGCTAAACACCGCGCTAAAAATTCGGGAAGCTCAAGATTAGAGTGTACTAAAAATGAACTACACAAATGGTACTGAAATTCCGCTACAATCCACCCAAGGAGCTGGACTACAAACTCCAAAACCAGGGCTCGAAGAATCTGCCCACCTACAAAATTCACGTATAGCCATGCAGACGGCTGCTTTTTACGCTCGCCACCTCATTTTTGACGAGTCAACAAAAAGGATAAAGCGTCTCCCCGAAAAAAGTGGATTGTCGGCACGCACACATTGACTGTGGTTGAAGTGGCGCTAATGTCGTGGAGGAGGAGCAGCAGCAGCAGCAGAAGAAGAAGGAGGATGGCCACCACCCCCAACCCTTTCCCACCTCGGGGGACCCTTGGCTCCTGGGCCCTAAGGTGCGTAATCGGATTTCGGCTCGTCCACCACCACCACTACGACGGGACATCACAACTACCACTACGCCAGGATGGGGGCTTCCGGATGCGCGTAGTGCGCGTAGTGCCTCGGAAATTGCGTTTACCCCTTTGGGTCAATTGGGCTCGGATGGACCCAGGAGGAGTTCGGGACCCAATTTGGACTACCCCATTTTTGGTCGGGATTTCGGGGTTCTAATGGATGGGGGTCCTTGAGGTAAGAAGCGATACTATGTAAATTGGAGCTCTTAGAGACCGTAATATAACGCCGTAAGCTATTATCGTAAAAATTGGTCAAGTAATATTATCAACAATAACAAAATTTAGGTGTAATATAGCATCCCCCAAAGGAGTCCAAGAATTTCGATTTTGACGGATTTTTGTAATTTTTAATCGAATTCTCGGCTTTTCCTTTATACGGTGGATGCATTGATAAAAACCCGGAATAATATTTAACTAAGACACCTTGCTAAAATTTTCTATAGTCCGCAATGCCATTGGCTAGCTGCCCGGCTAGCGCTAGCCAGCGCCTCCTCGCAACATATCCGCTTACCGGCTCGCGTTTTCTGGACCCCCGAGAATTATTGTAAGGTGCTGGAGTGATGGGCAAAGCTTTCGGGAAAAAATCAGGAATAAGAAAAACTAGAAAAAATTCCACAGTTAAAATCTGACAAAGTATTCAGAGGATTCGTCAAGGTTGCAACCTATAAACATTCGTGAATATGCTAGAACATTCTGTATTTTATGTTAGTCAAACACGCCCCGAATTTTAACACTCTGTTCGGGTTTGACTTGCGAAAGGATGACCACTCCATCCAACACGATGTCTAGCTCCATGTCTCTATGGTCCCGGGAGGGCAGAGTGCTGAAATGGCATGAATCGCCCCTGCCTCTATATTCCCCGGGGTGCCATTCGGCTTGTAATGGTCAGCGCGGACCCTCGTTCTCTTTTCATATTTGACGTTTGACGCTTCTCGCGATCGCCGGGGTCCGGGAGGTGGAATGTTGCGGAAAGTCGGGAATGGTTTCAGGGCAATATGGGGGTATGGAAATTTCGAGAATGTATGCGGATTTTTTATAGAACTTATAAAAAATCGGCTACAGTGATGGCTATTTTGTAGCTAAGCCTAAGCCTAAGCTTAAAACCTAAGCCTAAATCTAAGCCTAACAAGGGAAGTGCACGACCGGCCCACGAGAAATCGACACGAGACATAGTGGATCTGATAGAACCGGACACGGGGATTCCGAATCTGTAATCAGAATTTGCTAAATAAAACGGAGAACAAAGTTATGAAGCTTCAAAGTTGGTAAAATCGCTCAAAATCGGACTTTTATGGGCCTTTAGAGGCCCAGGGAATGGAAATTTGCCACAACCCATTAGTGCATCTTGTTCAGCAGAAAAGGCGCTTTCGAATGAGCTATCTTACTTCAAGTTTGCGATGATTTCGCAAAAATCTCTTCTATGAACTTGACAGGGATACCCTTGCCCGTGAATCCAAAAAAACCTTTTTCAGTGAATTGTTTGCAAATGCTACGTATTGCAGCTCATTCGAAAGCGCTTTTTCTGCTGAACAAGATGCACTAATTTTTTTCTCCTCAATTCCGTTCCCCTGGTATTTACGGGCCCATAAAAGTCCGATTTTGGGCGATTTTGCCAACTTTGAAGCTTCATAACTTTTTTCTCCGTTTTATTTAGCAAATTCTGATTACAGATTCGGAATCCACGTATCCGATTCTATCAGATCCACTATGTCTCGTGTCGATTTCTCGTGGGCCGGTTGTGCACTTCCCTTGTAAGCCTTAACCTAAGCCGAAGCATAAGCCTAAGCAGGTAAGGCGTCAAAAAATTTTCCAAGCATTCCTAGAAAAACCTCGAAAAAAAGAAAATTTAATTTATCAAGAAGTTGACGCAGCTAGGCTGGAATTTACCCTATTTAAAGTGAAAATCATATTTATCCAACAAAAATAACAGTAATTTATTAGGGATCAGAGAAAAAGGAAGCCTTTTTGCTTGATAGGAATTTTTGGAAGAAGTTTTTGCGCAGAAAACTACAAAGATTGGCTATAAATGCATGGAGATCTTGGTCGGAAGAAAGGAGCTCCAAAACAAGCGCTTTTAGCAAAAAAATAAATCGTTTTTGACATTTTCCACCAATTTTTTGCCAAAATTCAGTAAAAATCAATTTACACGAGTCAAAGGACACGTAATTAGGCATCTGAAGTTTAACGGAACAAAAAAATATAGCTTTTAAACATGAAAAGCATCAAAAAGCTCAAAATTCCCGGAAAATCAACAAAACAGCTTTAGCCTGACGCAGCCCCACAAAAATATTAGGTGTCTAGGGCCCGATCACAAGCTCCCATTACGCACAAAGCAATAGCTGAGAGGGGGGGGAAGCGAGCCCTAAGGATGGGCCCTAACGGGGAGATCAATCGATTGGCAGGCTGGGCCACTTGCCGCCGGGCCCTCTCTCAGGCTCATTTTCCCCGAGACTTATCTGGGGGAGACAGAACAACGGAGAGGCGAGCATGTGACGCCCTATCCTCCCCGGTGAGCACAACCACTGTGTTCTCCTCTTCTCTACAATTTGTCAGGTAGTCGGCGGCTGGGTGGGCCCCTAGGGACTAATCGTCACGGCCACGTTTGTTGGGTGGTGGCTTGTTGGCGTGATGGGGATTGCGGGGAGAGACAGGTTTTGAAAGGGGGCATGACAGCTAGCTTTGGATCGAGCTTTTCCAGCACCGATCTTGATGCTAAATCGAGTTCTTATCGAAAATTTTTTGGGTTTTTTAGTGAGGGTGACAGCAAGCCGTCAAATTTCCATACAAAATAGTCTTCGATTTAGGAATTGCTGCGTTAAAGTGAGTGTGACCACAAGCGTTCGGCTAGGCTTTCAAGCATAAATCTTCATACGTAATAGACTTGAAGCCGGAATTTTTCCTTTTAAAGCGCACGTTCAGGGAGGGGCTGTGTACTCGTCCGAACGTATACACCCTATGGACGTAGGGACCGCGCGCACGGCCTGCCCGTGCCGTGACAGGCCATTCCCCCTCCTTTGCGGCGTGGGGCGCCCCTCGACCCCTCGTCAGGTTGTAGCTGTGGCTGACTGGTATCCATCCGCGCCTCCCGAGCGAGGGGCCCGGATTCGACCCCCGGCCGCGGCGAAAATCTTTGCTTTTTTCCAACAAAAAAAAAACGTCCCTGAACGTGCCCTTTAAGGGGAGCATGACAGCACGCTTTTGGGTGAGCTTTTCAAGCACAACATCGTCATAAAAAATAGCCCTGGTATTTAGAAATTTTGGCATTTTTGTTGCGGCTTTTGAACAGTCATTAAAGTACCACCTAACAATCCACAAAGTCGTCGGTTAGGTGACACTTTTGTGAGACACACAGAACCAAAATCGGCAAATTGAGCATCGAGAAGCCCGCCTCCTTGCAAAACATTTATACTAGAAATTTATGGCATTGATTGCGTAGATGGACGCGATAGGACAGCCGCACAGATGAAACCAAACGTCGAAATTTTTTGAGATCAGCATGTTTCCACGAAAACACTTGTCGTTCCAATTTCACGCGACCATCAAGTACATAAAAGGAGACAGTCCGCAGAAAACGGAAAAAAAGAAAAAGTCGGAGACGCAGCAAAAGGTGAGATGTGCGGGGGGGATTTGTTGTGGCGCGGTGTGTCAGTGGATGGCGCGGTGTGTAGAATGGGGGGAAGGCTCTCGATATCTAAAGCGGGGGGACACGGGGGATTTGATGTCAACCCTACGTGTCTTGAGAGAGAGATAGAATCCAACAAATGCACACACAAAGCATCTACCAACATTCTCTGCCCACCCAGCAACACACCTAGAGACATTTGTGGGGGGGCAGAAATGGCTAATGGATGGATTTTAATGGCACCGGAAAGACATGACGATTGATTTGGTCAGTACGCAGGCGCTACGCAGACGCTCGCTCGATCTGCTGTGTTTCGCGACAGCACAAAAATCTATTGGTACAGCGCTGTCTGCTCTTTTAAGGGAAGATACGGTAACTTACGTCGCTGGGATGCAGGGAAAACAATTAAACCAACGGCGGTAAGAAGCATCGGATTGGAATAATTTTTGTATCATTCAAAAGCCTTTCAGGAATGTACATAATAACACCAAGAAGCTGAAAAAATTCACGTATCCGTTGGGCTTAATGGCAGTTAATGCCCGTTTTTAACTAATTTCCTTGAAAATCCCCCAACACCACCGTTTTTAGAAACCCTAGACTTTTAAAGTGTAAAAATCTACAGGTTATTGAAGCGAAAATCGCTTCCAAACTTCCACAAAAATTTCTAAGAAGCACTGAATTACGTGGAGAAGATTAAAATCGATCAGCCTTAAGAGGAAAAGCTGAAAATCGATAGGATTTTCCAAATATTTTAATTCCAAACACGCAATTTTAATTTTTTTTTCAGGATAGGTTTCGAACTTTATAAAAATAACAATTTACGTTCTCAAAAGTATCCCAATCCAAAAAAGCCGCACTCGCCTTCTCAAAATTGCAACTCTCGAGTCATGTTTACACTTTTCGAGCGTGTCGCACAACTTTTTGCAACCCCTTTTAGCGTCCAAGTTTAGATGCTAACTAGGCGACACCTTGAGACGACTCCCGAAAAAACGTCGAGATGCCTTTATTAGCGTATGCTAACACGAGAGAAATTGCCCAAAAAATGAGCGTCAAATCCAAAAATATCACGTGCAAAAAAGCGTATCAAATGTGAGGTACCTAATGACCGTAGGTGGGGGGGCAATTTAAGGCAATTAAGGTAGAATTAGAGCGTTCTGATTGCACATCGGGAATGACTGGAAATTGAAAAAATCGGTAATTTAATGCAAAATAAATTATTTTGATATTATTGGGCCTCGGCTTCTTCTTTTTCATCTTGAATCCCGTCGGCGGCCGCGCGGGCTTCTTCCTCTTCGGTGGGGTTAGGCTGAAAAAAATTATTTAAAGTATATAATTATATAGTTAAGGTATTACGAATATAGATTTCAAAATTTAGTGAATTTGGACGATACTAGCATAAATATGTGGTTTTAAACGGACCAATTGTTCAGCCTTCATCGCCATCTCATATTCGCTGAAAGCCGAGCTCGGGTAGACGCCGGCAGTTCCGGAATCTGAAAATAGATTTTGAGCTTGGCTTTAATAGCTATTATTAATAATTATTGGCTTTAATAACTTTTAATACTATTACTAATAGTTAAGACTTTTTTATACCTTTAATTAAGGGTTTGAATTCTTGCCTAAGGTGCGGTATAGTACGCTAATTTGCCGCATACAATAAATACGCAACACGACAAATTTCTATCCCCCAGGATCAAAAATTCCGTAATCAATACCCATCAGCTATGGCCTACCAGTTAAAATCGTGCTCTGCCACTGGAAGGAGTGATCTGGGTCCATCGGAGGTAAGTAAGCCTGCGTACTATACGTAGTAGCGCCCCGGAGTTCAAACATTGAATCTGAAAGATCTGCTTCGAATGCCGAAGATCAAGAACAAAAAAAACCTGAGCTATCCAGCCCTTGAACCGCGGATTGAGCATAAGTATTTCGATCGGTCCCGCTATGGTTTGACGACCGTTTCTTGCCGCCAGAGCTCGTCTCCGAACTCTAAAAAATTATTTTATGGATGATAGGCCCTTATAAAGCTAATTAGTAATTTTCTATGTATTTTTATACCTTTGGCTTCCTCTTTCTCGTCTGTAAGGTGCCCTCCTTTTTCATCGATATTGGCCGGTGGATGTTGTGGAGTTTGTAGTAGAGGCCGCAGGCGCTGAAAAGGGTACGATTAGCACGAAAATACGGTGTTCGGTAAGTACAGCAATGGTCTGGCGTACCTTGGCGTGCCCAACATACCTTAATGCACGTTTTAAGATGCCTTCAAGCAATTAAATATCCAAAAACCCACTTGCACACCGGTTCCCCCTCCGCGTTTCTCCGCCACAACGTCGTGTTGGTCCCATTGCAATTCGAGCAAACCAGCCCCTGACGTCTTGATGATGACGTCTGAATCCGCTTCATAATTTCGAATTGACGGATATAACCAACACGAACCGCCGGCTTCTGCTTCTGCGCCCGAGACGCCGACTTCGAAGAGGACGGCTGGGAGGTGGGGACGGGTTGATGGAGATGGGATGGGTCGACGTATTGCTAAAACTTGGGCATAAACTAGAACATATCAAGAAAAGTTTAATTCTCCTATATTCCAGAATTCCGAAACCCAAACCACTTACGTAAAACCGGAAACCTACCGTAACCGGTGCTTGGTGGTGGGCCGCGCAGCTGTCGCAAACCGTCTGGAATTTTTAGATGTACGCTACGCCCCGTTACACCTTACATTGCCATTTGGGTAAAAAGTGCTGCCACAAGACAGGCACTCCGAATTCGCGTATTGGGCTTGCATCCCGGCGCCCGGGAGGACGTAAGTCGTGGCGTAAGGGTTGTCGATTCTAAAATTGGCTCCAAGTGATTATGAAAATAATATGAAATAAACCAATCAGTTTAAGATAAAGAGGAAAAAAAGCTAAATCCTCACAGTTCTCGTAAAATTTGACCGCCCTACCGTAATTGAAACTGTGCCTGCGCGGCCATGTATTGATTTGGGTCGATCAGCTGGTTCTCGTAGGTCTGAAATTCTAGATGATGGCATTTTTGAGGCTTCAAATTACGTAGAATTGATTCCCAAACTGGGAATTCAGATCCGGAATCGCTTGGGCTTGGGTGAGGCCTCCGAGGTCAGCTAAAAAAATTGATGAAATTTGCATAAGAACTTACGGATTCCAGTTGCCAGGAAATTCGTTCCAGGCTGGAGGAGGAGGGTTTCCGGTTTGGCTTCATACGATGATGAGGCCATCAGAGCGGTTGGTTCGATCACTGGAAAATTATATAAATTTAGTGCAGCTGGAGAGCGACCGAAATTGTAAGCTTATAAAGTGCTTCCGAGGTTACCTGAAGTCCTTGTCGACGTGCTCGGCGCCGGCTTCATCTCCTCAAAACTAGCCGTCGATAGCAGCGTGGCGGAGGGGTAGACGGAAAGCCCTGGAAACGAAAAATGAGAGCAAGGATAACACCAAAACCTGAGTGCATCGCCAGCTCGTTCTCCGACTTTGGGATCGACATCTGGAGCGCGATTTGGCTTTGGTCAAAGTAGGGGAGAAAGCCGTGCGTTGCGTAGTCCATGCCGTTGGTGGTTAGGGTACCGGTTAGGTCCATGGTACCTGCAAAGAAAATTAACTAATTCATTTATGCTATTTAAGTGTTCGTATTTTTCACACCGAATTCGAACCTATTCAGGTTGAGCGGCATCCAGGCAACGCTAAGAATTTCCAACCGCTTATCTAATCATTAAGCGACTAGGGGAAAATAGGTACGAGAAAACTGGTCGCGTTAAAATCTGGACCAAAGGCCAAAATATCGAACAATGGGCTACCGTGTTTCGATTAATTGCAAATATCGAAATCTGTTATTGCCCAATTCTCGGATGCAATTCAAAGGGAGCCGGGAGAAGCAGGCCTCGGTTTCGAGCACCGCTGGGGGGCGTGGCGGCGCGATCGATACCCCCAATCGGGGGATCATCTACCGTAATTCCGCGGACAGTGACCGATGCAAAAATTAGAATAAATTCGAAATACTTTAGAAAAACAGAGACATCTGAAAACCACGCTGTTTTCAGTCATAATGCCTAGAAGTTACTAAAAGACCAGCCGAACCTTCAAAATCTTAGCCAAAAACACGTACAACACCTTAAAATACGCCGCGATTAATTTTATGCGCTTTGCTTCCTTGGCTTTGACGCTTGAGAAGCCTTTTTGATTTTAGTCAAAAATTGTAACGTTCACAAATATCAAAAACTGGATCAATCTTGAAAGTCCAAGCTAAAAAACGCATGCGATACCTAAAAATAGTATATAGCTATTAGCCTTACAGAATTCCTTTTTTGCTTTTGCCGTCTTAATGACGTTTTTCTCCGAATATATCCATGCTATATTCACATACCATAATCATTCCGCTGCAGCCCAAGCAGATCGGCAGAGCTCGTCGGCGCCGGGATCAGAATCGGCACCGCCGACGACGTGGCCTGCATCTGAAGCGCCAGAAACATTGGCTAATCCGTAGAATTGGTACAATAGGAATGCGGTGCAGCTATTCTTCCATCATATCAATCCAAGAAAAGGCGCAGCCAAGTTGCGCAACGGTACACAAAAATTGATAGCAGCATAGGCAAAGGAATGATAGATACTGGATGGAGTTGAGATAGAGCCCCCCGGCGGCTCTATCAGGTTGAAAGGAGGTGTGAAAGTTATCTGGCTATTCCCGGTGTCCGAGTGTCTGTTTGGGTTTGTAGATAACTTCTATCAAACATGCTCGCCCTGTTGCCAGCCTCTGAATACATGCCAAGACTAGATATGGTTATCGCTAGCTCGATTTCTCGGGTGGCTGTGGTAGGCGTCCACTTTTGCCGGCTCTTTTTTATTCTAATTAGGAATAAAAAGTATTTGACGTTTTATTATAATTGACGAACTGGGCTGGGTATATTTGATTATTACGGTACGTTATTAATTCATTAAGCGGCTCATTAATCCTTTCATCATTTCTAGCCCATTAATTACGTAGGAATGGTGTCTTACCCTTGCAATTACTACATTATGCACCGGGCTTTTATGCTACTTACAATACCATTATGAAGGGTACTTTAAGCGGTATAATACCAATTTAATCTGATTGTCTGTGACGTTAAAAAGGTCCCTTAAACGACTTTTAAATAAGACTTTTAGTGTAGTAACTTACTATGGAGGAGTAATAGAGCGTAACGCTTATATATTTTCGGTTATTGATTTATCATGCAGCGCACTAGAATAGTATACTAGCCTTGAAAAGCTAGTGTATTGAAAAGCTAGTGTTCAAAGCTTGATACTGGTTGAATTGATTGTCGGAGACCGGTCGTTGAGATATGCTAATTTAAGTTTCGAGAATCGAGTCTTTCAAATGTTGTGAAGAAGCAAGGCGTTGAAAACCCGACGCGGTGAATGAGGGAGGGGGAGACTGGCCGTTTGGCGAGTTTCATGAGGCCACCGTACCGTATTGAGGAGGGCTTGGTCGCCCCTTCTCCCTTATCAGTCGGGGACGGTGCCCGCCGGGCCCGGCGTTGGGCTGGTGGCACCGAGGGTTGGAAATTCTGCGCCTCCTCCAGCCCTTCGAATTATGTTGTCCGACAATTTTGGTGAAGCGTTAGGGGGTAGTGACGAGGTACTGTCGGATCGGGCGCATCCCACCATCGTGCCGCGCCATCAAAAAGCTCGAAAGGCGGGAAACTGCTACTTGCACCACGCTATTTTAGGTACTGGACTTTTAGCAGGGGAGGGATTTTAAAAGCGGGGTAACTCATTTTCCAAGCGTATACAAAATGTTCGAAAAAATTTTATGCATGAAAAATGAACAAAACCGGCAAAATCTAATTTTCTAATTTTCAAAATTTGTCTAAAATATTTTTTGTAGCGTTTTAGCAATCAAAAACTATGTAAACTAAAGAATACAGTATTTGTTACTAACAGGTAGGAAGTATAGATGGGAAAGAAAAATTTGGTCTCCCCCTGTTAACAGTCAAGTACGCCAGAATCGTTTACATTACGCTATGGACATAGCGGGTCCGAGCCCGGCGGGTGTTACCTTAAAACGTTTACCTTAAAAATCATATACCTAAAAATTGGCTTGATAACGGTTTTTCTAGGTTTAATGGCTGTTTTATTTTGCTCATTTGAATAGCTGTTTTGGCTCGTTCCGCAATCGGCACACGGCCAAGTTTTCACTTTGTGATAGGTGTGGGGGCGGAATAAACATTTATCAGGCTGGGTATAATCTAAAGGGAGGGTGGTCCAGTAAAGATACGGGACCCAGCGGGGCCGTGCTGTTTCACAACCACAGTGCGATAGTGGACAAGCAGTCTTGACGGCGGCTCGATATCGGACGCAACTTGCGGATTTTCGTTGGATTCTGCATCGATTTCTAAATAATTCAAGGTTTTAGGTTTTTTTCTAGCGATCAGCCTCTTTTTTTCTTCCAGTTTGTCGTTCTTGAAGCTGATGTTCAGCTCCGGTAAGGTATCTAGCATGCTTCTCGATATAATGATACCTGAAGTATCAAATCCTGGATTTCGCGCCCTTCTAAAAACATTCCTAGCTTTTTCTAGCTCTGAAAATTACTAGAATCACCCTGAAATTCACAAATGGCGAAATAATGACGCTTAGAAAAATGCTAAAATTAGAATTTCGCTACTTTACGTTACCGTACCCCTAATTACCGTAAGCTCCCCCCCCGCGACAAAACTACGGTAATACGATGGGCCATACTCTTGCCGGGTCCCCCTTGGTGCCAGGCTGTCGGGGCGTGAATATGGGCGATCCCTTATCAGTCAACTCGCTCCTCAATACACCCTCTTTCCGCTTTATGACTGCCCGAAATGACGGGCAATATCGATTGAAATTAGGGGACGCCTTCGGATGAGCTGCCCCCCTCACACGTTTCATCGAAAATGAAAACAGGAAGGGGCGGCTGGTTGGAATTTTAGTTTAAATTTCTAAGTTTCAAAGCATTCGGTATGGGATGAGATGCGTATGGATTAAACTAAACCAAGCCTAGCTCTAAGCTAAACCAGAACGTACTTTGTAAAAAGGATTTTTTTCTAGCGCATGGAGCAGTATTAGTCGTGTTCGGCCTGCCTTCGGCAGCTAAGACTAAATTCATAACAAAACCCTCAAAAGTACTTGATTCTCGTTGAAAACGCTTAAGGACGTCTCGGGCTCAACGTTTGTCTTTCCATAGCCCTCAAGGGAAATCCAAAAATTCAAATTTATGAAGCGACAATTTATTAAAAAAGCATCTACTAATTACAAAGACCATTGAGCACCATCTTGTATCGATATTTTTTATAATGAGCTAGATATCGATCAGGGAGATTATCCCATCAACGTTGAGGTCAATAACTCGATAGAATCAGCTGTTGTCGGCATTTTTTCTAGAGCTGTTGTCGTCATTTCCGTAGTGGTCGCGATTTCCGTAACTGTAGTTGGTAGCGTTGTAACTAAAAATCGATACCTCCAGGAAAAAAATTATTTTTCTCACCAGTACTAGCGGTCGCTGGCGTCCGCGACGTCAACACCCGATACGGCCTAGCGATCTTCAGTTTTTCCTGTAATTATGATCTATTTTGTGGTGATTTTTGAAGGCTCACCTGCGTGGGGTTTGTAGAAAATACATACGGCTCCTCCAAGGTAATTACAGCCTTTTTGTTCGCTTCGTTTGGACCTCTGGAAACCAGGGAATTTAGTTTTTGGCTATAACTGAATTGCTAATTAATCTATATAAATATGTAGAGTAAAAAATAATCAGGTTAAATCAGGTTTACCTTAAATAAAACATTCCTATCACTACGGCGATCGCAACCAAAATTAATAGACCGATGATGGGGGCGAAAATCTGCAAAATAGATAATTTGATGGTTGATTGTCGCTTCTACTTTCCTTTTGCTATTTATCATCAACTGTTCTATGAAATCTTTAATTTTATATAGTAGCTATTAAATTATATAAAATAGAAAACCTATATTTTTGTTGTAAAGTCCTTAAAAAGGCAATTTTAACGTACCCTCGGTATCAGCGCTCTCCTTGGATCGACCATATTTTCAGGTAATCTGCAGAACCTTGACAATAGAATAAAATAGATGCCAGACGACACAAAGCTCTAATCCATCAAAATCAAATGAAGCTTCGTACCACCGAAGGGGGAATTTCCTGAAAACGAATTTGTCTATCCCAAGGTATCCACGGGGGAGCAGTGTGGATAATTGGGGGTCTCCACCGGGAAAATATCTTTTCACCCGGGCACATATCCAGAAAATCCTGGAAAATAAAAGCCGGGAATGGGAATAGACTGAGACAATGGAAAAGATCGGAAAGGCATCTGGCCAACAGCAAGAAGACGACACGCACAAAAAATTGGAAAATTTGGAGTGGTGTGGGAATTTTTGGGGTAATGATTAGTAACGGAGGAGGTGAGGTAGAAGGGGCTACGAATTCTGAGCAATTTTGAAGGTGGAAATGGGAAAGTGGCTGGCAAGGAGCGTCTTGTTAAATGGATATAATTTGCTTAACCTAAGATTTGGTTAGCTTACGAATTTTGTACTAAATATTGAGGATTTAGCCAGGAACCAAGAGAGAGAGAGTGAGAAAGAGTGAGCGAGTTTGAGAGCGATAGAGACAGAGAGAGCGAGAGAGATAGAGACAGAGAGAGTGAGGGAGCATGAGAGAGCATAAGACACATAGAAAAACCGACGCTTCCCAAGAATCGACAGACGAGTTCACTAGATCTACTCAATATCTAGAACTGGTTTCTAAAAGTTCAGCCACCTTTTCCAGGTGTCTGCTGTAATTAAATCTATTAAATTCCTTCGAAAAAAGATTTGTCCGTTAGAGTTATAATTAAAAAAGGCAACGGCATCTCTGGACAGTAACTGAGGCATGCGGTAAATCACTAATTCGCAGCGGGATCACTCAATTTGTGGTACATGCATGGGAATGCTTAGGCTTAGGATAGCGTCGATTTTTAATTGACTGCGACATACAGTTAGAGGCAAAGATGGCAAATTACGAAGATAAAAAGGAAAGGAAGTTTTTCAAAAGCCCGAATTTCCCACCAAAATCCCCCAAAAATCGAATTCTAAAAAACGAGCTTTCAACTTCCACCTACTTCCTACCGGCCCTCGCCAAGCTCCACCCCTTTTTTCCTAGAAATAACAATAAACGCAATTTGGCGCCGGGCCCCAAGAAACGGGCCGCCACGGGCCCGGTGGTGGCAATTATCGCCGAAGCTGAAAATATGGCAGCGCACGCCGCGTGTGGCACCCTATTTGGCGCCGCCCTTTGATTCCATGCCACAAATTCCCTGGGAATCGCCCGCAAATTTCCTGCGAATGTTTGCCCACGTTTTTTGCGGTTCAGACCTTATGGGAGTGATCGAAACGGCAGAATTTTGACGTGGATTTTGCAAGAACCGGCTGGGTCGTCTGAAACGCGTCAAGTTCAAGGAAAGCACAAATATACCGTCATTTGGAATTCCGCGTAGTGCCCAGCTACAAATAATGAAACTGCTATAAATTAGATCGTTTTAAAAAATGCGGGTGCTTTTGCGGATACGTATTTTAATCGATAATCGCAAAACCCCAATGCTGTGCTACAAACATAATTAGAAAAAAAGATATGACGCAAGACTTTTTTCGAAAGTGGATTTTTTACAAAAATATCCTTATAGCGCCCAAGCATTTTGTAAACTTATGAATATGTAAAAATCGCTTCAAAAAAAAGTTCCTGTAACAAAGTTCATCTTAGATAAAAAGTTTTACAAATAGCACCTGTTTTTAAAAGAACCTAGTATACACGAGGTACTCAAAAAATTGAAAATTGAGAACCACACTGCCGGCCTATTAAGATACAATTTTACTCAAGGTTTCGTTGTTTTTGGGCCTGAGATTTGAAATTCCATACACACAGCAAATGCACTCAGCTGGGGCCCAGAATTCGTGGGGATTTTTTCGGGCAAAAGACGCAGCAGAGTTCGTGCGCACTTTCCGGAAAATTAGTGGGCATGAGTAAGCCGGAACTACAAGAAAATTATTCCACAAAGTACGACAGAGCAGCCTGAAGGCCAGATAGTTAAAGCTTAGCATGAAATAATTAAAGGACCTAGACGAAGAAAGCTGTTAGGTTTGAAACGAGTCAGGATTAGTTACCGAATGGCACCTCTGAACCGACTTAATCCTGGCGAAAAGCCCACCGGAATCTCGGTTCAACGGACTCGTTAGGAACGCCCGAATACCCCAAACACTACGGAGACCCCTAGACACACCCCCATTACGGCTTAACGATGGGTAATTGGGCCTATTGAATGGGTGTGCGATGAATTGGAGTTAACTAGCAGATACAAAGAATGATCACCGATCAACGAGTTTCTCGAAAATATGTACAGACGTTAAGTGCTTGCAAAGGATACAAAGTACACGGTGGCCATGTTGCAGAAATCGGACCGGGCGTTAACCCTATGGCTATGCGTCTATTTAAGTTGAAGGTACCTTACAACATAGTCAAAAACTTACCTAGCAAACGTGTTATGCTTGGACAGTGCCTTTTGGTCTCTTGATTTGAATCCTGGGCGAATCGCCTTGCACCCAGCCGCGTCGTCTAGCCTGCCTAATTCGCAGCTTTTTTGCTCGCGGGCATCAGAGTTCAGGCGCAATGTCGACGCAAAAAAAGGAAATGGGGTAGCGCGGAAACCGAGAAATCCGGAATCTTTTACCGCTGAATACTAAAGTAATTTACTCACAGAACGAATAGGTGTGCATTTCTTTAATTGCGCAATGTGGGTAGCGAAAAATGAAACAAAAGCCATACTAGAGAGAAAAACCAATGGGATAGGGACAGAGCGAGAGAGTGAGCTAGCGAGAGTGCGTGAGAGAGAGCGGGAGAGCGAGATAGAGAGAGAGGGAGAGAGACAGAGAGAGAGAGAGAGAGAGAGAGAGAGAACTGACGAACAACTTCTGGGACTAACCTGACCTGGAGCGGAATTTCCGATGCGGTTCAACGGATTCGTTAGCGACGCTCGGATACCCCCAGACACCTCTCCCACGCCCCGATTATTGGCTTAACGACGGATAATTGGCCTTTAAAAAAAGGTGCGGGATGAATGGGATGATGACCAGTTGATGCTCGAAATTTGTACTAGCTTTCCAATTTCTTAAACCGAAGTTTTGGGCCAGTAATTGGGCAATGTCGATCTTCTGCTTGCTCCTCTATTAGGCTATTTATTAGCTTTATACATTTTGTAGCACGTATCTTAACGGTAAGATTCTCACGAAATACAGCCAATGTTGCGGTGGTGCCAGGATCATGGAACTGATTGAGGGAATTTCATTTATGGCTAGTCAGAATACGGACGAATGAAAATGTTCTGAAATAAAATGCAAATACAAAATGAGAATTTTCAAAAAACAACGGTGCGCCTAAAAGGTAGATGATAAATATATAAGGCGAAAAAGCGGCATCATCCTTTGAGCCGCTCAAAATTTGAAGCACTATTCGGGGTCTTCGCTCCTGGAGCGTGGCAGCCATTTCTAAAGTGTTGTCTTGCTATTTGATCAACTTTCGAAATTCTAAAATTTTTCAGGAGGTTCCACTATTCTTAGAAGAACCTTCCGGAAAATGAAACTTTTTCTCGTGACCAAAATCCCACCTCCAGATCCCTGAATTCGGCCATGATGAGCTCAATGGCTTTCCGATCTTCCAAGCTCCACTGATCGGAATTGCGACTTCTTGGCCCTGAAGCTAACGAAGCTTGTGAAGAAGATGCTTTTGCTTCGTCCCCGTTCAGCGTCGGCGTTTTGAAATTGGGCGAGGTCGAAGATGCGCTTGGCTCGGTTTGCTCATGCAGGAGTGCCAGTCTCTCGAGTTCATCCTTCTTCTCCTGCTTGAGGCTATCATGGACAAGTTTAATCGCCTCGGTGCAGCTAGATTTCATGCTGGCCAGCTGGCGTACGAAGGAATACAGCTCCAGGATTGGGACTTCTGAAAAATGATGATAAAGAATAAAGACAGATGGTAGCTTCGGTTTCTCTCACTCTCTCTCTCACTCTTTCTCTCACTCTCTCTCGCTCTGTCTCTCCCTTTCTCTCTCAACCTACCCCGAATCAAGGCCTTCAACGTCTGATGACTCGTAATAGCAGCGGGTGGTGTATCGACCACGCAGTCCAAAAGATACGTAAGGGTCGATATCGGCACCTCAAAAGTTACGGATTTGTACGCACATTGCCGTAAATTTATTGTGCGCTACAATAATACCGTCTCTGCAACAAAAAAACGAACCTCCCCGTCCTGCTGCAAGGCGCCACGCCGTTTCTGGTGCCTCCGAAGTAATGCAACGATAAGGAGTTGCAATTCCTCACGCGTGTTCTTCAATTCGTTTTCTAGTGTCGCAGCTTTTTGCACAGCTCCCCTTAACTTCGACAGCTCCTCCTCCTTCTGTCGCGCCACCGTGAGAGCCAGATCAAGCCTGTACTCCGTATGGAGGAGGTCATCACGCAAATGTTCCATTTCCTCCTCGGTTTCTGCGAGCTGCAGGATTGCTGCATTCAGCTCCCGCCCCTTTTGGCGGCGATCTTGGCTCTGCTTGATTACCTAAAAAAACATTCACAGGTTCCTAGGGGAGAAAGCAAAAATGCCGACATCAAAGAAACCAATGACTAAAACACCGACATCGTAACTATCGACAAAAATCGTGTTTCGCTAAGAATTGCAATATCCTTTGCACGCTCTTTTTTTCTTTGGATTTGGCTTCTAGGTGTCGACATTTCCGCTTTCGGTATTTTGAAATTCCGTTAAGGATATCGACGCACTGCCATGGTCGATTTATTTCAATTAAAACAAACTACACTTCAAAACCCATACCGCTTCCTTCAGCTTGTCAAACCACTGGTAATCGAGTGCCCGTTCTTTCTTCGACTGCTCGGTCATGTTGGTCAACGCCTTCTCAGACTGCGCATACTTTGCCTTCACCCGCTCAAGTTTAGCATCTAAAATACGCCAATTACACATCGAACTTGAAGCTGCTGATTTTTATTTAGGCTTAAGAAAGCACCTTGAAGCTCGAATGAATGTCTCCATTCCTCGACAACACGACGGGCCTCGACGAAAATATAGGCATAGTCGGGCTCGGGCACTCCGTGCTTTGGAACGACGGAGAAGTAAAGACTGGAATAGTAAGTAGTATTCCGTATACCATTTGGGTTTCATACCCGACGTCTTCGTGCTCGAGATCGAGGCGGAAATGTTTGGGTTGATTCTTTTTAGCTGTTCCCTTTTTGGGTGGCGGTTCTGGCTCGTATTTGTAGCGTCGCCTATAAGGAGCATATTTTAATAGATCCTGGCTAGGAAACGGACAAGACATACGCGCGCGCCAGCAACACGCGCGTGCGTGCGCGTTACGTGTCGCACCCGCGGAAAACTAACGAACCAATAAAACCAATTTAACTTACCCATTAATGTAGACGTATTGCCTTGGCTTCTTCTTTCGAGACGTAGTTTGTTGGGTCGCGTCGTCGGCCTCCATTGCACCGCTGAAATGGGGCATCGTAATTTGTCGACAATAATAAAAATATAATTAACTTCTCAAAGTCATGGTGCTGCACACCGCTAAGTAGAAGATATTGCAATCCCTCACCAGCGTCGCTTGTGTCCGACTTTGATCTTGTCGTTTCCCTCATCGCTTCGGATGACATCTCCGGGGCTCATTGTCTTATCGGCCTCCATTTTTAAGCTAAAAATTCTTTATTATTATCGTCATCGACGTTTATTAGAATTTTATCGACTCTGTTCATGGTTTCTCCTTTGGCAAACATTTTTTTTTGCAATAAAACAAAATAACGACATTAACGAAATTCATGAAATCTGAATCGATATTGGCGATAGGAAGAACTTATGGCTCCTTATGAACGTATTTTATTCCTGTCGGTGTCATCGAAAATGCAGCACATCAAATTGGAAACTGGGGAAGAGAGAGGTAAGGCATGGACTTGTAACGAGGATTGAAACGAAATGCACCGTAAGTCGCTTGGATAATACTTGTTGAATAGAAATTTGACAAAGCTAAAAAATCCGTAATGCATCCCTTGCGGTGAATATATGTAGAATGGCAAAATATCATGGCGAGGCACAAAATTTGGCGAGGATTTAGCGGTGACAATTAGGAACTTGTTGCGGTAAATTATGGCTAATACACATAAATTCGGGCCTTGAAATTGGTAAATACAAAATTATAGTGGTTGTTGAAGTCGGGCAAGAGGCTGGTTGTTGTAGAGGTAGTTTCGAGACGCGGCTGCTGAAAATTCAGGTTTGTGAAGTGTTGTTTGTTAGTGAGAAAAATTATGATCCATCGTGACATTCAAGGATCGAAGCGGATCAAGCCTATCTTGTGTAGAATTTTGCGCTGATCCGGTAATTTGACAATCTGTGAAACTCACATCAAAGATTAAAAATGAATCAGCTCGTACGCCCGAAAAACTGGTCGAATTTCGAGAATTTTTTTTGCTTTCGCACTTAAAGGCTTCATCATTTTTTTAATCGGTTTGTTTCAAAGATTTTCCGAGGTTTGATCTTGACCAAAAAACTCTTGTTAGCATTAACGCCCGTTAACAAAGTGCAAACCTCACCTACAACTTCATGGCTGCTGTCTGCAGCTATCCAGTAGTAGGATCGCATCCGAACAGTTGTCCCTCATCTGTCCTAACAGGTGCGCAAAATAGAGCCGCAGCGGGCGCGGGGCATCTGAAGGGTAAAATTATTCACTATCAGAATCTCGAACATAGGGTCTTGAATTTCTATAGGGGTCTGCGTGGTGGTCCAAACCATAAAATCCTTCTAACAGAACCGGGTCGAATTGGAACATTAGTTGTGTTATGCAAAGCCCCCAAAAACGGCGAGTTCTAATTTTAGCATTATGTTTTGATTTATCGGGGGCTTTTTATCAAGGACTAAATTTTACAAAAAACTAAAATAATACATTTGTTCAGCGAATTCGAAGACGCTGGCCCACCTTTAAACAATGTCGTCAAGGTCGGGTCATTTGAGATCGCACCCGGCGGGGCATTGTTGACACGGTCCACCAGATAGGCGACTTTAGGTGCTGGCTGCTGAAATAGATCATTTTGATCGAGTGTTTCAGGTAACTTTTAAACCATATCTGGTAGTAAGGTAACGTACTAAAGACTGACCGTATATGGCGCTGGAGATTGTGGCGAATACGGCGGTGTTTCTGGATCGTTCATCGGGGTAGGCCTACGCAACCTTGCCATCTCCGCTCTCGCCTCGTTCAACTCGGCCCGGAGTTGTTTGGCTTCAGCTCGGTGCAAAGCCATTTGCGATGGTCGTAGCACTTCCCTCAGTCTCGCCATTTCCTGCTCAACAAGTCGAGCCTTTGCTTCGGATCGCTCCCGAGCTTCCCGAAGTCGATGACACTCGATTAGTGCAGCGTCAGCCTCTTTTTCGGCCCTGTCCCGTTCCTCTTTTGCTTGCTGGAGTTCGGCACCGGCTTGCTTTAGCTGAATCGAAATTGTGCTAATGTAAATCAAGTGCCTCGATACCTGTTCTTCCTTGGTTTCAATTACTTGCTGGTAAAAATGCTTTTCTTCCTGTGTCTCCCTGATAACTTTGACGACCTTCCGTTTCGCTCGCCCGTTGGTCGCTTTAGCCCGTTCATATTTTGCTGCTAAAAGTACAGTGTAAGTGTAAGCAGGCCCGGGGGCCCGTAGGGTGGGGCCCAGGGGGGGGCCCGCCCCGAAATGGTAGGGGGGGCGAAAAAAAAAGGGGACCCTTAAGAATTTTAGATACAAAATTTCCTCGGGCGGTAAAATTTAAAAATTGGGGTGTGCTGAAAGGCAAATTATTAAAAAAATTTCTGGCGGGCGGCGGGGGTTTTCAAGGGGGAAACAAATGTTCTAAAAATTTTTGCGGGGGCCGCGGGGGCGGCGGCTGTTTGTTTTCACTGGGGGGGAGGGGCGAGCGACGCTTTTTTTTTTTTTGGGGCGCTGGGGGGGTTTTTAGTGGGGGGGGGTTTTCGGGGGTTTTTAAAGGGGGTGGGCGACCGGGGGGGGGGGGTCCCAAAATTTTGGCCCCGCGGTTTTTTTTTTCGCTACGGGCCTGAGTGTAAGTAAGTACAATCGTGAGGGAGAGAGCGATAGAGAGAGACGCACAGGGAGAGAAAAACTGACCTTGTCGATCAAATTTCTGTTGCCATTCCCTGACGACTCGTTCGGCTTTCACAAGCACGTCCTCAGCACCGCACAGATCCGCACCTTCTTTCGGGGCGACGCAAAAATACAACCTAAAACGATATTAACCCGATTCTACTGATAAAGAATGCTTTTATAATATGCTTAGAAGTGTGTCACTTACTCGAAATCATCATTTGCGATATCTATGTGGAATCGTCGGATCTCTGCGGCTTCCAAAGCTTGATCTTCAGGGTCTGTGGCAGGGGTAGCTGAGAGGTTTGGAGACCTAAAAAATGGCTCTTATTTAGACGATTTCACTCTCTAATTCTTACATCTATGCTACCTACTCGAGCTCTGCCTGTGTTGAACATGAAGATCCCTTCCTGTGATCCGTCGCGAAGCCCCGCTCATCGGACATATTTGTTGCTCCTTCAGCATTTTCAACTGGTCCATATGCATCGCCTTCATATGGCGTTGCCGACGACGGGGGCGAGTGGCTTGAGGGTCTAGATAATGTTAGATAGAACTGTTTCCATCAAGGGACAGTAGAATTATTCGACCCACAACACTTACTCGAATTCTTGATAGTCCACACCCTGCTGGAAGAGCGGAACGTCTGTGTTCTCATCAAAATCTTCTTTTGGAGTGATGGGGAAAGTCGGCAAGTGATTCCGAGGGCTGAAAAAATAGTGGGAGTCTCTTCAAATAAATGTTATCTGTTGTCAGATAGTTTCTTATTTCTTACCTCACGAAACCCTCCTCAACCATCATGAATTTCTTCACCGGGGGCTCCTCATCAATGGATGTGCTGCGGACGAATACGGTCTGCCTTTGGAACCTAAAATTTTCTAGTTACGACTCGAACGGGAACTGGAGGGGTTGGAAAAAATTTGCAGGTTCTTTGCATTATCGGGGGGAGGGTTTCTTAACAGCCAATTTTTTTTCTTAATATAACTGTATTTCTGAACACAACCAAAGAACAATTTTTCGACACAAGGCCGTTTGAGCAAAATTTCGACTTTTGTCAAATAAAACATAAGTTTATAAACAATAACATAAGTTTACAAATAAAACATTATGAAAATACTTCGATTAAGTTACTGGGAATTTCTAGATTATAACAACAAAGAAATGGCGCCCCCTGATAACGCAAAAGAACCGGTTTGCTTTTGTTGTCAAGGTATTCAAACCACTTACTCGCCATCGTCGAACCGTCCGTGAAATTGTTTTTGGTCTCGATACTCTGGGGCCACTTCATGCGACGTTGCTCCGATTGGCAGCGCATCGTATCCGTAGGCGCGCCTAAAAACGTTTCTTCATTTAAAGAGGGTATCCTGGAATACTTAAAGGAGCACGACTGTTAGGCAAATTCACCGGCGAGCACGATCCGCCATACATCCGCTCGTTCCGGATGCCACACAAACGCCGCAACGACCGGGTGGTGGTTCCATTTTTGGCGCTAAAGCTTACTGAAACCGATCAATTTGAAAGTGCGGCTAATTTTTAGAGAGAAATGGGAGGAGGAGGAGAACGAGCACAAACCTGAGCGCGAAAGTGAATTCTAAAACAAAACAGAGAAGCCATGGTTAGGCATGATATTCGATTTAAACGAAATCAACCCACAATGGTGGAAAACCTATAAAATTCTTTATTACTCAAGTCTTTATAGAAAAGGCACCATACATTGGCAAACTGTATGGGGATGATGTTGAAAATTGGCCCGGTAGGGGAAATGTAATGACTGGCAGATTTTTAGATATTTGTAAGTTTTGTAGAACCGGGTTGGGGTAGAGGATGTACATATCTTGGTATTAAACAACGCAGCAACAATTTGAAACATGGTAAACAATCAATAAAAATGCACAAAAAATCAAACACAAGTGGGGAAAAATTCGGCCTGATCTCGAGAAAAATACTTGCGAAAGGAGCCACGTCGCAAATTTATGCTGAACCTTTACTTATTAGATGTAAGTTGTATATACGAATTAAAAATAATTCTGTATAGAAGATACAAATAAAAATGAATAAATAAAAGAAGAGGCAAATACGGCGAAAAATGTTGTGAAACTCTAAAACAACGCAAACAAAAAGCGTTGGCTCCTAACCAAGGATCTTAAAAAAAACGAGGAAAAATGCAATACACTATTTTGCATGAAAAGGCAATAAGAGTACACGCCTGTAGTCGATTATAAAAATAACATCAATGTTCAGGCAATTGTAACTGCGCCAAGCTGAAACTTATGAGAGGAGCCGCCTCGTCAAAACTCGGCCTAAGAAATAGGCAATTAGGATTGCTTAATTTAAAAAAATCATGAATTGAATCGAATCGTTGAGGCTTCGAGTCGTCTTTCAATGCGTCGGCTCCTACCCAAGACTTGCGGACATTTGAGGGAAAATTGAAATACATAACAAAAAAAAACCAAGAGTATTACGGGCGTTACACGAAAGTTATGACGAGCTCGAGGTGATATCACTGGTCTTAGGCCAGATTGAGCCTGTGAAGGCGTCGGGGCTGATGGGCTCCAAGATTAGCTTCGATGGCGGGCGTGGTACCGGAACGTCCCCGCCCTGAAGATTAAAAAAATTAATGAAAAGAATCTCTCTCCCTCTCTCCCCCCTCTCTCTCTCTCTCTCTCTCTCGGACTTTCTCTCTTTCTCTGTCTCTCTGTCCCTTTATCTGTCTTTCTCGCTCTTTCTCTCGCACTCCAATGCGCTATAATCTCAAGTATATCCCACCAGCGCTTGCTGACAATCCGCCAATATTCGTCTCATTCGCTCGTCCTCCACCTCCCTCGATTGGTCCGCTGCTGGTCCCACATCAACTTGTAGCGGCGCGATCGATCCATTAGATAGGGGCGGTGTCGATGCTATCGAGCACGTATTCGACCACTGTGACATCATATTCTGAAGTTGCTGATCAAGGCCCAGCGGGGCGACATCAGCGAACGACGGCGGATCCAGCTGGTTCTGTGGGGCCAGAAGATGCTCAAACGATGGCAACCCGGTTGCTTGTGGTAGTGAACTCATCGAAGTTGTCGTCGGGTTCTGCAAATTCTCCACGGAGAATCTGGCCGACATGGAAATGGCCTGCAAGGCTTGTGGTCCTTGCATTGCCTCGAGCAAGTCGGCAAGGGTCGGAACGCCACAGGGAGCAGTTTCAGCCGGTTGGCCTGTGGACGGAATCGGCCTCGAACCCGCTTGATCGGTTTCGGGCATTGGCGGGTTGACCGAATAAAGAGGAGCATCACTTGGCATAGCCAAAAGCTGTCGCATCGCTTCTTCATGACTTGATCGGCGTTCCGTTTGGATCAAAGCTTGTGGCTTCTGAATCACTGAGGTTGACGTCGGGGCCAGGGGGTTCTGGATTCCGGCTAGCATCCGCATCATGAAGGCGGTCGCAGCCAGCGAGTTTTCAGCAATTCGAGTTGTGACTTGCTGAGGGAAGGTGTCCATACGGATGGGTTTTTGAACTTGTTGCTGATGGAGGATTGGCATCGTCTGGTTGAGCTGGTGGGCCTGATGAATCAGATTGACGTTGTCCACTTGATTCGTTTGATTCGCTTGAATGATCCGATTCATCTGATTCGTTATATTGAACTGTGCTTCCAGATTCGTCTCGTGCTCCGGGTTTGTCTGCTTTTTCAGCCTCTTCCGTGATGCGGCCGGATATGGAACTTTTGCCTTGGGCTTCTGCGTCTTCCAACGGCTCCTTTGGTGCAAACACGCGCTAATCATCATGACCGCCTCCATACAGCTGGCCCTCAGTTGATTTACCACGCCTCTAACGCTTTGCAAAGCCACATCGTCTTGCGCTAAAAAGCGTTTATTTCTAAATTGGTCAACCAAAGCCCACCTTCCAGCCAGGCGGTGAATTTCGCATCTTTAGCGATGTAATCTGCGGGGTGCGTCGCAATGTAGTTGAGCACCATTGACAATGTAGATTGCTACAAGTGAATGATTGTAAAGAAGAAGTATCTCTAGGCAAAAGGCTGTAAATGTTGCTTAACAGGGGGGGAGACCGGATAATGGGGTGGAAACCAAAGTTGTTGGGTTATGTGGTTTTTTATGCAGGTTTTGTGAATGGCATTATTAGACGATCAAAAAAATTGGCTTCAAAAAATCAATAACATTTAGCTTCACTCGGAAATAACTTACTTGAAATTAATTACCAAACAAACAAAAATCGAGTCTCGTTTTGCCGGGAAGCGGTTTTTTCCCCCATTTTCACATTTTTTGATGATTTTGTGAATGCCATAGGATCGCGCATCAAAAATGATACAAAGAGATTTAACCACAGTCCAAAATACGTTAATTTGAAATTATTATATGACTATCCAAAAAAGATTTATTAATAAACAACTCTGCTCATAGTACATTTTTCGACGCATTTTTATCTACTGGTATTTTTAAAGTCAACAAAATATAAAATGTTTTGCCCCTTATTTATTGCTCCTCGCCCCCCCCCTCGTTAAGCAACCATTACCAGAGAACCTAGCCCGTTTTATTCAGAATAGAAGAAGACAAACCTGCGGCTGAATCTGCGGGGGCGGCGCCATTTCCGGTTGCGCCCGTTTCCGGCCCTCTCGAATAGGCGGTGATGGTGCATCCACGACAGCAGCCTGGGCGCGAAGCTCCTCAACCAACTTGCGCTCCTGCTCCAACTGCTCGTTCGCCTCCCTCAGCCTCTCTTGCACCAGCTGCAGCTCTTCTTGCTGCTGCTCAGTGATTTGCAGCTGCTGTACGCGGTCGTTTTCTCTTTGATTCTGTAGCAGCTGTAGAAGAGCAACTTGCTGCTGCAGCCGCTCGAGCTCGCTTTGCACCTCGACTCGTGCTGCTTGCGTGCGACAAACTTCATCCTTGAGCTTAAGGCGATCCTCTTGCAATTGTGCCTCGGATGAGGCTAATCTTTTGCTGACCTCGGCCAGTTTCTCTTGGGTTTCGGCCAGCTCTTTCGGCTCCTAAATGAAAATTGAAAATAACGTAAGCGGTGTCGGTCTGAACCTAAGCCTAAGCCTAAGCCTAAGCCTAATCTGTAAGCCTAAGCCAAGCCCAAGCCTGAGTAAGTTAAGTAAAGCCCAAGTCGGAGCCTAGGCCTAAGCGAGCCGAGCCTTAAACCCGAGATTAACGCTGCGAGAAACCCGACGATACTGTTTCTAAAGCCCAGCAGACATAAAACTCAATAAGATAGAACGAAGATCTATTAAAACTGGTATCACCAAAATCGAGAAATGCATGCGGAAGCTACAAAATGTACCTCTCGCTTTCCTGTCTGTTCCAGACGTCTCATAAGCTTTCGAAGCCTTTTGTTGACTGGGTGGCTATCCGATTTGAGTTCCTCAAGCCCGGCCCTGTCTTGCGCAATCGTATTGAGCGCATTTTCTCAAAAAAATCGTAGCTGTGCTTTCGTGGAAATTCAACTCATACCTTTCTCCATTAAGCTCAGCTGGTATTCGCCGAGCTGACGACGAGCTTCGATGAGGATTTCGGCATAATTTGGTGGGGCTGCCGGATCAGGGGTAGGCTGATTCTTCAAGCATCCGTAGAGGTCGAGGAAAGCGCTAAAAACGCATGAAGGCCTCATATTTAAACGCGAAGAATCATTAGTTTGAGATTTCGCTACTTATTTGAGTTTTGCCAAGCGCCAATCGTGTTATGTTAGACTAGGATAAGCCATTTAAAGTTTTAATGTTGTTATCCAAGGATAAGTTTTAAGTTTTCTACCGGAACGCCCTATCAAAATATTGCGCTGAAAGTGAAACTGATTTCGCTGACCATTCCGTTACCTTCAACGACCTTTTAAAACGCTCTACTAAGGTAAAAAGTCTTACGAAACGACCTACTCAATTTCCTCGTTCTCCAAATCCAACCGGTAGTGCTCCACATTATAAGGGTTGGCCGCCTTTCCGGCTTCACTGGCATAGGGTAGCGGCGGATCGTATTTATAGCGGCGTCTAAACGAGTTTGACATGCTTTCGTTAAAGTCACGAGACTCATTGATTAGTTATCGGATCTATTAGGTGTACTTTGAAGTATCTCATGTGAGATCATACCTGTTAATGACGATGTATTCCATTGGTCGTTTGCAGTGGATCACTGCCTCAGCTGCATCCGAATCCGTAACGACTTCTGTCTCGATCCTGGAAGAGGCATTCATAAGTCAAGTTTAAGTTCAAGTTCAAGTTCAGTCGATCGAGAAATCAAGTTTAATACGGGCAAACCGAAAACGTATACTATGTCGATATTAGACGTAGACACTTACGCGGTGTCCAACTGTAGCTCGATCAACTGAAGCTCGTCCTTAACCGCAGCTACCCTTTCTCCGACTTTTGATGTTGGCCATGGAAGGCTGTATTTACGCCTAAAAACATTGTAAAATTCAAAGAAAAACGATGGAAAGCGTGATAAAGTCAGGCAGAGAACTGCGCGAGAGAGCGAGCCGCGGTAGGGAGAGAGGGAGAGAGAGAGAGAGAGAGAGAGAGTAGTCACAAATAAAAAAATATGTTTACCAACCGTCTGATCATTATCTGCTCTTCAACCGTCTCATCTGGCGATGGTGGCGGAGTTTCTTCTGGATAAAATTTGGCGTCGGCTTCCATTTGGTGAAGCTGAAAATTCGCGTTCTAATGCAAAAAATATCATTTTTCAGGTAGACAATTCATCCTGTGATGAATGAAGTAAGTACGTAATGCGCTGAACGGCTATCTAGAGGAATTAAAGAGAGTGCGCGAGCGAGGGAGACACAGAAAGGGAGTGCGGGAGCGAGGGAAAGAGAGAGAGGGAGAGAGAGAGAGAGAAAGCGATACAGAAAAAACGGCCAGAGTGAAAAAGAAAGAGCCTTAGAGATTTAGGGATGAGAACAAGCTCAAAGTTAAAACTTTTGACGGCTGGCAAAAACCGAAAAGCAAAAAGCCCCAAGGATTTCGCAAAAACTCCGACATCAGTCGGCTTTGGGACCAAAGAGCGCAAGAAAACGGGGAATCAGTTTTTTGAAGTGTCATTTATGGAGGACGCCCCGCCAGGGGCATTTCTTTTTATAGCGCGGCCCACACTCCGCCCATTTGCAATACCGTAGCCCCTCCCTCCCACTCGCGGCCGGTCCACCCCTCGCTGGTGCAGCTGGCAATGAAGCGGCAAGAGATAGAGCGGATTTCCGGAAATTGGCGATAGACAGAATCGGGGAATAAGTGGAAAAAGAGGAAATTGGCAACATTTGGAATGTGAGAGGTTACTTGGAATTGTGAAAACCTGATAAAAGGCAGACATTTTTTGGACGGTCTATGCAAAAATTGCTTTCTAGATCCTGTGATTGGAATCGTGAGAGAGAGAGAGAGAGAGAGAGAGAGAGAGTTAGGGAGAATGTAGTTCACCGTCGCTTTAAGCCATTTTCCCCATATTCAACTCCCAAAAATTAAGGAAATCGTTCCAACCCAACCCTTTTTGTGGCACTTGGTCGCGGCCACATTTGCAAAAAGCCTCGCCGCCGACCCTAATCGTTTTTCAGCCGGCCGACCCGTACCCTGGATGGCCCCTTGTCCACCCAGTCTCACATCTTTCAACACATCAAAATCAGCGAAAACGATCCTGTCCTCAAAAAGCCGTAAACAGAGCAGTCGATCGTTTAGATTTTCTTGCCGATAGCCGACGGCTGCCTATGCAAATCGGCTGATTTCGCCGACAGAATTACACCCAATGGACTGATGATTCACGATTTCTTGTTTTTGTCGTGGATGGCCAGCGGGGTCGATGGAATTTTTAATTCTGGCTTTTTTTCTCCAGGTCAAAGGATTGTTTACGTAAATCAGGTTGGGGGTCGTGGAAAAAAAATGTGATGATTCATAAATTCTGATTTTACGATCTGGAGGTGTTGGATGGAAGGTTGTGAAACGATTCACACAAATTTGAAGATGGCTGTTTTGCACAGTTCTGCACAGCACAGACAGATAGGGACACGAGAGAGAGAGAGAGAGAGAGAGAGAGATGGAGAGATGGAGAGGGAGAGACGGTGAGAGAGGGAGCTAGGATGAGAGAGAATGGGAGCTAAAGAGAGAGAGAGAGAGAGAGAGAGAGAGAGAGAGACAGTGAGACCATTTTCGCTCGCACCATTGTTGGTAGTGGTATGCCCATTCCGATGCATACCAAATGACACTCTGCGATTCGCCCATCGTTGCGATGGATGTTCCCACAGCCCAAACTCGGTGAATCGCGCGCAAAAAAAGGCAAACGGAAAATACGGAAAAACAGGACAAGGGCTAGAAAAACCGGGGTTGCGCAGGTGGGTCGGGTAGGGTATGTCCAGAATTTTGTGCGGACAAGGCGCAAAAAAGGATATTGCTGGTTCGGGTCCAGTTTTTTTTTCGGAAAAATATCAAGATCACTCCTGAAAAATCCTGAAAACTGATCTCTGGATCCTCTATTTACGTACTTTTTGTATCAAATTTTCTTTGTCCTATTCAGAAAGAACCGATTTGCGGAGCTTCTTTTTAGCTTTTCACGATATTCGCTAATTACAACTTGGAAATTTTTTTAAATTTTTCTATCCTTTCCGTTTTCTGTTCAGATTTTTGCTAATCCAATCACGTTTCCATTCGGGTCCAAAGCACCGAAAAAATTCCGACAATTAGCCGAGGCCATCTAGTCCCCCGGGATCGCCACTATGTTTGCTACCGGCTTGATTGGTAGTTGCCACTTCGCGAAACCCCGGCAAAAAACGGGTCCTTCCGAGAATTTTTTGCACCCCAAATCCGCTACAAATCTCTAGCGAGTGGGTTTTTTGGGGGGTAGTGGAATCGAAAATTAAATCCGGGGCCCTGGCAAAAACCAGAAGAGGCAACAAATTTTGGGGTAGAGCTGTCGTTGTGAAATTGGGTCTGAAAATGCGCAAAAAACGTATCAATTGGAGCAAAAGTGAAAAACATGTATCGCGGCGTCGTCTAATTTTGCGTGTCGCGTACACGGCAAGAACCAACTTTTTTTTGACATACCATTTTATTTCAAATCGGGCAAGTGCTTTCAACTGTTTTTCAGCATTCGTAAACGCAAAAAAAATTAACTAATCAGCTGCCTATTTTACGAGAAAGTAGTGTCGGTTTTTTGGCCAAAATAGCGCTTTTTCGATTTCGACGAACTTCGCTAACCAAATCCAAAGTTACTTCCCTGCCACTTAATAGCAAATTACAAGGCCAAGATACACAAGGATTACAAAGTCTTAGGGCCAGGGTTCGCGCAAAGCGCAGGTGCTAACGTAGATCGGCGTAAGGTGGAGCCGCCCGGAGTTAATCCGAGTTAATTGTTAGCCCAGCGTAATTATTTGGAATTCGTTGCGGGTGGGGCCTACCCTCTGAATTCGTACGGGCTGGGGTTGTATACAATTAATGGAATCATTAATTTCAGCGAGAATACGACAAGATACTTTAGGTAGGGCCAAGATTTAAGCATGATAAAATACTTCTAAAAAGTAGAACGGTATAAAATCTGGCCGGAAATCGGCCAGGTTGAATAAAAGACGGAAAACTGCCCAAACATTGTGGCGGTAGCCGGGCAAAAGTGTGTTGGTGCTGAATACAAAATCTCAGGCCGAGATGGACTTTATGAAAAACGGCCCTGCATCTCGGATCGCAAATCAATAGCTTGGTCATGGGGGAAATTGCAAACGCTTGGATTCCCACGGCGTCAGCTCGAGATGGCAAAAAAAAAGTTTGTACGCCTGGGGTTGCGCTGGGGGGGGGGGAGTTGCAAAATTCCGTGGCAAAAGCAAAGTGTAGTTTAATTCGTTTATAATTTGTTGCTCGTCGCAAGAATGGACCTCTTACATCCATGCGAGATTGATAGCCCTTAAAAAGTCACACATTCCTTAAAGCAGGGCTGGCCGGGGAACCAAATTTTTTCCTGGCGGTCCCGGTTGACCTAGTAATCAAATATAAATTGTTTGTGCATTGTTGTTAGTAAGTTTGAACTATATTTAAAGTAGTAAAACTTTCAAAAAATTAGAAAAATATTTGACAAAAGTCGAAAATTTGGTTATTTTTGGGTCGAAAAAATGATTTTCGACCTAAAATTAAATTTTTTAATTAAATTTTGTAACGTTTGTATGCTTAGGAGTAGCTATAAACAATTTAGAAACACTTCTAGTATTTATATAAAAATTTTAGGCTTGTGCCGAAAAAATTGGTTTCCTCCGCGAATCCTAAAGAACCCTTCATTTTGTTGAAATTTGCAGATTGCCCCAAATATAAGTGTGACCCTCTAAAAAGCGCAATCGTGCGCCGATGTGGCTAATGACACAAGCCAAGGGAAACCATCATCTTTCCGGTCCCCCACAAATGGCCAGCCCGGGCGGGCAGTGCGAGGACCATTCCCAGTCCGCACACATGTGTCCCCCTCGGCCTAAACACGTGAATATAAACAAAGTACAGCTGTACCTAAAGATTGCCGATTTTTTGAGGAGGCCGAGGGTTGCATATGGACGGCTGCATTACCATAGACTCGATTGATCCCATGACAAGAAAGGGACAATTTTGTGATGGGGCGATCGAAAAATGTCAAAGTTATTTCACCAAAAAGTTACCAGCGTTGCTAGCTACCACGCAATCACACGGGGCCAAGCGTAGTTTGCAGGATTTTGAATCCTTTTTAGAAAGAACCAGGGTTCAAAAGCCGCTTCGCGACTTTTGAACCCTGGCCCGTCCGATCCCATGAATATTTTTCACTTTGCATATTCTAATCAAATCGTTATGGCAAATAATTACCACGCAATCACACGGGTCCGTAGTTGCAGGATCTAGAATGTTTTTAAAAAAAGTGTGAAGTACAGACAAGCGCATTCTTTGCAGCCTATTCGCTACCCGAAGTGGTTAGTATTCAGGCAAGGTAAAAATTGCCAAACGGCTGAAAGTCGGTAGTACACCAGCAAAATCCACTCCAAATCCGAATTTTCGATAATCCCAGAAGATACATATCATTCTGGGGTACCTATATATGTCCATTCTTGGCGGTGACAATTAGTGCGAGAGTGTCTCGACTTCCCCCTGGGGAGACCAGGATTTGTTGCCAGCTTATCCAGATTGGGTACCCGAATCAAGAGTGATCCCCGGATTCGGAGATTACTTTCGAAGCCCCTGAGAACAAAGGCTAAACGTTGATTGTAAAAAACGGCTAAACAAAAACGGAGGTTTTCTTAAGCCCATTTCATCTTTTTACCTTTTTATCCCTCCAATTTTTATATGTATTTCCGTATTTCGGCCGATCCGTACTTCTGAGGGCGAACGTGCCGTTGTTTGCCGTACATTCGAAGCTTTTTTGGCATAAGCCGACCACGGGTCACAAGAGCAGGAAACGGTTCTCTTGGGTTACGGCTTATGCAAAAATGCTCAAAAGCGCGTGGGCCACAGGCCAACCCAAGGGTGGTCAGCATAAAAAGGCGATTGGGGGTGTGCTGTGCTGAGGATTATTGCGGAACATGCCGGCGCCGAGTGGAATTGTGCTGTTTTTGGGGCTTCTTCTCGTGGCTTCCGGTTACGAGGAAAGACATTTTAGGGCAAAGGTGAGGGATTAGTATGTGCTTTTCTTGAATTGTGGATCTGATTACGTGATTGTCCTGAACCAAATTTGCTAAACCAAGTTTTCTGCCTGTCAAAAACACAATAAAATCAAGGATGACAATTTCAAGCTGATAAAGGATCTCTTGCGCCTAAATCTGTGATTCTTATTGTTTATTTAACTCAGGCCCAACTTATCAAATTTAATCTACGCTCTTTAGCGATCCACTTGTAACGATTGTACCGTATCCGGAAAATGCCAGGCCAACCCATCTGCCTGTAATGATGCAACCGACGGCTTCATCGAATACGCGCCTACTGTAACGTACTCGGTGGACGGGACTGGTTGTAAGGTATCACTATTTTTTAATTAAATGGGATACCATAACACTCAAAAGTGGTGCCCTTTGTAGCAATTTCTACTTCCCAATTTCAGACCGCACTTGTCGAGTGTGTTGGCGAATCGGTCGTCTACCTTTGGGGGAGCTACGGAGGTCAAGGCGTCTTGGTATGCTGAAAAACCCAGTGCCTCAATGGATCACTTCCGTTTTAGTACAGCCAACAGATCTCCAATGATCCAACCACCCCACTGACAGCCTCGATTAACACCACCTGCAATGGGGATGGAAACTGGACGGTCTATGGGCTTACTGTAGATAACGTGTTTAGTTGTCAGAGCACAGCGGTAAAAAAGTAGTATACCTTCAGATTACTTTGAAATTTAAGAAACCCTGCGCCACTTGTCAGCTAGAAGCGGCTGGAGAATGCGTGTACGAGCCGGAGAATTGTGATGGAGTTTTGTTGGAGTATTCTGAACCTGAATTTACGTCGTCGATAAATGCGACGAGTGGGTGCAAGGTAAGTGAGAGAGCGAGAGGGAGATGAGCGAGAGAAAGAGAGAGTGAGAGCGAGAGAGCAGAGCGCCAGTGAGAGCCAGCGAATACAGAGAAAGCGTTGAGAGTGACCAAGAAAGAGAGCAAGAGAGCGTGAGAACAGAGAGAGAGAGAGAGAGAGAGAGAGAGAGAGAGAGAGAGAGAGAGAGAAGAGTTCGTGAGAGCGAGAGAACGAGCGGGAGCGTGAGAGTGAGCCAGTGAAGAGAGAAAGCCTGAGAATGAGAAAGAAAGAGAGAGCGAGAGAGAGAGAGAAAGAAAGAGAGCGTCAGCCAATTTCATATTTTAGACAGTTACTGTCACTTGCCGAGGCTACGATGCTATTTATATCACTGGTTTTCAAACTGATGGCACCCCGGAACTGGTACTTTTTTGTACTCATGTAGGCAACTTCCGGTCCATGTTAGTTCTATACCGGCTGGGTAGCCGATAATGACCACAGTGTCACCACGATAACTTTTATGTGCAACGGAAATTCCACATTATCATATCCCGGGATCTCGACGACTTATCAGAAAAAATTTGCCTGTCAAGGTATTGATTTTCGTTTTTTATTACATTTTTGAAGGTAATCCACCGCCGTCGTGACGAAGCGATCAATTACTCCAAATTGACCTCAAATTATATGTGCCAATGCTTATGTAAAACAGTAATAAAAATTTTTGTGAAATAAACCATTTGGTCCACAACTATGTACATAATAGATCGCTGGCGATCACGTTAAGAGAACTATTTTTGAACCCGAGCGGAGTCAAAATTAAAAAAGCTCCTCTTTACTGACCAGCGGTACACAGCTTTTTAATAAGCGTTCATGGCATCACAAGGCAAAAATGGGCTTTGATCCCGGGAAAGCGCGATGAAAAGGCACATTGAATTTTTGGGATATATAAAGTTCGGTTGAGGATCGTTGGTAGGCATTTGGCGCACCGAAATGTATTTTCAAAACTGCTTTTTGGCGGCTTGCCTGGTGGTAATCACGCTGTCAGCGACTACAAAAAAGGTAGACCCAATCTTAACCTTTTTTTTGTATCCGAAAAAGCGGATTTCCCGCCTTGAATCTAAGCTATGATTGGTAAAAATATGAAAATTATTTTAAACCAGGGTTGAAAAGCCGCTTCGCGACTTTTCAACCCTGGCCCTGTCTATCCCCATAATATTCTTCTCTCTGCATCCGTCTTTCGAATCCCGATGAGTGAAAAATGAAAAATGACACTCTCTATCTGAATATATAGGCTACACCCATTTCCGGTGCATGCTAATTGTTTCCTAACAAAGAGGGTGTCCGAAATTCTTACAAAAATTAAAATTTGGTGTTTAAAACAATTAATTTTGTAAAATCTGATAAGCGTGCAGTCATTCCAGAGCCATTACGCATCTAATGACATATCATATATACCTTAAAATTCATTCCCTGTCGAGATATCCTCCGGACATGGTGACGGAAGTTGCATGCAAAGTATCACACACACACACACACACACACAAACACTATTTTTTTATATATAGTAGGATAAAGTAATTCCAGCCGGTAGCCAGTTGCAAAACATGCAAAGCCATCCCCTCCGGTGCCTGTCTACAGGATTGTGCGTACTTTAACTACAAAGCCCCAACGATTGCCTATAACGTCTCAGCTGGTTGTAGGGTAAGCTTTTTGATTCATTTCGTACGTAGCAACGTAGCGTAACGTAGCTTCCTCAAAATAATTTTAGACAACCACCGTCTCTTGCAAGGGCTACGGGTCGGTGTACATTATTGGGATATTGCCGAGCAACGCCACTAGCATTGTAAGTGTAAAATTCTCTTAAAAACCTTTGATAAATTTTTTAAATACAAAAAATTATGAATCATTGTTCAGGTAGCCCAGGCTGAAGATAATGACGGAAGTGGAGCGCTCCTTGCCGCCAGTGCCACTTTCAATTGTAACAAAAATGGCGTGTTGACCCTCGGCGGGCGTAACATTAGGCAAAAGTTTGCTTGTCAAGGTATCGGTCAAAATTGATCACTTAGATTTATCGATATTTTAGTGGCCAAGCGATAGTCGGAGAAAGGCCCTACCGCAACCATCTACACAATTTTATGCTTCTCCAACTTTTTAGCGCTGATAAAATCCTAAACTCCGATCGAGAATAAATAATTTGAAATCCGTTTTATTATTTTGATTTTCCATTTAAAAGGAACTTGAGAGCATAAAGCATTCCCCCTGTTGTGTAGATCTTTGGCAGTAAGGCTTTGATTCGAATAAGTGAAGTGTCGAGCATCGAATTTTCTAATTTATCGTCGCGAAACTGGAAAATATGACGTTTGTTGCCATCCCCTTGACTAAAGAGGATTTTGGCAATGCTACCAAAAGCCAAAGCCTTTTTCGATGCTCGGCAACCTGTTGAATGGGCCTTTGGCAGCGCAAAAAAGGCGTGGAACACCACCACCAGATTGAATTTCTGACCAAGAATGAATTTTGTACATTCCGTTTCATTCCTTTTTCTTGTTGCCTGTCAACAGGTAATCTGTATCTAGTCGTACTGTACCTTGGATTCAATCTAGGTGGAGGCCAGTTGCTCGAGCTGTAAGGCCGTACCTTCCGGGGCTTGTTTGAGCGATTGTGAGGTTTTTGCCTACAAAGCTCCAGAGATCAGCTACACTGCATATGCCGGCTGTCGGGTATCGAATCAGGAATTCGAAAACTAAAGCTCTAAATATTTAAGGAAACAACCATATCGTGCACTGACACGCAAATCGTGTACCTTGTAGGGCTTCTCCCAAATAATGTTTCGACGATCGTAAGTTTTTTTTGATGTTATCTTTAGAAAAGAACTTTAGTGCTTGAAAAGTCCATTCACTTTAAAGTTGAAACCCATTAAGGCCCGTACTTTAGGTTGCGGAAGTTTCCAGCTCCGGCGGAGAAACCGTAACAGCTAGCGCCGTTTTTGATTGTTCCCAAAATGGGGCCTTAAACATTGCTGGCAACGATATTCAAAACCGTTTTGCCTGCCATGGTGAGCACCACCTTAAGATTGAGCTCAACATTTATTATTTCAGTACCCAAACCCTAAAGATGAACGATCGACGGCGTGCAAGTGTAGATTAACAAACCGTAAGGCGCGTTTATTCCTTTTAACAACCGCTTTTGATTAATATCTTGGTCAAATCCATGCGCACATAATTCTATGCAATACCAACATGAAACTGATATAACCGTTAACGCAAGAATTCCCGCTTTTCGTAGTCGTCACAAGCGCCTGAGACGTAGTTGCTGCTGTCGGCGGCATTGTCGTCCTGGTAAAGCCCAGATAAATCGACCCCTCGTTGCAAAAATCCTCGGTGCAAATATACATCAACGTCGAGGAGGAGAGCGAGTATTTTCCAGCCTGAAAAAATCCTGCTTGTTTTCCATTCAAAGTTTCTAGCTGCTCATCATTTTTACCAATGATTAGCTTGTAAGTAGCTTTTCTATACCTTAAAAGAATGCTCCGCTTTCGTGTCGTCTTGCCAGAAACACCCGTTCTTCACGATTTTACCCTAAAAGGTTATTGTGCACCTGCTCTCTCTTGCTCCTCTCTCTCTCTTTTTCTCACTCTCTCTCTCTCGCTATCTCTCTGTCTCTTGCTCGATCTATCTCCACTTACCGTGGCATCAGCCACCTGGATACAAGATTGCGCCTTGCAAGTCGTGTTGCTCTCTAAAAATTATAAGCTATGAAATTTGGACTTCTCCCTACTTTCCGTTCCAACCATGCACGTAACATTTTTGTCGTACAAGCGAAAGGAGTCGGTCCAGTAGTTGCAATTTGTCTATAAAATTAAGTTGAAAACTGAGGACACAACAGAGGTGAAATTCGTACGATAAAAATCCTTTAAGGCTTTTTAAGAGTGCATTTTACCTCTGCACACAGCATTAATGTCTCCTTGTTCTTGGTGTCAAATTGGGATGCATAGATTCCGCCCATATATACCCTAGAAGTTGGCCAAGTCACTATCACACGATATCAAAATCGATTACGGCATGGTTTTGTCGATCATCGCCACCTCGAGGAGATTCATGGTATAGGAGGTGTAGGGAAGTGAGCCGATGCCGATGAAAGTTTGATTCGATTCCAGGCAGGGATCGCCAGTAGAAAATTTGCAGGTTCCCAGCTGAAAAGTTGATTTTAAATGATGCAATGCAATTCAAAAGTAATAACTAATCTATTAAAATTATAATCGATGAGTAATACCGTTTCCGGGATGCGAACCATGCACACTTCAGCCGTCATTGTCGTGTTAGAAGCGAGGCGTGTCTTACTAGGGTCCGGAAGCACGGTGACATCAGGTGCCACTTGCGAAGAGCTGTCGAGCTGAATGCCATTATATAGGTTCTACAACTTTCAATAGCTAAATAACAGCCAAATAACGAAAAGTAGGCTCACGTGATAAGTGTAACATAAATTCGTGGGCCGGAAATCGGTGGTGGGTAAGCTTTTTCCGGCAACGGCAGCCGCACGGCTTGAAGTGACGTTTTCCGGGCCGGGGGTGAACACGGGAGAACCCGCGTTGCACTTATCCGCGTGACTAAAATTATTTTAAAGCGCGTATCATCATTTTCGTGTAGCGGTATTATGTGTACCAGGAAGCTGCTGGCTATGACTTACTTGCACATACAAAGCCACCCCAAATTCGACGGTTTGTTGTCGAAAAAGTCCAAACGGCAACCCGGCTCATAGGAAAAACCCGACATACATTGGCGATACGTTCGATTGTCGTGCTGCATAAACATCACCCAACACATGTCGCCCTCGCATGTTCTGGGTTTGCTAAATAAATCCCTTTTCCACGGGCCTCTAACACTTTGAATCCAAAAACGTCAGAAGTTTTTGTAATTCTACAAAAATCTTGAGCAGCAAATTTCAGAAAGTTTAAGAATTAATTTTAACCTTAAAAATCCTGTATTTTAAGCATACTTTGTTATTCTGCAAGTTAGCCGCATAAAACATGCAAATCCTGTCAAATTATTGAATTCGTATGACAAATCTGACAAATATCTAGGAAAACCTTAGTTACTTCCTGCTACTCTACTCTTTTTTCTTCCAGGATTAGCTATTCTCAATTTATCTTACCTATCATTAACGTATGGCGACTTTGAGATCTCCTCCACGCATGTTAGGCATAATATAGGCGGAATTAGCTGAAGAAAGAATAGAAAGTACCGAGACAGCGCCATTACGTGTGCCCCGAAACTCGGCTTCTTCCTGCTCCCGTTTTGTCGACTACACTGTTACCTGGTAACTCCCGCCGGGAAATTGGTCCCTCTCTCCGTCTGTTTCCAAAGAAGGCGTGTGCTCTTTCCCAAAACAATCATGCCTTTGAAGATGGCGGGGCTACAACGGTTTCAGCTGGCTGTTCGGAAGAAACTCTCCGCTGGCATCGCTGAACCTAAAAACCTAGCCTTTGACAATCTCCAGCTGCTTTCATGCGCACTAAATTCAGAAATTCTAATTCCACCAAATATGTGATATTTATTCAACCATTTCAACAAAAAGCAATACCAGCAAGGATTATGACAACGAGATAAGGTCAGTTCATGCAAAAATACATAACGAAAAGCTAGATCTATGGATGCGAATGCAGGTTAATAGAACATTTAGAAAGTTTAATCATAGTTAAGGGGTTCATGGGATAAGGTCATCCGTAATCGTGCGCGAATTTGCCTCCCTCATTCGTCGTTGCTTGTCTTTGATGTACGAGCAGTGGTAGACCTGGAAAAGAAATTTTAAGAAGAGCGTGGGAAGAGCAGAGAGGAGAGAGAGAGAGAGAGAGAGAGAGAGAGAGAGAGAGAGAGAGATACCCACCTGGCAATCTGGAGTCTTGCAGCGCTTCGCATGCAACACGCACAGCTGCAGGATGTTCATGCAGACGTAGCACGTTGAGCGTTTCGGGCAGCGCTAAACTATGCTTTAATCTTGAAAGCTGTATCAATTATACCTTTCCATGCTCAATGAATTCCTTCACCGATCCGCATCGAGTACAGGGGACAGTTTTGCAGCTGCTGCCATGCTCGAGTATTGCGAGGCTGTTAAGGGCGGCCGGGCTTAATTCCTGAAAAATTCAATTTAGAAAAAATCAGCAAAGGTATTATAAGATTACAATCACTATTTTAAAACGATATCAAGTAACGTCTAAAATTTACCTCATTGTTGTTGTTGCTATCAATCTTGACCAGCGCGTGCGGGTGGTGAACCGTCTTTCGGCACGCGTCGCAAAGATCAAAGTCCTGCCAAACGATATCAAGCTATATTTCTATAAAAATACCTTGCAATCGTAGCAGTGCCACGTGGCGGCTGCTTGGCAGACGTCGCACGTGAATTCGGACAAACGACCGGTGCCCGTGTGCAGCGCATGGCCGAGGCACAGCGTAGAGTATTTGGCCCTGAAAAAGGAAAAGGCATTTTTCTAAAATAAAAGCGAGCAATCAAGCCTAAAATATAATTGCAAACTGTTTTCATTATCAGGGATATCTGCCCGTTTTTTTTTCTAAATAGAGCCTCAACCTAATTTCAAACGGCTTCGCAAGTTTTCTAAACCAGTTTTTCGACCTAAAATATAGCTAACACGTACAAAAAGTCGTTAAAATGCTCACCATTACGCTATAATCTCGGGCTACAGACGGAAAAAAAATATCGATGCCCACATATTGCAAAAGACACCAACGAAACAATACTCTTAGATAAAAAATACCTTCTCAAGCTGCTAAACTCCCAGTGGTGGTCGCGCGCGTGGTGCAGGAAATTTTCTCGCCAGTCCACCAGGTTGCGCTCGGTCGCCGGGTCCGGATCGTTGATGGTCGGCACGAGCTTCTCGTCTTCCGGCCGCAGGCGCACGACGAAGAAGTCGTCCTTGTGCTTCTGGAGCCGGGCGTACAGGCGGTCGATGGCTTGGCCCGGTTTGGTCTTCTTGGACGGCTTTTTCCTGAAAATAGGTGTTAGAAATGGTCTCATCAACGTCAAGACAGCAAAAAAACGCAAGTAAAACCGTTACTTGTTCCGTTTCTTCTGCACAACAGCTTTAGGGTCGGCAGTCTCCTTCTCGGGATCGATGCAGTATTGTATAACGTCCGGTAAGAAATCACCATCGAAAAGCGGCATTTCTATCGGCGATAGAACATCGTCAGCGATTGCCTGCAAATGAAACGATAAACTAATCCTATAAATAAAAGGACCTGTGCCAACACGTCTCTGACGCCGACCACGATCCCAGTTTTCTTGCCTTTTTCGAGCAATCGCCGATACCAGCTCTATAAAAAGAAGAAATTCACAAAATCAGCAGTCAAACCTGAAGCCTTTTGTTTGTCGGCATTTGTTGGGAGGGCGGGTGGCAGTGGAAGATGTAGTCGTCGCCATTTCCCGGGGGTGCCGCCCAGATATGCGCCATGATGTAGCCGAGCTGCTTCGCGTACTCCAGATAGCCGAGGAGGATCTGCTGGTAGACGCCAGTGCGGAGAGCGCGTGGCCGGAACACGTTCACCGAGTCCAGGTAGGCGATGTAAATGCGCCTAAATCAAAGTAAAACGAAAAAAACAAAAACATACCTTTGATTATTGGCGCCCGAATTCTCGTTGTATTCCTGGACGTAGAAGGCGAAAAAGCACACCTCGTCGCCGTCGATCGTCTGGTAGGCGAAGATCGACTTAGATCTGTAGGGAATTTTGGCAGGTAGTCCCCGATGGCCATATCTAAAAAGGAGGATTTCATAAAAGACTAAAAATCAATCTGAAAAAGATAAACATCAAATGATAACCAACTTTGCAACCAATTCCTCCTTGAGCACCAGCTTCGTATCTTGCACAGAATGGACGCGGATGATCACATCAGCGCCAGACTTTTTCTCGGCCAAAAATGTCTTGACGCGCAGCTCGATGTGCTTGCTGAGCTCGGATTCGGGGAGTTGCCGGGCAGTGAACTTGTTGATTGGCTTCGGAATGGCTCTTTCCCGGCGACAGGTCGGGCAGGTAAAGCCATCGGAGTACACCTAAAAGCAAAAACTAAACTAAAAAAGAGCCGCTAAAGCCAAAGAAAAGACGACAAAAATGCCCACCTTGCTATCGTAGTTGGCGCAGATGCGATGCCAGCTCCTTGCACATAGCTTGCAGACTTCAAAGGGCTCGGGCACGAGCTCGGCGTTTCTCGTTTTCTCAAAGTTTTCCTATAAAAGAATAAAAGGGAGAAAACCTTTAGTAACCTTTCGTATAATCCGCGGGTCACTCTCGGATGCTCGAATGCCGCCCGCCGGCATTGTGTTGAAGCACGGAACACAGAAATTCCATCGTTCCTTCTTGGCGAGGCTGGCTGGCAATCCGGGCATTATGCAACTAAAGAAAAGATAACTAACACGTAAAAAACCCTTACGTCATATAAGGAGTGTCCCAGCGAATCCGGCAGCGCGTCCGTCCATCACATTCGATTGCCAGTCCCGTGTATGAGAGGCGATTTGCACAACAATATCCTAGGCGTTCCATGACGGGGCCCATCAGATCGGTGAAGGCCTTGTCGAGCTGGAAAACAACATAAAATACTTTTTTAAAGATACCTGCGAAGTCAGCTTGTACATGTTTGATCCTTTGCGGTTTGCCAGCCACGAATTGTCCCACATCAGCCAAAAATCCTCGCAGAAGCGCCACGGCGTCGTGTAGCAGCCAGACTTCAGTTTCATGCGGATTATCGACAAATCCATCGGCTCCTTGATGATTAGCGCATCAACCTAAAAAAAAACAAAAATAGAAACGGCTAGAGAGCAGTTTATACACTGGTAAAAATTAAAAGCGCACCGTTTCGGACACAGCGTTCGGCTTGCGAAACTTATGGAAGTGGTTGGCTTCGTCGAGATCCCAAAGCTCCTTGAGTACTGGCTTCAGATGGTCCATCAGTAATTTGGCGGCCTCATTGTCGTCTGGTGCTAAAATGTGCAAATTAAACGGCAAGAAAGCGAATTTAAAACATTGAAGGTTCTCAAAAAATATACCGTTGAGTTTCCCGGCCGTGACTTGGGAAGACGAAGAAGCGCTCGAAGTTGTGGGCGTCGGTTTCTAGCCAAAAGTTATATAACACCAATGATTGAGTACCGATTTCTTCGGCGTTAATTCGGGTGGGTCGGCCTGGCGCTTGTTGCTGTTTCTGTCGTGCATTCGGGTCCGACTCGACGCGGCGAGGGTACCCATTGCTGAAACAAATCTAACTGTAAAGTGTTTTTACTCAGGCTGGCGTTTTAGAATGGGAACAAGCCTATCTTGTCCAGAATTTTCCGCTGATTCCGAATCTGGTTTCCAAATTTGCTGCCGACCTTTATTTAAAAAGTTATTCGACATTTAGACTAAAAAAATTGACTAAATCTGGATTTTTTTGCGTGATTTTTTAAGTTGTCGTCACCTCCGCCGTTAAAACTGGCTTGGTAATGGTTTTAGAGGTCAAAGCACGATTTTATGCAAAAATCATGTGTTTTTGTGCAAAAAGCAAAAGAAATTGTGCAGGGCGGGGATCGAACCGCCGCCCTGTGCCTGGCAAGCGAACAGCTTACCAATGCACCATGGTGCCAACTGGGCAGGGGGCTTCGGCACGGTAGATAAGGGGCACAACAATACCTGTACCCAGGCAGGCAATAGTGGGCCAGCATCCGAATTTATGCCGTTTTTAAGCTTAATTTAGACCAAAAATGACTTTTCAACGCGAAGTCCGCAGCAAATTTGGAAAACGGATTCGGAATCAGCAAAAAATTCTGAACAAGATAGGCTTGGTCCCATCCTAAAACGCCAGCCTGAGTAAAAACACTTTACAGTAAGTTATGCGAAGCACAAACTAAAAGACACAATAGAAAATACAAGGACCCAACACACAATATTCTAAAATGGAAGCAGGCCCACCTACGGAATTGGAATGTAAAAACGCGGAACTGTAAATCGAAAAAATTCAATTTTTTTCGAGGTGACCGTATGAACCACTGTGAAATGATTATAACTTTCCTTAGAAGCATGTCGCAATGGTTTTTGCAGATGAAAATGCAAGAACTCAAAATCTATCCATCCCAGTCGAAAAGTCCACATTTTATTTAGTTACTATAAAGTGAATTTCCCCCAAATTTCGGACTGGTTTTTAGGACAGAGCAACATCGAGCAAAAATCCAGAAGGTTGAAAGAAATCTGTAAGAGACGAAAATAAAATACTAAGAAACTGAAGAAAAACTGAAATAAAGAAAACCAAAAACTGGAAAATGGCAAAATGCTGCGAGCTCTCGCAGAAGGCCTGCCGTTACGGTCGACGCACGCCCTTTTAGGACGCGTCAATAGTATCCATGTGGAATTTTAGGATAAAGAAACCGAAAACTTCCCTATTTTTAAAACGGTTATACGAATAAACAAACTAATTTTCATTTGTTTTCTTAGACTCGCGGTTTCGTATTTTGACTTGAGATCGTATACCCCAACTACGTTTATTAGCACCAAAAAACTGATCGCATTATCATAGAAAAGAGTAGGATAAACAGTTTTCGAGGAGCATTATTGGTTGTTGTTACAGCCAGCGCGATAGTGGTGGCGTCACTGTCGCGTTCTTCGGCTTCTGGCAGTAGAGTTGACGTCGAGGTATCAGAATTGCAAGTGAGGGAGTAGCTTCCATTGGCTACAGCTGAAACGAGGGGGTAGTGTTAGCCACTCTTTTGTAACCGGTTTCTACTGCTTTTAGCGGGAATAAATTTACGTTTTTGCATTACACACCTTGCCTGACATCATCCCAGGTCTCCTGACGATTCCCGTGAAACGGCGGATAATTTGGCCTGCAATTGGCGATGGAATCCTTCGCCGTAAGCTCATCGACATTACACATGTCTTCAGCACACAAATAGAAGCGATTCGATGCCAGTGTCGAGTAATATCCAGGCTGAAGTGGGGGCTCAAACATTAGTTTGTATTTTGGAGAATTTCTACCTCAAATCTGGCCTCCGCCGTTGTCCAGTCTTGGATGAAGCAGCCCTTCTTGACCATCTTCGTCTGAAAAAAAAAGTTTTTTGTGTGTTTTTAACTAGTGTTTATGACGTACTTCTTTATCGTAGGCATACAGGCAGGCCTGCCCGCTACAGTTACCCTCGTTTACAACCACTAAAAAGAGCGATGTAACCGATGATTGAAAAATACCCGGATCATCCTGCATCGCACAGCTTACAACTTTTTCATTGGCGACGGCCAACGAAATCGAGAAATCGACACATTTGTCCTAGGAGTGTTCCTGAATTTTGCAAATACGCTTACTCCCAGGCAACGCAGACTAAACGTACGACGCGCCGGGTGATATTGAAACCCATAGAGCCCTCCGTAATAATAACTGAAGGAAAACCTGCTACTAAGATTGGCAATTAGTAATTACGGTAGATCCGTTAGCGAGGCGGCCCACAAAAAGTTGTAGGTCATCTGGGTAATATCATCTCGTCCAGCTAGAAATCTCATCGCCACGTTCGTATAGTCCAAGTCGGCCTAGCAACGAGTAATGTAGTGTACCTGTGCTGCGCACAGCATTTTTTTGCTTGCTTCAAACACCACATCTGGGGTTTTGGTTTTATTCACCTAATGGTCGCACACAGGCCAGTAGGTGGGGGGGGGGCCCAGGGGGCCCTGCCCCCCGAAATCGGTCGAGGTCTGAAAAATTCATAAGGGGGGACCCTTATGATTTTTAGTTACAAAAATTTTTCTGCCTGCGGCGCTGTTTATTACTGTTTTTACTTATATGAAGCCTATTTTTTTCAAAATTTTTTGTCTGCGGCGCTGGTGTTTCATTGGTGAATCAATTGTTCATAAAAAAGTTTCGCCTGCGGCGCGTTTTCTGCCTTGTTTTCACACGAATTTGAGTGTAGCGAACGTTTTTTTTGCTATATTGACGCGATTTTCGGATGTTTTAAAAGTGAATGTGCCTCGGGGGGGAGGTCGCCAAAATTTTTGGCCCCCCCCCCGAAATTTCGGTTCGGCTACGGGCCTGGTCGCACATATACAGGGTGGTCCATAAGTATTGTCGTTTTTCAAGGCGTCATAAGTTTTCCCACTGAGCGATTTGAGCCATTTAATTAAGTAGGCTAGCTTCAGACAAGCCTTAGAAACCACTTTGCTTTAGAAAGTTTTTTGGAATAATGGTTTCTAAGAGAAATAATTTGTCTAAAGTGGGCGACAAAAGGTTGGGGTGCGCCGCGCCAGAATTTCGGGAAGAAGGGCTCTAAATCCAGCGATTGAGAGTCAGGATGTTTTTTCGAGCGTGTTGATGGTAGCTTCAGCATTGTTCTGCATTTCCGCAAATGGAAATTTAGCCAGCTTGTCGCTTGAAGGAGCTATGGCCTCCGCAATGTTGGACGAAAATCCGCAAATTCAGGGCATCCCTTCATTTTTTAGTTTTCGAATTTTTATTTCTTCCTAGGGCTACCCGGGGGCAATCTTATATGGTATTACTATGCTACCTAACGTCTTCTTTCCAACGTCATATTGAGCTAGGCTCCTGTCACTTTTCAGACTTTGATTTGAACTAAAATTGGCTGGCGCATGCCACTAGACAAAAATCTCGATTTTCTTGAACGTCATGTGGAATTCTGCGCTTAAAATTTGGGAATAGTTAAAAAGAAGCCTAAGCTATACCCAAAAAAATTGTCACAGTTTTCCCAGCTTTCTAACAGCCACGATCTCAGTTTTACATACGGGGTAGGCCGAGGGCGGCGCACCGGGTTCCCCGAAACTTTGAATAGCGCTTGCTCAAAAACGGAGATGCGAAAATTTTTTGTTTGGAAATTCTGCTAGCAGAGTTTTACTTGTTCTTTCAATTGTCAGGCAATTTTAGTGAATAAACAATTGTTTTGTCGCCAGCGGAGCCTCTCAAAAGCCATTTTTAAGCTAAAATTTGGAGGTTCTCTAGAAACTATGTGCTATAAGCTCGAAATGTCAATACGATCGTGAAACCTATCCTACCATCGGATAGAGGGAGAGAAAACTGCATAAGGCATACGATTCACTAGCCGATCGCACACGGCCCCGATTAGATACAGCCGGCCAAAAGGCGCGACAATACTTATGGACCACCCTGTAGACCCTTACCGTTTCGGTAGTGTCAAAGCAACATCCGGTGCCTCTTTCAGTAGCGTCCGGCTCGATAGTTGTCGATTTTAATTCAGCCATATTCCAAGACGGAAAGCTATTTGTAGCCCAATCCTCCATCGTGGTGTTGACCTCCTTTAACATTCCATTTCATTCATTCTTTTCATTTTTGAGCGCACCTGAAAGGGACTCGCCCATAAACAGGTGTATCCATTTGTTGAGAGGTCGCGGCTTTGCAAAGCTTTTCCGGCCAAGGTAGCCGTTTGCTTCTTCGTGTTAAATGTCGGTGGTTCCGAGTTGCAGTAATCAGCATGGCTAAATGATGGGTGGTTTCGTCTGGCGGTATAACCAACTTGCAAAAACATAGGTAAAGCTGTTTTCCATCAGATGATGGTATGCGATGGCAACCTGGCTCATACTTGAATCCAGTCATACAGTCGCGAGACCAGATTTGGGAGGAATGGTTGTTATAATAGATCCAGCACATATCTTCCGAACACGTTGTATTCTTTTTGCTTCTGAAGGAATCGGGAATTTTATGGGTGCTTGTAAGAAGTCTATTAGTACTATACGATACGCACTACTCTAGAGCGTCTCACCATCACGCAGATTTTATGCATGCTCCGGTTAGGTGAGCTAAAGAAAATAGCCTTACTTGCCGTCGAAATCGTCAACGTTTCGGTGATATTGTATACAATGTAGCGCCGAGCTGACATTCCCCAGCAGGCACAGCCATATCAGTTTCCCCACTTTGAAAAATCGCATCTTAGACCAAAAAATATGCTACTCCCCGGCACCAACCCAACTCCCGCTAGGGTCCGCTTGAACTTGATTAGCCGGGGCAATTGCTAGTGGTTCACAAGCACCACGACTTTTTATTGGCGCTTATAATTTACGCCCGCCCCCGAAATCTGTTCTTCGAATAATTTACCCGGGTTGGTTTTATAGGAATTATGGCGGAGTAGGGTTTTAGTGGTCTGAACAATCGGGGGGCGTGTTCTAACCACTGCGATTCATCCTTTAAGAAAAACGCGCATGTGGCCTCTGATTGTAAGCAACAATCCAATATCACAAAATAACAAGATGTAGCTAATATCGCAAAGCAAAATAAACTACTGGTAAGCATTGCACAAAATAATACAAAATCTTGTTGTCGATCTTTGTTGTTGTCTCCGGCGTCCCTGGCGCAGACGTAGTCGTCACATCCGTGTTTTTTGAAGTAAGTACAGTTGAGATTTTGAGGGGCGCTAATGAAGTTTTTAGCGGCTCCTTGCAAGTGAGAGAGTATTCTCCGGTAGTTAAAGCTTAAACGCTTGTTGAGGCCGTCAAGCTATTCTTTACCTCGTTCCACATCAGCCCAAGTTTCCGCATCTTGCCCCCTGAAGGGCGGATAATTTGGGCGGCAATTTTCTATAGAAGCTGCCGCCGTGGTTTCGTTGGCGTTACAGTAATCTTCGGCGCATAAGTAAAAACCAGCCGCTGACAACAGGGAGTAGAACCCAATCTATAAATAGACGGAAAGTTTTGGAGAGTTGTTATTTTTATCTTTTATTGACTTTCGATCAAAGTCATGCATTTCCACCCACCGCTACTTGCCCTTCACCGGTTGTCCAGTCCTGCCAATAGCAGCCTTTCTCATAGATGCGCCTCTAAAGTACAACAGCTCTCTTAAGTCTACTCAAAGGGATAGTTCAGCCTTGGAGCTTGGGCAGTACCGGGGGTGACTATCGACGCAGGGGCGACACAGGTCAGCAGCCAACCCTGCGTCGATAGTCACCCCAGGTCCTGACCAAGCCCCAATGCTGAGCTATATCTTTTTAAGCACCATACCAAGGGGTCATAGCGAAAGTAGCAGGCCTGACCGGTACAGATAGACGGCGTGATGTTCTCTAAAGTCTATTTTGGACATCTGGGTAAACAGTTACGCTCGTTTTGCATCTCGCAGATCACGTCGTTGCGGACGGTTGCGCCCATCGACCGAACCGTATTGCAGTGATCCTAAAAATGTCTATCGCGAGTATTCATGGGGAATGGCCTCGTAGCATACGGTGGGTAAGCACATTGAGCTACGATGTTTTGTTTTTAAAGGGTTGTAATCCTACTATATATAAAAAAATAGTGTTTGTGTGTGTGTGTGCCACTTTGCATCCACTTCCGTCTGTCTGTCCGGAGGATATCTCGATAGAGGATGGATTTTAAAGTACGTATGATACGTCATTAGGTGCGCAATGGCTCTGGGATGACTGCACGCTTCTCAGATTTTACAAAATCACCTATTTTCGACATTAAATTTAAGTTTTTGTGAAAGCTTCTTTGTTAGAAACAATTAGCATAGACCGGAAGTGGGGACGCGGCTATATAAAGCGGCAGAAGAAGTGATTTTTCATTTTTTGCCATCTGAATTCAGGACAAGTATGAAGCGAAGCGCGAAGAATGTGAAGCATAAAAGGGGGTCAGACGGGGCCAGGGTTGAAAAGTCGCGAAGCGGCTTTTCAAGCCTGGTACTAAAATAATTCTCTACCGCGGTGCAGTATTTTATGGGCAGATAGGAATCACCGTCGCTCCTCGTCGCCCATAGCGCCCCGGTGTAGAATCTCAATGAATCAGCCTCAGAAGCCCTTAAACCCACTCACGGCACGTAGTCGCGTACGTAAAACATCGGGTCCAGCCGGTAGAAGTATGTCGCACGCTGGCCAGGGATCACTCCCGATCGGAAGCCGATGGTAAACAAGGTTTCCGAGATGGCGCGCTGGACATAGAAAATGGTACCTCAAGAAAAATGATACCCCGCCCCCATCTTGGATCCAGGCAGTAAGCAAACACGTTGGGCCAGGCATGGCCTCCACTAAAATTTATTTGATCCTAGTACCACGGCATTCCCAACACCGGGGGTCCAGGGGTCCGGGGTCCAGCGGGGGAGAGTCGCGAAGCGGCCGCTCCCCCGCTGGTAGCTAAATCGTAAAAATCGGGCTGGACTGCGGTCCGCTAAGTAGCGGGAGTTTTCTTTTTTGAGACACCCTTTAGAACCCGGGATAGTTCAATGGGGCGTTATCGAAATCTACCGGTTCCCTTCCAGGAGTCGGTAAGGGTGGAAAAGTTTTGCCAGTTCGCACTCGAAATTGCTGATAATGGCAGAGTAACCTGAAAATTTCAAAGACAAAATCAGCTTGTACGAAGCTAAATTTTGTTAAAGTATAACCAACCGGTTTGGACGCGCCCATATAGTTACAGGTGTAATTCAGTAATAACAAATCCGCGTTCGGCAGCGATGCGCCGGCCCATAAAACTGGTTTTGCTGCGCCATCAAACACGGGAAAATTCTTGTTGCAATTGTCGGTGTGGCTGAAAGGTAAAGTATAATAAGACCAGTGGAAAAAGACCGCTTCGCGGCCCTTTTCCACTGGACCCCGTCTAGGAATCATGAATTCCCTTTCCTTTTATCGAATCCTAACTCAAGGAACCATTCTTTGGCCTGCGGCGCCAGAGCCAGCGCTGGGCCAGAATCTTTGAGCCTGCGGCGCTGCCTACTGGGTTTTCTCCAGGATTTGACCTGCGGCGCCAGAGCCTGGGCCAACTACCTTTTCTTTGGCCTCCGGCGCTAGAGCCAGGGCGCGGTCCTAAAACTCGCACACCGAAGGCCTAGAAATATGTTTGTTATTGAACTACCAAAAAGCAAAAAGTTAAATTCCCTGCGGATTCGAACCCTGACCACGCGTTTGTTTGAGGGGGCGCCAATCCCATACACCATAGGGGCCGCGGTGGTTGACAGCGGGAAAGGCCTCTTGTGTCCTGGGGCGAGCCTCATCCCGGGAGAGAGGACTTCTGATAACTATTCAAAATTCTCTTTTTGAGTCTGAATGCGCCGAAAATTTTTAAAAATAATAAGATGCGCGTGATCCCCACTATCGAATACATAAGTGGACCAAATTACAGACCAAAATTCCAAATGGGAATGGAGTTATGCCCCGAACACCACGCCCGGTCGCCCATTTTGTTAAGGATTTTTACTATTTTGCTTGTAAAATCGCTAAATGAAGGAATTTCGCAAAACAAAAAAATGCGTGGCAAATGCATTTCTCCGCCTCCATGCCAAAAATCCGCGGCGAAATTCGGCCTGACGGGCGAGAAATCGTCATTACAGAAAACGGACATACTTTTCTCGCTTATATGTAGGATAGGACTAGTAAGACTTTACTTTAGCCCCCCCCCCCCCCCACAGCCGACGGGAATTAAAGTTTTCGGTACTTTCACTTATTTTGTCGCGATTTTTGCAACGCCATTCGATAGAGCGTCAAAAAATATGCTAAGGGTTTTAATTTGAGCCTACAATAATGTAAAATAAAAAAGTTATGGCCAAAACCTTCCGGTTGGGGGGGAGGGGTAAAGTAAAGTGTAGCCAATAAGAGAAGCCAAACCCAATATGTACTTGCAATAGCAGAGATAGGTATCCGGTTTCCCATTGTTCATAATTCGACGGCATCCAGGACTACGGTCGAGCCCAACTGCACAATCGCCAGCCCATGCGTCTAGGATGGGATCGTAGAGCAGCCAGCACAGATCACCGATGCAGGTTGAATTTGGTCTAAGGTGGTCTAACGCTCTATGCTGGTTATCTACCTATTATTGAAGTATGACGGTGGTGTGTTGTACTGTATTGTACAGTTCAACGCGCTTAGAGCATCGATATGCAACAATAAAAATAAAACAAAGTACGGTATGTTAGTCGAAGGTAACATTTTCAGCGAGTGGAATTTGGGTCAATTTTCTTTCCGGGCTCCCGCCCCGATAAATACTTTACCCCGACCAATGAAAGTCGACGCTTGCCCTGGCATTCCCAAGCAATTATGGGTAAGACTTACTTTAGCCCCCACAGCCAAATTGTCTCAAAGTTTTCGGTGTTTTTGCTGATTTTGTCGGGATTTTAGCAACGCCATTTGATTGAGCGTCGAAAAATATACCAGGAGTTTTAATTTGAGCCTACAATAATGTAAAATAAAAAAGTTACAGCCAAAAATTTCCGGCTGGCGGGTGTAAAGTAAAGTAGCCCATTCAAGTTCAGGCACAAAACAGCGGGTAACGCTTTTAGAATATTAAGACGATGATGGGATATTGATTAAAACACACCGGAAAAAGTGTGAATTGATAGCTTTAGAATCAATTGATCGTACAATTTATCGAAAGCAATAACTCCAAAAAACGTAGACGCAAAGCCATGAAAACGGCAACCTTGAGGTTATTTTTGTTGTTGTCGCCCCAGTCGGTGCTGATGTCGTAAAAGTACCGGAAGGCCTGCAGTTTAGGGAATAGTTCCCGGTTGACAAAGCTGTAAAGTTAGATCATAGATAAGGTTTTAAATATCCCAACCGTCTTCCACATCGGACCAGGTTTCCGCGTCCTTCCCTTTAAACGGTGGGTAGTTCGGGCGACAGTTTTGTATTGATTTCATCGCCGTGCTTTCATTAATATTGCACATATCCTCGGCACAAATGTAGAAACCCGAATTTGACATTGTCGAGTAGAAGCCGATCTAGAAAATAGGGTACCGGACTGTTAGCGGGGGGGGGGGTTTGGCGGGGACCACTTTTACCTAGTTTTCTCCACTTTTCTCCACGGCCCCATAACGAAATATATATCTTTATAGCATTTTACGTAGATTTGAGCGATTAAAACAATATAAAAAGCCATACAATTTTCAAAAATATCTTTTTGTTCGAAAATGTATCAAAAATGGCTAAAAAAACTCCAAATTTTTGCATTTAAAATTTTTTGATATTGTTTAGTAACACCCACCCCCCCCCCGCCCGAGAATAGGTGAAGGTTTAGCACGATCTTACATCAATCCTAGCTTCCCCTGTCGTCCAGTCTTGCCAAAAGCATCCGCTCTCGTGCGTACTGCTCTAAACAATTCATGGCTGGTCAAATAAGGGCCTTACCGGGTGATCATATCGCACGATGCATGCTTGGCCTTTACAGGTATCAGGCGGTACGTTACCTACTTCTACGTTTCGAAAAAATATACATGCGAAATACCGAAAACTTTCATCTGGCAGGTTATCTCGTCGACCAGTAGGGCATCGATGGAACTTACACTATTACAACGTTCCTAATTTTTTTTGTGGACTCGCAATGATTTACAGGGTGTCCCAAAATTATCCGGACAAAGTTGCAAAACGGTTTTTTCCTATTTTTTCCCTGTTTTTGCAGACCATAATTTAATTTCTATGAATCGTTGAAGTGTATTTAATAAGCTTAAAAAGAAAACTGCGCGTGAATCCGTCATATCTCTTCGGAATAAATTGGTGAAGTTCGAACCAAATTTATCTCTCCTTGCAAACGCTGAAAACGCGCATGCTTTCCGATCCCATAAGAAACTTCAGCATGACCGGACGAACAAAGAAACGACAGGAAGAGTTCGGAAATGACCAGTCAACACTTTAGCCGGCCCAAAAACCCTAGGATTACACCAGAAAAAAAACAGCCAGCAAAAAAGTGGAAATCGAGGTACGCGCCGCCCCGGTCACCTTAAAGGTTTTGCTCTGGAGGAACCCTAAATACGCGATATGATTGTTGTCAAAGACTAAGGCATAAACTTTTGGCGGTAACGATGATGCACAAGCGATTTAAATCAAGCTAACTTTGATTTTTGAGGAGCTTGAGCACGAGCAAGCATAGAAACACCTTGCCAAGTAATGGGATGGAAATCGGTATTAAACGGCAAAATGACCATTAACATGCCGGAATCCTGGCGGAGTTAGGTCCGTTTTGCCAGAAAACGTCATTTCTTGTCCACAAAAACGTCTGAACACATTTTGAAAGTTTACCGCAATTGTTATGTTATTTAAGAGGCGAAAAATTTTCACATGCTCTTCGCTCGATTGTGAAGCTATTTTGCGTTCTACCAGAATTTTTTTTTGCACGGTGCATCGAAAATGCCTCAAAAAATATTATGAAATACAATGCGGAGGCCAAAAACAGCGGAAAAAATGAAAAAGTCATTTTTCAGTTTTGTCCGGATAATTTTGGGACACCCTGTAGATACCTCTCGGCAAAATTTCTGTACGTCCTGAATGTAGGGGAAAAATTGGGTCGCGTAGAGCGAGCCGGGAAATAATCTAAAAAATGTTAGAACTTAAAGATTCGAACAAACATTGGCATATCAGCGATCCAGATAGTCGGATCCAGCGCGAACAGGTATGCTTGCCGCGATTTGGCTATGTAGTCAGTGCGAAAAGTCACAGTAAAATTCTCATCTCGGGGCTGGAACCGTAAATTAATTGATCAAGCCCGGCGTGACCATTTTTATGTCGCCATTAATATAGCATCCAGGCGCTTCCTTCGTGATGGTCGCCGTCGTGACATTGAGCCAATCCACTGTTGGCGCCGCGTTGATCGGGATTGTCAGCTAAATCTTGGCTGAGAGGTGGAAACAAAAGTTTTCGTTACCTCAGGAAAGGCTTCATTTCCGCAGGTTAGCATTTGCGGGATGACGTCTGTATTCGGCAAGCTCTTCTCCGCCCATGTAACGGTTTGATTATTCTCGTGAAATACGGGAAATTCGGCGTTGCACTTGGCCGAGTGACTAAAAAGCGCTTTGGATTTGGAATTTTTCAAATCATAGCGCCTGCGGAAGTCATTGTACGGCAACGCAAGCAATGGTTTGGGCCGCAACGAAAAATGGCGAATTGGGACCGAAAATGGTGCTGCACGACGCTCCAATAAACCGGGTTTTGAACCAAAACCCGAAACTTCAAAGTCTTTGTGCAATTAGTTTTTAAATCCCGTTTTTTCCTATTTAGTCGCATTCGAAAGAGCGCATTCCCTTCTACAACTCTTATGCTTTCGGAGTTTATTTTCGGAAATTTATAAAATCAAAATTTTAACTTCCAAATTTAATTTTTCGAGGATTTTGATATTGCCATCGGATTGCCAGTAACATAATTGACCCAGAGGCAAATTTTCATAAAATTTGGATGTATCGGGTTCGTACAACAAAATTCCCCGACCAGACATCAATTTGACCGATGCTGTAATATCCCTACTTGCAATAGCATAGGTACGAGTCGGCCTTCTGATTCACGATCGCTCGTCGACATCCCGGCACACGCGTTATGCCCGTCAAGCAATCTCGCGCATATTGTTGTAGCGCCGGGTCGTAGAATAGCCAGCATGTGTCGCCCAGGCACGCCGATTTTGGGCTAGGTTCGTCTCGGACGGCTAAGATGACAATTACCTCTCATCCAAAAAGTCCGGCGCTTTTTGGTCGACTACGCATTTCAATGTTTTCACTTGGTCAACAAGGGCGAGGATAAAGATCAAGACCATCGTGTAGGCGGGTCAACTAGAAAATGTCTGTCCTGGCCCGGGCAAAGCAATTTCGGGCCAATCGCAGCCTGGCAACCAGCAAATTCATTTAACCATCGAAAGGTTGGTGTACTTGCTGGGAATTCTCAATATCATATGGCTACAGGAGAGCCGAAAACACTTGAAATTTGTGTCGGTTCCCTATTTGGCAGAATAACCAGCGTACGGTAGTTTCGGTGACGTCAATCATCAATCGAAAATTCTTAAAAAAGCTGCGCAACCCGTTCAATGATTTATTTCACAAAAAAAAACCAAAAAAGCAAGTACAAGACAATGCATGAAAGACGAATACAAATCTTTGATGTAGCCTCTGGGGCGAGTGTTGTCGTGGCTCCCACTGTAGCTGTTGCTGTTGCAGGAGATGTCTGTGAGAACCCATTGCACGTCATCGAGTATTTTCCGGTTGCTAGGGCTAAAAATGAGTTACCTGAGGCTGTAAACAATTCTACACCTTTTTCCACATCAGCCCAGGTCTCCGCGCCCTGCCCCTTGAATGGCGGGTAGTTTGGACGACAATTTTGTGCAGAAGCCGCTGCTGCGGTCTTGTTGACATCGCAGAAATCTTCGGCACATAGGTAAAAACCGGCTGTCGAAGACAGGGAGTAGAATCCGATCTGGAAAATGGGATAGGAATAAGGTTGGATAAGGTACCTTCAATTGACCCTCGCCTGTCGTCCAATCCTGCCAATAGCATCCGGTCTCGTGTGTCCCATCCTGTGAAGGAAATATCTTTTCTCTAGCTAAATTTCACTTACCGCGGTGTCATAACGATTATAACACGCCTGCGCGGTACAATTATCCAAAGGACTTCCATCTAAGAACATAAGGTGTATTGAAAAGCCGCAAAAAACCCTCACCAAACATTTGTGTTTGGCAGGTTACCACGTTGTGAAACAGTGCATCGATCGAGTTGAAGTTGTTACAGTAATCCTGGAAGGCACATTAGGAAGAGGTTTAGAGCCTACCGTCGTGCAATATTTTCTGAGAATAATCTCTGTCTTTAGCATACTCCTGCCCCAAAGTGTCCCCATATAGAAGCTAAACAATATGTAAAAATACCGTAGGGAATACTTACGGAAAATCCGGGTAGTATAGCATTGGGTCGAGGCGAAAAAGATATGATAAACGGTCGTTGATTTCTTGCGGGTTTCCACCTGGCGCAACGACCACTGTGGTATCGTTTAATAGCTAAGATCTTGTAGATTTCTAAGGATTGTCTCGTATCAAAATTGCGTTGATAAAGATCAATAACTGGGAAAAACTGTTTACCGTAATGGCGCCCTCAACCGAGCAAGCCATCCCCATGCTCGTGGCCTCCAGCGTCGACAAATTCAGCCAATCTGTTTTTGATATGGAGGTGATTGCGAGGGGCACCTGAAAGGGGGCATCGAAGTCAAAGATCGAAGCCGATTTCGGAGGTGTCTTTTATTTATGGGTTTCTGGATTTCTGATAATTGTTTTTGCCCGATTGCTTTGTTGAAACACTCTAATTCGCAAATTCTGAGCCCATTTCTGTAATCCTCGTTAAATTTCTAGTAATTTTGTTGTTTTAAGCATAGAATTTGGTCCAGAAATAGCCGAGAATGTGGTTCTGGAGGTGACCATTGGAAATTTCAAATTGACAAGATTCCCGGGCCCCGGTCGTGACCTGCGACGTACGCTACGCTGTGCTTTTCGGGCCCTAACTGGATTTGGCAGTTTTTTGCCTCTTTAATTGTAGTTTTGTCGCACAAATGATTGAATTTATGTTTTTCGGGTAACTTAATTTAACTCCCTCCGAACCCATACCCTCAAAATCTAGTTTTTACCTCCGGTGGAGCCCCATGTTGACACGTGTAATTTTGCATTGGCAGGTCCATATTGGGCAACGATTTGCCAGCCCAAACTATGGTTTTCGAGGTATCGTTGAACTGCGGGAAGTCCTTGTTGCAGTTGGATGTGTGACTGAGCGGGTCAACTATAAAAAGCGATACCTCACTTGCAAAAACATATATAGGTTTCTGGCTGTCCGTTGGCAACTATCCTACGGCACCCCGGGTAGTCCTCTATCCCGATCATACAATCACGAGCAAACTCTTTCAACACCGGGTCGTAAAAAAGCCAGCAGAGATCGCCGGTGCAAGTTGATTTGGAGCTAAACGGGGGCTTAAAATAAAATCTGAAAACAACAAAAACCTTGGGTCCCAGAACGAGGGTGCTTTATAATGAGCCACACATTTTATAGAGCTCAACGGGTGGAGAAAACCAAAGAGTATTGTTAGTTTTCTGATAGACGCAAGACGGATCATGGGAGAAAGGTATAAGACCTGATTTACCGTTCACGGAGTGGCTAGCCCGTTTAAATGCGTTATGTTAAATCGTGTAAGCTTGTTGTTTCGGTGGTCCTGGGGCCGCGCAATTATATGAACCGCGCCGCATAGCCCCCAGACAAAACCTATCGAGATTTTTATGCGTTTTACAGCTTTCGGGAGTTTACAAATCGCTGTTTTTGGAATTGGCATTTTTCAGCTTACGTTTGTTTTCAGGTTTTTTCGATATTACCATGCATCCACAACGCCGTTTCTCATTTTGTCGAAAATCGTCTTGTGGAAATATTCGTCTCGTTTATTCATCTTAAAATTTCACAAGACGAAATTTTAACAAAATCAAATTTCGACAAAACGGAATTTCGTCAAAATTAAATATCGAAAGAATGTCGATTTTATTTCGACAAACTGATAGCAAATCGCTCTTTTCATGGTTTATCGCCAACATAACATCACGAGCACCAAATATGACAACAACCCAAAAACTTTCTGATGCCCAGATTTTGTCGTCGTTTCTAATCGCGGAGAGTTTGTTGGCGATTCTTCCGCTTTCTGGGCGATTGTGGTTGGTATCGTTGTAGTTGCCGGCGGTGTTTTACAGGTGAAGGAGTATTCACCGCTGGATAAAGCTAAAAAATCGTCGTTTGACCTTGAATTCTGAGAAAGCAATACCAGTCTCAACATCCGCCCACGTCTCCACGCCTTGCCCCTTATAGGGCGGATACTTTGGTTTGCAGTTTTGTATCGAAGCGTTTACAGTGGCTATATCAACATTGCAAAGGTCTTCTGCGCAGATGTAGAAACCGGCAGAGGCGAAAAGCGAGTAGAAGCCAACCTAAATAAGGAATTTACGAGAGCCCTTTGTGATGATTGAACCATTTTGGCTGAACTCCAGATACTCCCACCAGCCGACCCCCACCTACCGTATCTCGGCTCTCTGTTCATCTACAGGTATGTAAAGTATTCCAAGATGCTCACCAGAGCAAGACGAACCTTTGGTATACTTTACACTATACTTCTCCGCCCACCCCGGGTGGGCCCCCCCTAGGGGGGACAGAGGGGGGACTGAAAGGGGGGATGGTGGGGGGCCCCCAGGGGACCCAGGGCACCCCCCAAATGACCGTGCCCCCTACCCCCTGAGGCATGCAGCCAATAGACTCGCTAGGAATAAAGAAATTAAGAATACAAGCGGAACATTCTCTCCATGCGGAATAGGCCAGTAAAGATCGTAAGCTTATCGCACCCTCTTACAGGACCCATTCGCTAAATTTCTGCGCTGGGCTATTCTAAAACTAGGTGCAAAAGATAGAGGAAGGTCTGCTCTTAGTTCCTAGTCTGCTAGTAGATTCGAAAACCGTCATAAACAAAAGTTATAGCTAATTGAAAACTTCAGAAAACATTGAATTGGAATCGTCGCGTAAATTTTTAAAAGCCCAATTTTTCTCAATATTGGGTAGTTCATGAAAGATACTCTTCCAGAAAATGTAGTTGAGGCGGTTGGGCCAGGATTTAGCTGGATTTGAGCTCAGACGATAACATGCACCTCATTTTTCAAACTTCAAACCATCAGAAGTCTCGATTCCAACGCTCGATTTTGACAAAACCACTATTAAAAGGTAGAGCAAAGTCTCTTCTATTTTTTGAGCGGCCACTCAGATTATGAAACTGCCGTATAAAAAAGTTACAGAGGCTTGAAAGCGCAGAAGACGGACCCCCTTTGCTTTAAGAACCAATTGCGCGTCGATTGGAGCGTGCCGTAGGCTAGCCCCGTCTTCCCCTCTCATGCGCGTTTTTCTTAAAGGATGAATCGCCGTGTTTGGCAGGGCGCCCTGTGGTGGGGGTGGGGGGTGGGGGGGGAGGAGGGGGGAAGAATCCCCCCGGGGCCCCCTGGGGGCCCCCACCATCCCCCTTTCAGTCCCCCCTCTGTCCCCCCTAGGGGCCCACCCGGGGTGGGCGGAGAAGTATACTTTACACACCTGTAGATGCACAGGGAACCGAGATACAAAAGTTAGGGGCCGGCTGGGGGGTTTATCGGGAGTCTCACCTCCATTTTTCCCCAAAAAATCGTAACCCTACTTGTAGCTGCCCTTCCGCCTGCGTCCAATCCTGCCAAAAGCACCCCATTTCCAGCACACCCGTCTAAAAATCGGGTCCATGAAACGAGGCCTTTCATTTTATGGAGGTTCGTAAGACTTTCGTTTCACGAAGCTCGATCAGAAAGGCAAAAATCGTACAATTTTGTCGAAGCGATAGAAGCATGCCTGTCCCGAACAAGTGTCCTTCGGGGCAAAATCTAAAACGAAACACTGGCGATAGACCCTTCAGATATCAGAAATAGCGTTTGACAATAACAAAAAATACCGAATGCCTGCAATCGACACGTGACGGCGTTGCTCAAAGCGAAATCGAGCGATTTGACAATGTTGCATTCATCCTGAACCTTTATGATCGAAATATCGCGCTGTCTACCTGTTGACACCACATGGCTAGATCTATAAATGCTGCACTGATTTGATAACCGTATAGCATACCCTGGTAAAAACTAAAAAAAACCCTGAAGGTTAGCTTTCCGAGTATGGTGCCTTACGTTTGATCCGGCGCCCAGATACCGGGGTTTAGCAGGTAGAGGTACCGCACGCGTTCCGATCTGATTTCCCGGCCGCTGATTGACACATCGACGGTGGTCGCGTTTATTAACTAGATATTTAACTAAAGAGTTTTCTTAACTTAAGATGGAATTCTGAAGCGCCCAAAATTTGGTTGCAATGAAGCTCGGAGGGACAATTTTCAGACCCCCAAAATCTCGTTCCTTCTTCGCTGTGGATGTTTAATTTTGATTATTCAAGCCGAGCTTTCCTAAATAGGCTCGGAAATTGGGTAAAATCCCTAAAATCGGAACTTTTGCTAAGAAATCGGCGAAAATGCGGCTGCGGTGGGGGCAGTAGTTAGGCTAATTGCTTGTCGCTCTTTTTCGATTCCTACCAATGTATGTAAATTGTAAGCACTAAATGTACATACGCCAATCGGTACGGTCAACTGGCAACCGAGTCCCGGGATCGTCTGGGCGGTTGTCGTTAGATTTGGCCAGTCGAGCTCCGACACCATTGAACGTGGCATCGGCACCTAAAATTTCTGAACTTCGAACTAATTTCCAGGCTTCAGACAGCTTGGGAGTCACGAGTGTCATTCGGTCTGTTTGGTCGTTTCTTATTTCAGAAGGCCAAAGGGTAAAAAGAAGTGGGTTCTTTAGGGTTCGCGGGGGGGGACCAATTTTTCCTGCCGCTCTCGGTTGACCTCGTAACCAATATAAAGAGGTTTCACATTGATTTTAGTAATTTTTAACCATTACAGTACAAAAACTTTCGAAAAGATGAATGTTTGAAAAAGTCGATAAATTGGTCATTTTGGGTCCTTCCCCCGCGAATCTTAAAGGTTCCATCGGATTTGGGATCAAAAATTAGATTTTTAATTAAAATTTGTGTAGCTTTTTGCTTAGGAATAGTTAAAAACAATCCGGAAACGCATCCGCTATTTATAAAAAGATGTAGGTATGCGACGAAAAACATTGCTTCCCCCCCCCCCCAATCCTAAGGACCAAGAAGTGAAACCGAAAACCTACAGGGTGTCCCAAAAAAATCCCCCCCCCCCTAGCCGGCCGCAGACGGGTCCGATTTTTACGATTTAGGTATCTATCGAAAGCTCTCGGAAAGGCGAGTCGAGCACGTCTTGCGGATTTGCGAAATGTCGGAATTTTTTGCTCGATTTTCGGCATTTTTCATGCCAAAAGGCAGACATGGCAATTTCGGTCGGCGGGCCTCGGCCGAACGGCCGACGGCCGCATTAGCATCAAAAATCGGCCGTTTCCGGGCCGCCGACTCTATGCAAATGACTTCCGGTCGGCCGATCGGCCGGCCGACTTTTTTGGTCGGCTCGGCCGCGGCCGCGTCGGCCGGCCGACAATTCACACTTGAGAAAAAGTTTCACAGAAACGTGTCGCTGGCGCCTCTAAATTTTGAATAAATAAGGAATGGGTTTTGGGCATTGGTTTCGACTATTCTCTAGGATGCCTGCCTACCCAATTTTATTTAAAAATCTTTATTTGATGTGGAGAAAGCGTGCTTTTTAAGTCAACCCTGAATTTTTTTGGAAGGTTGCCGGCTTCAAATATAATTCAATTTTGTAGTTTTAAGTAACGAAAAAATTTAGCCAGGATGTTTCTATGACGAGTGGGCCTTTAGTTTCCTGAATCGTTTTTTTTATTGACTCGTTTTGCTGGCGTCAAAGCAATTAGTGATGATGAAGCAAAGCAACAGCCACGCCAAATCCGTTGTAATCACCTTTAACCCTAGACCGTTGCAACCCCATTATTTAACTAATTTCCTCAGTCTAAACAATTTGGCCAAGTGAATCCCTTCATTAGCATCCAAAAATCTAATTTGGTTGCGGTTTTTCGGCCGTTTCCGGGCCGCGCGGCCGCGGCCGACCGGAAATGGCGGCCGGCCGATTTCGGCAGGCCGCATTCTAAATTTTTCGGTCGAAAAAGCCGATCGGCAGGCCGATTTGCCATGTCTGCCAAAAGGACAGACTTTTTTGTTCAAAACGCAATTTAACCGATTTAAGCGCTGTCCAAGCTGTGTTTTGGCAAACGGCTTTCAAAAAGCAGTCGTTGGGTTGCCAGGAAACGCGTAAAAATTCTTAAATTGCGATTTTTGTAAAAAATCCCCTGGTCAGAACAACACCAGAAAATCCGCCCATTTTGCAAAAACATTAGTAACTGATGAAAAAATTTCCAAATTATGAAAATCGAAGAGACGTGCTGGACTCGCCTTTCCGAGAGCTTTCGATAGATACCTAAATCGTAAAAATCGGACCCGTCTGCGGCCGGCTAGGAGGGGGGGGGGGATTTTTTTTGGGACACCCTGTATTTCATACCGGGTCAAGTAGTGACGCCAAGCATTCCACCAATTTTGGGGTAAAATCGATGTTGGGCAGTTTGGCACCGGCCCACTTCACCGTTTTATTGTCGGCGCTGAACTCGGGGAAACCGCTGTTGCAGGTATTGGTGTGGCTGAAAGAAGAAACCTATAATCGAGAGTTTTGGTATACGGATTCCTTCCGCATTGTTTTCCTTGCCCTTTAGGGTTTCGACATAGTTTACAATTAAAATATGTATAATAAAAATTCACTTGCAATAGCAGATATATGAATCGGGCACGCCATTAGCCACGACACGCTTGCAGCCCGCTGCGTTGTCGTATCCGGTCATGCAGTCACGCACGAAATCCCCCCATACCGGATCGTAAAATAGCCAACAGATATCTCCAGTGCATGTCGACTTTTTTCTAAAAACTCTGCGCTACAAAACCTGCCAGAATTTATTCGGAATACGTAGCCCGTTTTGAAGAACTTAATTAAAGTTAAAAAACGCCAAATCTATTCCGGGAAAATAGGCTCAACGTAACCGCGGTGCTTGTTTTGAAGCTCGGGTTTCGACACGAAAACCCGTAAATTTTCACACCTTTAACCCAAAACGCACACTGGATCGAAGTAATTCTCGCCAACCCGATGCTGGACGCATTTCAGGGTGAAGGTTGGGTGGATTAGAAATATTGGAATAAAAAATATAAACCCTTTCCAAGACATCGTTATTGCAAAAAGTTAGAGAAATGAATAATATGGCTGAATTTCGATCAAGCAATCAAATCCGGAGTAGCGTTTCCGGTAAATACCAACGGTTATTTGGCCTCCATAAGTTCGAGACCCGCCTTGCGTAATTGGGCTCCGGGAAATTAAATTCGACGCGCGGCGCATAGCTTTCAGAAAACGGAAAATATGATTTTCAGATTAACGACCAGTCGGCAATTTTTATGATTGGAATGTCAAATTGGTCGTGTAATGGACTAAGCCGGCTTAGAAAATCTGGGAAAACACTGCTAGGTTCCGGCGCGGTTTTGGTAGAGAAAACGCTAAGTTTGGCATTGGCTTGGCTTAAAATAGCGTAATCTTTATCGAAAGAAATATAACATCAAGAATAAAGCAAATGCCAAAGAAAAGAATTGATTTCGGCTCCCAACTTTTGTCGTGGCTTCCGGAAGTGGTGGATTTGTCGGGGACTCTTCTGGAGTTAATGTTGTCGTAATTTCGGTAGTTGCAGTTATATTAGCAGTAGCAGCCGTAGTAGCAGTCGTAACGGTAGTAATACTAGTGTTAGCAGCAGCACCAGTACCAGCAGTAGTAGTAGCAGCCGTAGCAGCAGCAATAGTAGTGGTTGTAGTGGTAGTAGTAGAAGATTTGCAGGTAAGTGAATATTCTCCAGAAGCCAGGGCTAAAAAAAATTGGGTTAATTCGGGAGGCGTCTATTACCTCTCTGAACATCAGTCCACGTCTCCACACCCTTCCCCCTATAAGGCGGATAATTCGGGCGGCAGCTGGATATGGATTTTATGGCCCAGCTCTCGTAGGAGTTGCACATGTCTTCGGCGCAAATATAGAGACTAATTCCTTTCATCGGGCTGTAGTAGCCAACCTAGGGATTGAAGGTAAATGGGAGTAATGTTTAACGAGTTTGAGAAAATACGCTGATGACCTACTCGATATTGTCCTTCTGCCATTGTCCAATCCTGAGATAAGCAGCCGTACCACGCCGTTGCATAATCGACATCCTAAATACAGAAAGTCGCATATTAAAGCGCACGTTCAGGGAGGGGCCGTGTACTCTTCCCAACGTGTACACCCTATGGACGTAGGGACCGCGCGCATCGCCTGCCCGTGCTGTAACAGGCCATTCCGCTCCCTGGCGGCGTGGGGCGCCCCTCACCCCCTCTCCAGGTTGTAGCTGTGGCTGACTGGTATCCATCCGCGCCTCCCGAGCGGGGGGCCCGGGTTCGACCCCCGGCCGCGGCAAAAATCTTTGCTTTTTCCAAAAAACGTCCTTGAACGTGCCCTTTAAGGGAACGGTCAATCCGAACAGTCAATCCAAACCCTAATCATCCTACTTACAGCCGAGACTTTTTCGTACGAAATACGGTAGCAAGCTTGGCCAAGACAGGTGCCATTCTTAACGTCATCTGAAAACTTTCAAAGCTGCCGAATGATCATCTACCCGTTGGTGGTATTCGACAAGTCACCGCTTGCTCATAAAGTGCATCCGTAGAATTTAGCGAATTGCAATGATTCTGCAAAATGTACTAGTTAGTAAGGAATTTTTTTGCAATTTTTCCTACCGTAATGCAATATTTGAGAATATTGCGAAAATCAGGTTCTTTTTGAATCGCGTAGAGGCCGCCTTCATAAAGCCTGAAAAACGAAACCATAGAGAAAACCAGCAAAACTTACGGTAAGTGAAAACCGTAGAGCGATGGGTACAAATTGAAGGGCTCATAGGTGTTTGAAAAGATGTTTACGGTAGAAGTGGTTGAATTTACAGACTAAAAATAACTTTTCAACCTCGCTTTTTTCCGAAAAGCGTCCACAGAATTGTAACTCACAAATTCACTTCCGGTCACCCCGCAGCTCGACGATTTTTCGATGCTGTCCCTGAACGTTTGCTCTTGCCAATTTATCGAGGGTTTTGAGAATAGTGGCAGGCCGTTGTTAGGATAATCCTAAACGTTGCTTTGACTAAGGAAGGATATTTCCGCTCACCGCATAACTTATGTAGAAATCCGTGCAGTTCAGCCCTTCCGATTCGATGTTTATAAGCGGCAGGGCTACGCGAAATAGGGTTGCCGTTTTCTTCTTTAGATCCAACGTTGGCATATCTTCGTTACAATTGTCGGTGTGGCTGAAAAGATATATAGATTTAAGCTTCCCGCAACGCGTTCGCTACCCGTTCGAAACTTACCAGACAGCACTTTAAAGGGACGGTCAAGGTATTACCTGTTAAGTTAAAATGCTCTTTCATTGCGTAATGTTTTTCCCTGAGAATTTTTGACGGGGGCCACGCCGGTGCTGTGCGTTATGGCCCGCGCAAAATTTCAAATTGCTAGAAATGCTGCATTATGTAAAGACCATAATCACTACGTATCAATCCCTTCTACGTTCCGCGTAAAGTACTCAATAAACCAATGAGACCTTACTTGCAAAAGCAGACCATAAGTGGGGCATATTCGAAACCCGGCCGGCCGTCAGTTCTCGGATAACTGGCCGATAGGCGGTAGCAGCCGATTTTAAAGTCGAATCCCGAGATGCAGTCTCGATTTTGCTGGTGTAATTGCTCGTCGCGTCGTAACCAACACATTTCACCCTCACACTCGGTCCGGTTTCTTAATTTGGTTTGATGGTCACTGCTCAATTTCCTCGAATACCATTTATGATTACAAAACTGGTACCCGCTTTTTTAAGTTCTACATATACAACTTGTCGTCATTATCAGCAATTTTTGAAAGTGCTTTCAAATAGATCCCGGAGCCTTACCGATCCCCCAGTATGGTCGATGACAACGCCAGGTGTTGGCTGATACATTTTACAGATTCTGCAATTCGTGGAAAGTTCAGGAGCAGCAAGCTAATTAAATATAGTCTCATTGGCATCAAGAACCGACAAATCAATGATTAGCCTAGAGCCTCGTCCCTTGGTGCGAAAAACAGCCTTCTTTCCAATGCAATTTTCGGGCATAATAAGGCCACGAAATACCCGGGGAGGGTGAAATGCCACGGCTGATTTACGGGCTAAATTGGGCTTCGAAGACGGCAGGTACCGGATTGTGAAATAGGGCTTTCATTGTGGTTTAGAATTTATCAAAATATGAAAGCGATATCGTAAACAGAAGCGTAACAAAACAAAGTTGTGGATTTGAAATTTTGGTTGTCGCCTCTAGGGTCGGGCCTCTCGTTGAGTTATTCGGTATATCCAGAGATATTTCCGAAGTTGTGCCATTTGTGTCGGTTTCTGGAGGTGCACTCGTCGCTTCTTTAGGGCAAGTGAATGAATATTCTCCTCCGGATAGAGCTAGAATTTGTTTTTCGCCAAGTTGAATGGAACTGGGACGGCAAAAAAAAGTGCAATATTCAGCGAAAACTTCAAGTTAATCCATGCTTCGTAGAAACTGAATCATACTCTCTCTCTCTCTCTCTCTCTCTCTCTCTCTCTCTCTCTCTCTCTCTCTCTTCTTGCTGTCACTCTATCTCCCTCACTCTCATTCTCTCTCGCTCTATCTCTCTTTTTTCCTATCAAAAAACCTCTCCAAACAGACCTTTCTGGACATCCGCCCATGTCTCCACGTTCTGCCCTCTAAAGGGTGGATAATTCGGACGACAGTTAGCTATAGATCTTTTTGCCATTGCCTCGTCAACATTGCACATATCCTCTGCACAAAGGTACAGCCGAATCCCAGTGATTTGAGAGTAGTAACCAATCTACAGTGAGTGAAAGTAAGATCATCGCATCGTGGCAGGGACGTACTTTGTACTGCGCCGTCGCCGTCGTCCAATCCTGCGAAAAACACCCGTACATAGAAACTGGATAATCCTCTCCATCCATGATAGTTTTGTAATAGATATAGTAGCAGGCCTGGCCCATGCACGTGGTGTCTTCGCCTGTTTATAAAATAGGGGATAGTTGCATACTTTAATTAATTTTCCTAGATACCTTCCGTCGGTAGCAGGCACTTCACAGCCTTTTCATCATACATCGCCGCATTCGAGGCTAGAAGGTTGCATTTGTCCTGAAAATCTACTTTAAGAATTTGCCTGACATTTTTGTCCAACGCTAGAGGTTCAAACACCTACAGAAAGACAATACTTCCCAAATGCCCGGTTTTGCTGCGTGCGCTGATAGGCATATAAGCCGCCCGCGTAATAGCTGTAAATGACTTCATTTAGAAAAATCACAGCGCTGATACACACACGGAAATACATCAAAACTGTCGAGCGTGGCGGCAAAGTGAAACGGCATGCCCAACTCGGACCAGACTTGCACAGTAAATGATGTATTGTCAAGACGCTGTTTAAAATGTTGTGTTGGCCGAAAAATCACGTACATCTTCATTCCCCGACAGCGTACAGCCAGAAGACTTTTTCAGCTTTTTAGAAACCGTCTTTTTAAGCGCCCAGCTCGAATTTGACATTTCAGGAATATAGCTCTAAAATGTTGTGAGGCTTAAGTGCAGTTTACCGCCCCCAGCCGGCCCCAACTACCGTATCTCGGCTCCCTGTTCATCTACAGGTGTGTAAATTACGCCAAAATACGCGCCAGAGCAAGGCGAACATTTTGCTATCCTTTACACACCTGTAGATGAACAGGGGAGCCAAGATACAAAAATTGGGGGCCGGCTGGGGGGTGGGGTAGACTGCACTCTAACCTTTAGCTAAAGTCGAAACCCCAAAAAAGGTAAAATCGAACGAGTATGTAGAACTTACAGTGTCGTAGAAAGAAAAATCGTAGCACGAAAACTCGTCGATACCATAATTCCATAAGGGTACCGCAGTTCCAGCTAGTTTGGAGGTATTTTTCTTGGTGTCGAAAGTTGGGTAATTCTCGTTACAATTATCGGTATGACTGAAAATACTGCCAAATACCTTTGCTATGCTGCTTACTTGCAAAAACAAATATAATATTCTATCGTCTTTGGCTTCTCCGAGTACTGGTCAACGATTTCGAATCGGTGGCACCCAAACTCATATTCATAGCCGGTGATGCAATCTCGGGATATTTGTTTTTGGCCGCTGTTGTCACGTAATATCCAGCACATTTCGCCCTCGCACTCCGTTTTGTTCCTAGAGACGAGAAATGCCATGTATTTTTGTTTTATTTCCGTGTCGTTCTATGATGTTTGAATTGCCATTTTTTAGAAATTACTTACTTATTTGCCAAAGGTGAAGCAATATTGATGTGGTAGCTTATACATTTTAGCGATTCCAGTTGATTTGTTAAAATCGAAAACAGGAATGCGGTAAAACAAATATAAAAACGGGTTATCATAATCCGCTGTTGCCCCGGGAATGGGTTTGAGGGAGTCGACTAGCCGATCTTATAAAATTGTCACGTTTCCCCTCAAGTAAGTCAATTACAGCGTTTTGGGGAGTGGCTTTACGTGGTGCGGGCATGCTGGGAGATTGTGGGGAATTCTGAAATTGGTTTGGGCCCTAAGAAACCGGGATCCCATCAATGTCCATTGTTTCAAGCTTCGTTTCTCTTCTATAACACTGCAAATGGGCATGTTCACCATCACCTGGAGCAAACATTAACAAGGAGCGGTTTTTCGGAAGGATTTGAGTCGGCCGATGTGACCCTCCGCACCTTGAGCTTGAATTTCTAAACAAAACTCAGCTTGCAAAAATTTCATAATGGCTACAGTCAAGGAGAAAATTTGATTTGAAGAGCACGCTTTGCAATTTTTGTCAACACAATTTACAACTTTATTGCCATAAAATAATCAATAGAAACATGCAAACAAGGTTCCCGACTTCGGCACCCTTCGTCGTTGTCTCAATGGGATTCTGGGTAGACGAACCCTTGCAATTTAGCGAATATTCGCCGGTTGCCAGTGCTGAAACGGCAGCAATTAAAATCAAAATGGATCTACATAATTTCAAAACGCTTTACCGTTGCTTAAAGTGCTTTTCTTTCTGGCCACATTGACAGAAAACGCATACCTTTTTGAACATCATACCACGTCTCGACGCCAGGCCCCTTGGCCGGCGGATAATACGGCTGACAGTTCTGTATCGAAGCCATGGCTCTATTTTCATCCTGATTACAGTTATCCTCGGCACAGATGTACATCCTGATGTTTTTCGTCGGCGAATAATACCCGACCTAAAAAGAAAACGTATCACAAAAGTATAAAGCTTGAAAAAACGTCTTACCTTATATTGCGCGACCGACTCCGTCCAATCCTGCGAAAAGCAACCGGATATGACAATGATGTCTTGCTCAGTCTATGTATAGTAATTGATATAAATTGAAAAAATGAGAAAGGCACCTTATCGATCTTTTCATAGAGAATAAATATGCAGGCTTGGCCAACGCATTGCTTCGTTTCTGTAAAGGATCAATGAAGTGTTTTCGTTTATTAAATTTTGTTTTTTTGCAACTAAACCTAAGCCAAAGCCTAAGCCAAGCCTCGACCTAAGCCTAACCTAAGCCAAAGCCTAAGCTAAGCCCAGACTTAAGTATTACCTAAGCCAAAGCCTAAGCTAAGCCCAGACTTAAGTATTACTTAAGCCAAAGCCTAAGGCGATTAACGCAAGCCTAACAAGCCTAAGATAAGTCTAAAACCAGCCCTTTGTTAGTCTAAAGTTGGCTAGGTTCGCTGCAAAAGCCAAGTCACACTTTGAAAATCCCACCATCAACTAGACAAGTGATACCGTTCTCGTAAAAAGCGGGATTCGTCGTCAGCTGGTTGCAGAAATCCTAGGTATTCATAACAAGTAAAGCCCTCCTCTCTTACATTTAAACAAAACTTTTGCCAATACCGAACGCTCCAGTAAAATTGAACGGCATAGACCAAACCATCGTAGGTCCTAAATTAGGGTAATCACTCCAAACGACCTGAGAACGGATCGGAAAATACAAAAAATTACGGGATCAATTGACCGTAGAGTGAGGGGACCAAATTGAACAGCTCCGGATCGCTGTTCCGACCGATGATTATTTTCTCCTCCGGCTCCTTGTACTGGAAACAGATTGATTTTCCCGGAACTGGCGTGGCTGTTCTGACTCTGGTTTTTGGCCTCTAATCCTAAAATTTGAAATCATCGTGCTTACAGATTCCTCGATCTCCAGTCCGCAAGCCGATTGTTTTACTAGGGTCGGTGAAGCCGTAAAATTGACGTCCCACATGGGTTGTGGTTTCAGAAATGGGGGCTGGCCACCCTGGGGGTAGTCCTGAAAACGGAGGGTTGAGAGCGCACGCCTGCGCCGCGACGGCTATCCTGTCGCAATTAATTACGGACCGGAATTGCGATCGCTTGGCGTATCTCGGCCGCCCACACCCCCAAAGGAAGTTAGGCAAAATTCATAGCAATCTCCATCTTACGGACTTTGAAAAACCCACCACAGCATTGTTAAATTGAAAGCACCGGAACTGCTTTGCGCCAAGTTTTCGCAACGGTATTTGCGCACCACCCATTGTGGCCAGACCTTTCTTGGCATCGAAAGTAGGGAGATCCTTATTGCAGTCTGTTGCATGGCTAAATGGAATTCAAATGTATGGCTAAAAGACTCACTTGCAAAAGCAGATAAAATATTGGGAAGCTGTGCCGTCACCGGCTTGTATTTCGCGTAACGTACAGCCCGGTTCAAACTGGAAGTTGGTCGAGCAGTCGCGGGATACCTGGTTTGTTAGAGTATTTTTCATGATCCAGCATGCGTCACCCCAGCATTCTGTCTTTTTTCTGAAATTTTAATGTTGTTCGGACGAACGGAGAAAAAAATGCTAATTACTGTGTTTTAAAAGGAGCATCGGCTGGTTCCAAATTTCCTATCAACTGTAACCATTAGCCGCAACACTTTTCCCCCCTTTCAAACGCCTAATCAATTACGCGTTAGAAAAACAGCGTACACGTTTCGAAACAAATCCAGGGAAACCCGTCTCCGGCAGATAAAACAATTTTCCTTGGCGATTTATTTAAGACCAGCGCCCAAAACCCGCTTCGCGGGCCTTGGGCGCTGGAATGTGGCTTTTGCATGAGAAATTTGCCTCCTGGATAGCTCGGGTCCTTCGGACCCCCTCCCCCCGTCCGACCACACGCGCGCGTGCAACTTGCAAGAATGAGGAAATTTGTATTTTTTCACATTATGCAAATTAACCCTCAGGGACCTCAAAAATGAGTAAAACCGGCTTTAACTTTGTAAACTTGTATTTTATCGAAATTCTGAAGACGCCATCGGAAAGAAGAGGGTCGATTCCCCCCAGTGACGGAGAATTAAGACGTTTTGGACACGGGAAGGCCCTCAAATCGGATCCCGAAACTGACATCCACACACACACACAAAGATACACGCCAAAATTGTATAAGGTAGGATTTTTAAATTTGCTAAAAACTTTAGAAGAACGTTTTTCAGACTCACGTATCGGCCAGAGGATCGGCATTTGTGTGCTCACTATAACAGTGCACCGTACTGCCAGCAAATCCGACCAGATTTGAAAGACATATAAAAATTTCGAGTTGTGCCCTCATTGCGCCTAGCAAAAACTCTGCTTCTCGCCCTGCCCATTGAAACCGTTTGACCTTTCGGATGCAATTTTCGTGGACAAGCCGATCGGAAAATTACCCTCAAATTACTTGCCGCCTGTCGAAAATTGCATTTTTGTCGGGCTATTGTAGCGTTGCGGTACGTTTGAGCCTTGACAAAATTGAATTTGGCGTCTGAAATGGAAAAGTCGGCACTTTTCCGCACTTCTTATGTGGGGTTTTGCACCCTTATACGTGAAATTTTGGCGAAAACACATAATAAAACTTTAGCGCCATAAAATAGGAAACAAAAAAGCACAAAGAAATTTGTTATTTTCGACGCTCTTGGTCGTCGTCTCGGGGATCGAATTCTGGGTCGGTGCAATTCCGGTCGTCAAAGCCGTCGCCGTCGGTCCTTTGCAGTTCAGGGAATATTCACCAGTTGTGAGTGCTGAAAGGTTCAATAAATGTGAAATTCGGGACTTTCGAATGATAGTGATGTCAAGGCAAGAGAGACCCATATTTTTAGTGCGAAATATCGACAGAGACCCATATTTTTAGTGCTAAATGTCGCTGTACTGGTGAAACTGTTGCTTAAAGGGCACGTTCAGGGACGTTTTTTTTAGAAAAAAGCAAAGATTTTCGCCGCGGCCGGGGGTCGAACCCAGGCCCCCCGCTCGGGAGGCGCGGATGGATACCAGTCAGCCACAGCCAGGGACGTAGCGTAAGGTGGGCCCCCTGGGCCCGCCCCCCGAAATCGGCCGGGGCCCAAAAATTTCATAAGGGGGGACCCTTATGATTTTTTTTCTCAAACATTTTGCTGCCTGCGGCGCTATTTTTTCACGTTTTTACTGCTATTTGTAGAGCTATGTAGCCTCTTTTCCCAAATCTTTTCGCCTGCGGAGCTGTTTTCTCGTGAATTTTTTGGGTTTTTCGCAAACAATTTTCGGGGCCCCCCCCCGAAATTTTTTTCTGGCTACGTCCCTGGCCACAGCTACAACCTGGCGAGGGGGCGGGGGGCGCATCCACGCCGCAAAGGAGGCGAATGGCCTGTCTCAGCACGGGCAGGCAATGCGCGCGGTCCTTACGTTCATAGGGTGTATTCGTTGGGACGAGTATACGGCCCCTCCCTGAACGTGCGCTTTAACCAAAAACTAAGCCTTACAGCGCTGAAAAAGGCACATCTCTGTCGTGTACTTGAAATGGTTTTCCCGAGATGAATAAAGAAAAGGCATACCTTTCTCAACGTCATACCACGTCTCTACTCCGGGGCCTTTTACCGGGGGATATTTCGGCTCGCAGTTCTGAATTGATGCCTTGGCTGTGTCCTCATCTTGGTTACAGTTGTCCTCGGCACAGATGTACATTCTAACGTTGTGCGATGGCATATACATCCCGATCTGAATGGAATCTTGGGTGAATGAAAAGAATTTTAGCATAGCGTATGCAGAAAACGATGTGAGGCTTGGATTCGCGGAATTCTCGAGATTTGGCCGATGTAGCGTCTCAAAACGCCCTTAGCATTACGTCGGCGCACTAATGAGACTGCGAAGCGCCCGACTGCCAATCCTAACCTTATATTGAGCATCCGAATTCGTCCAATCCTGCGAAAAGCACCCGGATTGTGCCACGACATCCCGTTCATCCTAGAACGATCAACTTAGGCTTGAGAATCTAATTAACCTTGTTCAGCTTTTCATAGACAATAAATATGCACGCTTGCCCTACGCATGATTTTGTTCCTGAAAGAAGCATTAAAAAAAAGTTTGATTCCGTCCCCATCAAATACCTTCAACCAAGCATGTGATTCCATTCTCATAAAAACCCCGGTTCGTCGTCAACTGGTTGCAGCGCTCCTAAAAAATTTCGCAAGAAAATTATACAATCTCAAAAACGCTGCCTTTAGACAAAACAGCTTCCAGTGGCGAGCATCAAAGCTGACCTGAATTGCATATACGAGCCCATCATATAACCTGAACAGCATAAAAATCATGTTTTATACCATTCCTTTTCAAATTCTTTGAAGTTCCATGCTGTATTTTATACGATATCCAACGGCAGGAGAACTCACGGCGCTAACTGTCCATAGAGCGTGGGCACAAAATTGAACAGTTCCGGCTCGATGGGCCAGCCCCAAACGGTATACTTACCATCTTCGTACTGAAAATAGGATAAGCAGGTTTTCTTGCTAGTTTTTGGTCCCTTTGAACTTGTTTAAGGGCCCTTTAAAAAATAATAATCCTATCCTATAAGCGAGAAAAGTATGTTTGTTTTCTGTAATGACGATTTCTGCCGAATTTCACGCTAATTTTTGGCATGAAGGCGGGGAAATACATTCGATGGTGGGGATCACGCGCATTTATTATGTTGGCAAAATTTCAGCTGATCCAGACTAGAAAACCGAATTTTGTAAAGCGACCTCCGGGATCATTGGGTCGTCGTTTTCTTTTCCTTCCCCCCCCCCCTGCCTGTCCCAACAGAATAGGGCTTTCCCGCCGCCCGTTCACAGCTGTCCCATGGTGTGGTGGATTTGCGCCAGGTCTACCATGCGCATGGTCGTGAGTTCGGATCCTGGGAGCATTGAAGTTTTCGCTTTTTGGTAGTTACAACAAAACATATTTCTAGGCTCTCGGTGTGCGAGGTTTAGACCTGACCCTCGCTCAAGCGCCGCAGGCCAAAGAAAAGGTCCTTGGCCCAGGCTCTCGCGCCGCAGGCCAATGATGGGTCCTTGATCTAGGCTCTTGCGCCGCAGGCCAAATCCGGGAGAAAAACCAGTAACTAGCGCCGCAAGCAAAAAGATTCTAGCGCGAGGCTTAGGCCTGGCTCTCGCTCCAGCGCCGCAGGCCAAAGAATGGGTCCTTGGCCCGGGCTCTGGCGACGCAGGCCAAAGAATGGCTCTTTGACTCAGGCACTTGCGCTAAAAAAAGAAGGTATTCGAATTCATTGTTCCTGAACGGGGTCCAGTGGAAAAGGGCCGCGAAGCGGGCTTTTTCCACTGGTATAAATAATAATAAAAAATAAAAAGCCCACATATTCCTGGATTTCCATTCCACAGACTGCCTGTGGTACGAGAGTTTTCGATGCGGTGAAATTGGCGTCCCATAGGGGGTCTGGCAACAGGAAAGGGGGTTGCCCACCTTCCGAATATTGCTGAAAATGGCGGGCGACATAAAAGACCACAAATAAAATAAAATATGACCATAGAAAGCTTCTAAAAATGTTTCTAAAAATTTTATTTTTTTTTTGCCAGAGGTAAGAATAAGGTAGCAAATGCACAAATTTTAGTAACATTATAAAAATTTTGTTTGAAAATTCTCCGACCCTAATCGCGTATAAACAATTTAACTTTAATTTCCTTATCAAAGCCCACCCATTGTTTGTTGAAATCTGTTGCGGAGGCGCCTGTGAGCGCCCGCGCCCTTTTCCCTTGGCTCCCCGGTCCCTCGCCTATCCAGTGCCCTTTCCACCGTAACGGGGTCTCTCTCCCCCCAGGGGCCTGCGATGGCATTTATTTCCCCAGTTCAGTTCTAATTTCCTCCTCCTCTTGCCGCCATGTTGCTCACCGAATAAACAGTCTTTCGAACTGTTCGTCCCGCGCTGACACACATCTATCAAGACACAACAACTGGCGAGCAGGATCACGAACTCACGCAACAACAAGGAAACCCCCCAAGCCAAGAAGCAGCCGCTCAAGCCGCCGCCCGGTCAAGGAAAAAGTTGGTCAAGCAGATGGTGATCAAGCGCAAGGATAAGAAGCTCTGCATGGCAAGAAGCGGCGTCATCCCGTGGAGGATTCGATTAAAAGGGAAGTATTTTTACCCCTATCTGGCCTTCGCACTTTTTATGTGCTCGGATCGCGCGGCCATGCCCGTCGACAAGAAGGACCAAGTCGAAGCGCGCCGTCTTCGCCTCAAGCGCAACGAAGGAAGGAAGGATGTCGCCACCAAGGACGACAGGAAATGCAGAGAAGGTCGAGACGAAAGGGTCACAATGAGGCATCCGGCTGCCCTCGCCCGCTCGAACTCCGTCAAGACCGGCCGCGAAACAACTTCACAAAGAAGTACGGTTATGTCCTCACCCACAAAGGACTGGATTCGCTTGCAAAGAGGTTAGGCGTGGAGATTGTCCCTCCCATATCCCCGGAGGATAAATCGGACAGGGTATGCCCCCACCCGCAGCATCCACAACTTCGATGGATCCGCGCCAGAAAGGAATTCGGACCGCTGGACGATGGTCATCGATCGCACGAGGAGCCCCACGAGCCCCGGCGAACAAAAAGCGACAACATCAAGTCGACAAAGCCCGGATCGCCACCACCAAGAGCAGCCGGCCGATGGGTTCCACCTCTACGGAAGAGGTCCATCGCAAAAGACCGAGTGTTTGCAACAGCTCGGCGGACGGACGCGCACATCAAGCAGCCCGTCGACATGATGCCCAACCTCAAGCTCATCATTCTTGCAAAGAGGGAAGGAAGTCGTGCCGTAAATCGCCGCCTTCCTTGGTCAAGCATCGCCGGACGTTCTGAAGGAAGGAAGGAAGGATGACTAAGCCTACGCTCGCCAATTATTAAAGGAAAAAGCAAATAAGTTTTCACTTATTTTACGTTGTGACTTGATCCCTCGTTTGTGCTAGTACGCAGTTGTATTTCCTTTCGGTGTCTCCTCCTCCTATCCACATTTCTTTTCGTTTGTACAGGGGGAGGTGTTGCGGAGGCGCCTGTGAGCGCCCGCGCCCTTTTCCCTTGGCTCCCCGGTCCCTCGCCTATCCAGTGCCCTTTCCACCGTAACGGGGTCTCTCTCCCCCCAGGGGCCTGCGATGGCATTTATTTCCCCAGTTCAGTTCTAATTTCCTCCTCCTCTTGCCGCCATGTTGCTCACCGAATAAACAGTCTTTCGAACTGTTCGTCCCGCGCTGGACACACATCTATCAAGACACAACAAAATCATAGCAATGGAATTCTGCGAGGGCGAGTTTCCGCAACGGTACTTGCTTGCCTCCCAGCGTAGCCAGATTTGCCCTCGTGTCAAAAGTGGGTATGTCCTTGTTGCAATCGTTTGTGTGGCTAAAAATTCATCAGACTAGCTCGAAAATTGCTTACTTGCAAAAGCAGATGAAGTATTGACCGGTTGTGCTGTCATCGGCTAGTACGTCTCGCAACGTGCAGCCGGGTTCGAACCTGTAGCCAAGCGAGCAGTCGCGGGATACTTGTTTTGTTAGCGAGTTTTTCATGATCCAGCACGCATCGCCCCCTTCGCATTCTCTCTTTTTGCTGAAATTGCGTTGTTAAAAGGGGCTTGAAAGGGTTGATTTCTTATCTCGCAGCGTCTCGACAGACTCGAGCTGCACCAAGGGTTTGAAACCTCAGTTGTATCGACGCTTAATGTTCATAAGATTTAGTATCTTGTCATGTGCAAGACTTTGGCCTCTTTCCTGTCGCGTGGATTAGGTTTTGATGCTATATTTTACGGTTTTATGCAGCGACCCGCAACGCAAACGCCGCGCGGAATTGTAATCGGTTACGTTGCTAAAACGCGGGGTGCGCGTTGCGTGTCGGGCTCACAAGAATGATCTGAACATACGGCAAACAAAAAAATTCGATACCCTTGCATGGTCAGCCCCTTTAAATTGGGGGCATCCGTAACACCGCAAACTCGTGCTTAAACTTTCAAACCCACGTGTCGGCCAGCGGAGCAGCATTGGTGTGCTGACTATAGCAACTTAATGTACCACCCGTGAATATAACCAGATTCGTAAGAAATATAAAAATTCCTAGTTGAACCCTCATCACTTCTGCACGTAAAGCAGAACCACGGTTTCTCGCTATACCCAGTGCAATCCTTTTTGACCTTTAGGTCCAATTTTCGGGCCCCAGCTTATTGGAATATTGGTTTGAGATTAGCTTCGGTTTGTCGAAAATTGAATCTTGTGGTATAGCGGTACCTTTAGGCCTCGAAGAAATGAGTTTGGGCCGGAAATGGCGGAAAGGCGGCCTTTTCTCTGATTGTCGGCAGATATTGGGATAAGGATCCATTGCAACAAACTTCAAATTTGAACTTTGAAGCTATCACAACGCTTTGCACCCATTTTTCGGCTGTTGATGGAATTTTCGGCAATCCTGGGTGTTGGTGGCTTGTTATAGTTGATTGGAAAGCTCAAGGTTCTGCTTCAGAAATCGCCGAAGCATTTATTGGAAAAAAAATGACACAAGAAAAGCCACAAAAATTTTATACGATTGGCTAGCGGTTTTTGTCGTTGTTTCTGGTATCGCAGCTTGGCTGGCGGCCGTTACTTCCATAGAAATTTCTGTAGGACCAGAGGTTCCAGATTCGACCCCAGGTGTCTCTGTCGTCGTCATTATCTCTGATGGTAGATTAATAGTGGTTGTAGGGTCAGTGGTTGGCCCGTTGCAGTTAAATGAATATAGGCCGGTGGCAAGAGCTGAAATTGGTCGCATTAGGCCAACACGTTTTAAATCCTCGCTTTATTTACCAATTTTGCACTAGATTGGAGCTATTGGACCGTTTAGTGGGGTGTAAGTGATTTTTTTCATGGGTGCGAACCTTTCTCTACGTCAGCCCACGTCTCCACACCCGGCTTTTGCAGCGGTGGATAATTCGGGTAGCAAGTCTGGACCGATTCCAGTGCCGCGGCTTCGTCGCGGTTACAGAGATCCTCGGCGCAGACGTACATATGGATACCATCCATTGGTGAATAGAATCCGACCTGAAATTTTATTGACAAATCGAAAGAGAGAGCTAGAGCGAGAGAAAGAGAGAAAGAGAGTGCGAGAGAGAGAGCCAAAATCTACCTCATATCGTGCCACCGCGTTCGTCCAGTCCTGCGAAAAACAACCAGAAATGATGATTTTATCTTGAGTTTCCTAAAAAAAATCCACCCGAAAGCAAGTGACGATTACCACATCTATCTTGCTGTAGAACCCGAAGAAACAAGCTTGCCCTCGGCACCGTTTTCCGTCTAAAACTAGCCGCTAGTTTCTCAGGCCTTTCCGGCGCATTATAAATTACCTATCGCCAAGCATTCCACACTATTCTCATAGGATGCCAGACTTGTCGTGAGGGCGTTACAACGGTCCTGTATTAAAAAAATTGCAGAGAATGCTGGGCAGAGCTGACCGTCAAGCAAAATTGTTGTGTGAGTCGATAGTCCCAGCTGAACTGCTTGGTAATGGCGAGCCCATCATACATCCTAAAAGATCCACAAAATTTTATCAAAAACAGCGTTTAAAACTTCCCTGGTATTCCCAAATGTCTTTTAATTTCCGGACTATGAACGTTCAAAAACAAAAATTAAATCTACTTACGGCCACTCGTCGCCGTGGAGCGATGGGGCAAAGTTGTAGAGCTCGAAAGTGTGGTCCCACATCATCACCTCGGTTTTTGTCTCGTTTTTGAGCTAAAGACTTGTAGGTAAAGTTACGTAAGGTTACCTTACCAGTTCCCTCACCCGCAAGCCGCAGCTCGATGCTTTTTGCATGGTCTTTGGTTTCATCCCAGCCACTGGCCAAGATGGGTTGGGTTTTAGAAATGGCATAACGCCATCGTTTGAGTAGATCTGAAGCGTTTTTTTAGGAAAAGTGCTTTTTTTAAAGAAAGCGGTACGGCGGAGCTATGGATTTTCGATCTGCCGCGACGCGAGAAGCGTATAAATAGGGAAAATCGTACGCGACACGTGCAATTGCGCAAAATCCTGGCGGATTGAGGGTTTGCGCGTCGCGTGTGTCCGATTTCATAGATAACATGCGCCTACCTGTGTGTCAAGGAAATCATAGCATTTCAGTTCCTCGGCTCCAATCTTCCGCAATGGTATCTGCTTGCCGCCCAACTTTGCGACGTTTTTCGTGGTATCAAAAGTCGGCAACTCGCTGTTGCAATTGTTTGTATTACTAAAATTATGAAATCTTATAGAAAATAGGTTGCCCACTTGCAGAAGCAGAGAAAATACTGGGTCGTCACGTTATCCTTGGTGATCTCAAGTAAATCACAGCCAATCTTGAATTGGAAGCCCCACATACAGTCTCGGGATACTTGTTTCGTTTGGGCGTTTTTTAGAATCCAGCATTTCTCGCCGACGCATTCGGTTTTTTTGCTGAAATCTTCACGTTTTTAAGGCTAAAGTGTGGCAGATAATCCTCAGGATAAGTTATCTTAATTTTATCTTTATCCCCTTATCTTAATTATTTAAACGAACCTAAAAAATAACGATTAAAACATTTTGAAATTAGAAATTTTTCGGAAGTCAAATTCAAATCAAACCCACTGTTCCGGAAGCGGATAAGCATTCGTATGTTGACTGTGGCATTTTAACGGATCCACCAAGTTAAAGTAGCTGAGAAAGAAAATGATACCGAGGAGCTGGTAAGGCATCGCCTTTAAAGACCAGAAGTCCTATTGGACCCGATTTCTCGCCGCAACCGAGCCAGGCTGATCAATTTAATTTACGGCGTAAAAGCCCTGAATGTCACTGAGAATTATTTTATCGGCATGGCATTTGTACCCATAAACACACTCAACCTGGAAAGATTTTTGGTCGCCAAGGGATGTTCTACATACTCCGGTTTTTGACCTGAAATTTATCTCAAATCGTCCTGTTTCTCTTACTGGGTATCTTTCTCAATGTTTATTTCCCCTTTTTCTCGCTCTCGCTCGCTCGTTCTCTCTCTCTCTCTCTCTATCTCGCTCCCTCTCTCGTGCGCTCTAACACACTCTGTCACGCTTTCTCTCCCACTCTCTCTCTCTCTCTCTCTATCACTCTCTAACTCTCTACTTCGCTGTCTGTCTCTCTGTCTGTCTCTCTCTGTCTGTCTCTCTCCACCACTTTTTATCTAGCGCACATATATATTATATTACTATTTTTTGATGGCGACAATCGCCCGAGCCGACGTAGTTGTGACAGCAATAGAAGACTTTTTCGGGGGCCTAAAGCATTAAAAATTCATGATTTGATTTTTCAAAATTCATTTATCGATCAGATCTACCGAGATATACGAAATCTTTAAGCGAATTTCAAAGGTCACAGCAAATTACCTGCCCGTTATAATTCTCACTACCGCACCACCGATCGACTTGTTAAAAAAGATGTTTAAGAAGGGTTGGAAGATAGAAACACCCTAAAAGTTTAATATAGTTTTTAAATACAAAAACAGCCTACCATTGTCGTTACCATCATCACGCATGGAAAGACTACTGACGTATTAACCGTGGTGAAAACATACGGAGCGATGAAGTTGAACAATACAGCGTTTCCGCCCATGAATAGACTGACTACGAACCCCTAAAAACTTAAGTTTTATCGATTAGATAATTTTGGGTGCGTCTTCTCTACGGTGAACAAACCTGGAGCAAAAGCACCATTTCTCCGGCCCGCCGTTTCACTAACGATTTTTGGTTATGGCTTCGGAGGTACCGGATATAGCCAAAAAGTAGAATATTTGCGATCAAGACAAGGAACGGGTAACCAAGTCGTTGGTACGTATCGTACTGAATAAACGTCAATTTCAATGTTCTCTCTCGTTTTCTCACTCTCGCTCGCGCGCGCGCTCTCTCTCTCTCTCTCTCTCTCTCTCTCTCTCTCTCGTTCTCTCACTCTCTCGCTCGAGTTCTCTCTCTCTCTCTCGCTCTCTCTTTCTTTCGCGCTCTCTCTTCCCCCATTTTGCGCTCTTTCATTCTTTCCCCCTCTCTTTCTCTCTCCCTCCCTCTCTTCTCTCTCTCTCTCGCTTTCTCTCTCTCTAGCTTCATCGCATCATCCCATTTTAACCGTCTAAAATTAGGACTCACATTATGAAACTTGAACTCTTTCGTCTGCGCAGGAGTGCAATCATACGAAAATGACAAATCTAAATCTTTCAGCTTCAAAGTTTAATTTTCCTAGTTACCCTTAGCCCTGAACCCCTTCGGGCAATCCGTAAACGTCTCAATGCAGGTTTCGATGACACCGAGCACCCAGATCGCAAGCAGCAGCCTCAACTTAGCGGTTTACAAAGGTTCTAAATTTACTTACGCGTGCAAAGATCGGCCCGAGAAAATCTTCTCATTAACTTGCGGGAACCGGAATATGGTTGTCGTATTCACGGTGGCGAAGAGCACGAGAAGTACGCCGACCTGAGCACGTTGCATTAGTATTCTCTAGGGTATCGAAAATTCAGTGAACACGCGTGTTAAAACATTTTTTGGTGATTAAAGTACAAACTATCATTGCCATACCTTAAAAATTATATAATCACAGGCAATCGCAATTTTATATAGCGGCCAGAGGGCAGTACCATCGTAAATCTAAAAATCGAAATTATACCAGTTAAAACACCACGATTTGTTGCTTTCTGATTTTAAAGCAAATAAACAATTATTAAACCTACATCTCTTCCAGTAAACGTTATCGGAAACGTCAAAACCAGATGCATAAACCCCTAGAAAACCAAATAAAAAGTTAAGAATTTTGCTTGGATACCTGTACCAAATTCACGAGCGCGTGGTGCATGTGGAATTTGTAGTAGGAGTGCTTGGAGAGCGGGATATACTTAAAATCCAAATAAAATTCGTCCTTATCAACACTGACAAATGCGATGGCCAGAACTATGAGCAGATTTGTGGACAGCATGATGGCCTCGAGGGGCACGTAGATGATGAACGCGATGAGGCGCTCGTTGTAGGGGATCTGGAACAATGTGTGAGTTAATTGGTGGGCTTAAGCTTTGATTAGCTTTAGCTTGGGTTTAGCTTCGGTTTAGCTTAGGCTTAGCTCATACTAAGCTTAGGCTTATTTTAGGCTTAGCTTAGGCTTAGTTTTATAACTTTACAGATTCAATTTCGGCTCTCTCAACACCTTTAATCTAATAAATAATCTGAGTTAACGCTTACATAAGCCGTTGCCGGCTTTTCTAAATCACTCACCGGTGACATGTCCCCAGCCATCGTCGCCATCGCTTGATCTACGGTCGAATTCAGAACTGTTAATAATTGTTATGCGGAATGGTTGCCCGTCAAGTACAATCAATTCAAATGGCCAGAATCGACACGCACGGCCGAAGCAACGTAACAATTATTCCCCCGAGGGTTGATTGGTGCGCAAGTTGCTCCGCGGAGTGGTGAGTCGGGCTCAAATCGCGATGAGAAGGTGAATTCCGAAGATCGAAGATCTTTTTGGTTAGAGAATGCTTGTTTTCGCTGCACTTAAGCAATTTTTTAGAGGCTGATTACTGATTAAAATCAGTTTCTGGGCTAGAATCGACTTTTCTCGGGTTATGGATATTGGGGTCCGCGGCTAGTAGAAGCAATTAAAAGGTATGGATTTTTCAAAATTTTTGACTGTATTTGGGTCAAATATATAAATTCAGAGGAAATAATTTTGGCAGGAAGCTGACACAGAACTTCAGCAAGATGATCCGAAATGATAAGATTTTGAGAGTTTTTAGTGCTTTTTGGTCGTTTCCCAATCACAAACTGACAAATTTCAAGTTTTTTTTTGAGAATATTCCTCATCTTCATAAACGAACAAATGTCCTAAAACTATGAAAGAATACTGAAAATAAAGGTGTGTCACGTCAAATCGCATGTTTTGCCCCTAGATTGGCTAGATCAAAATCGAAAAACTAAAGCCTTCGAAAATTTTTCATATTGGATTTTTTCTAAAAAAACCGGAAGCCAAAACTGCACGCACAATCGGGTCATACCAGCGGAATCAATTTTTTCAGCCGTGAAAAGCGGCAATACCGCCCGCCCGCCCTCGAAGGTCGTTAACAAAATCGGACGGCAAGATTCTCGTTAATGTGGCGGAGATCAAACAACATTCTTGCCGGGGGCACTCAGATTCGAATCAAAACAAGGAAGCGCTGGAAAACACGGGGTTTCTTTGGCCTGTCGGTAATTGCCGGAATCTCATCGGAATCCTTGATAGTTCGAGTTGTGCGGGTAATTGTACGGTTCCGTTTAGTTTACATTCACTACGAGTTTTTTAACGTTATCGTCAGGAAATAAGGGGTATCTAGCTTCCCTAACTTGCAATCATTATACCGTAGCCGAATGGTACTTGGCTCCTCTCTGATCATATGACCTCGAATTTTTAAAGGGATCAGGAAGACGTCCGTCTAGATTTTGTGGTGACTTTGATGTTTTGGCAGCGCCAAGTAACGCGCGTGCGAGCTGCAGCTACAGCAACCTGAGGAAAGCTAAAATCCAAAGACATTCGAAATCCGTCAACTACGCTCCGGCCAGCAAAACTTTCGAAGTTTCACAATATCGACAGTCCAAATATATCAATAGCCAAAATATCGACGTTCCAAAATCCGGAATAGAAAGTTTGAATTAGCGTCAGATGGCGACGGGCTGTCTTTTCTGGCAGTCGGGAGTTTGACTTGGAAGCTCTGCGCGTGGACGTAACCTTCCGTTCTTCAGAAGATTCGAGTGAAACAAGTGACCGGAGTATCCAAAGCATCCTAAAACAACTAGCTTTCACCCTGCGCGAAAATTTGATACCGAATTTTTTTGACTCGCGAAAAGCTATTCTCGCCAACATCGCGCGATTAGTACATTATCGGATGAAAACGCGGTATTCCGCGGATAAAACAAATTTATTTCCGATGCCATATTGAGCACGAACAAGGAAGTATAGGAAAAAGGCCCCCGCCCGGGTACCGCATCATTTCGATTCTTTCTTCTTTGAGATAGCCGCCAAAATTCCAACCGCTGGTTGCAGGAGCGTAGCTTACGGCCGAGAGCCTGTTCAAAACAACGGAAATGCCACAAAAAAGTATGCATTATAATAACTGGTCCAGATTTCTTTTGGTCAGCATAATTACACCGTAATTTTGTCGTTTTTCACGCGCTGCGGTCGAACATTCGGCCTCGGATAAAACAGTAAATTGTAGGGAATCATTGAACAATGCTAGAATGCTCCTAAAAGCCCCTGGAGCGAGAAATCTAATAGCATAAAATTTTATAATATAGATCTTAAATTCAAATTTAATCTTTTTAGTAATTTTTTGTTTGTAGCGAGCAGTTCAAAGGTCAGGTGATTGGACAGGTCATCCTGTCCAAGCAGATAATTTTTGGACATAGCTCGTGTTCGTTCGCGTGTACGATGACTCGCCCCCGGCACATCACGTGGCGCAACAAAGAGCATTTTCTGGCTTAATTTATATGATTTTTTGTAATCTAAATTCTACAAAAATCACTGCGATTTAGTAGCAATTCACACCTGTTTTATTCATGTATACACACATCGCTTTGGCCATCACAAGTTGGGCAACGTGTTGAAAGAGGCAATACAATCACACGACGGTCAAAAACCGCAGATTCATAAGTAGGACAAGTTAAGAAAAACCGGTTTTCATGTCTTTTCAGGCATCGCAACAATTGGGCCGCTAGGGATGGAATGTCACGAAATATAACAAACGGCTAGACGCTAAATGACAAAAACAAGAATAGCTAGCGTAGGAACTGAGCAAAGGGGGGATCGACATTAATGTGTCTAAGAAAACAAGGGTTACTCGACAATATACCCGTGGAGATCCATTTTTGTCTTGTCGTATTTGCCCTGCAGCGTTTTTGTGTGCCACACGTAGAGTTCGTGCTTATCCTGGAAAGAGAGTGGGTAAATATAGCATGCAATTAAGAGCTTATAAGCCAAGATTTAATAAGCCAAAAATAATAAGTCAAGCCAAATCAATAATAGCTCCGCCCTTAAAAATTATGGTTTAAAGGGGTCATGACAGTAACAATTTTTCTTTCTTTGCGGAAATTCGAATTTTAATTTTCCGCAATCCCCGCGATACGCCAAAACGCGTCCGTTTTCTGTGTACGCATCAGTAACAGACGACGCGGCAGTAACGCGGCAGTACGCATTTACATGTCGTAATCGTATAAACCTAATTTACAAATTTACATAGGCTACACAGCCTGTCACGGATGCTAAAAAATGCTTCAGGATTCGCTGTCGAGAAGATCGATAACCAGGCGTAAATTAATACAGATTCAAAGATGCAAAAATGATCTTAAAAACGTGCCGTTTCCAACCCGAACGGCTCAAGATCATCCCTCGTCAAACCCAAGTCTTCCAGCAGGCAGGTCTCCGGCGCGCCAGCGCCCCGCTTGCACGATGACCCGAAGACGGCCGTGGAACTGAATACGATGGCATTATTCTAAGCAAAAACAAAATCAAAATACTGGCCCCAGTTCTAAAACGCTAATGTACGTTTTAGATTTAGCATGCATAACTTGCGCGCTTCCTAATTATTTTGCGTTGTAAAACCTTCTAAATTCTAAAGACCACAATTCAAATTTTCAAGAAAGTCCCAGGAACCCACTTCAAAATCACATTCAAATGAATCGCAAAGCCAGCCATATCGGTGGCGAATTTTCGCTTGGCGAACCAGTTGACGTTCCAGCCGACGACTTTGCCTTTTTGGACGGCCGGGGACTCGACGAGGATACCGCCGACCAGACCTTAAATTTTAGCAGAAATTAGTACGCCGTGAAATCAGTAAAGTACTGTAATAAAGTGTGAATTATTGCATTGTAAAAAAACGAAAAACCTACCGACTCCCCAAATTCCAATCTTCTTGACATTTCTGATGTATTCCTCAAAAAGTCTAAGATCATAGGCGTTGTCGTCATCGCCAAAATATACCACAGCGTCTTTGGAGTTTCCAGTTATCTGAAAAAGCGATAATTGATAGTAACGGAGCGTGTAATATAATAGAGGAGTTAATATATGACCCTTTTCCCCTGAGAACCACATACATTATTATAAAAAGTATCCAATACTGACCCGACTGGTGTAATTCCTCAAGTACCCCAGTGCAGTATCACGTTGGTACCAGCCTCTCCCTGAAAATACGTTTTTAGCTTTATTTCTCTGGCTTACTGGGATATCCTGGCTTCGTTTTTGCTGGAATATAAGTGTAAGGGAGTTGCGTTCGATTCAGCAACTTTTCCACGGCAGCCACTCTGGTCTCGCCGTCCTCGATGACGATCCAGTGCAGGTTGGGGACCTGGCGAATGGTGTTGGCCATTCTGAAAATCGAATCTTAGAGTTGATGATCTTGGAGGAGGGGGACTTTAAGATGCCGACAGCCCAATGCCAACAATACAAAATACCGACAGCAAAACAGTCGACACCCAAAATACCGACAGCCAAAATACAGACATGTAAAGTAGCGGTTTCAAGGGCATTGGCATTAAAACTAGGGTCAAGAATGTACCGGGATTTTCGTTGTCGATATTTTGGCTGCCGGGATTCTGGCTGGATTCCTTTTTGAAGCCAGCTATAATGAAAATTTGATAATTTTACCTGGTCATATCTGCTAGCCGGGTGTTTCTTCTATAGGTTGGTGTAATAATAATGATAGTCTTGGGGTTTTGAGGTATCCGAAGGGCATTACGATAGGAAGGGATATGGCTGAAAACCAAATTATAGCTTAAACTTGCTAAAAAACTTTGGATGACGGAAGAGTAAGTAAAAGACTGCCAGGAGAGAGAGAGAGAGAGAGAGAGAGAGAGAGAGAGAGAGAGAGAGAGAGAGAGAGAAATAGAGAGCGTGAAGGAGAGAGCGAGAGAGAGAGAGAGAGAGAGAGAGAGAGGGAGAGAGAAATCCTAATTTGAATAGCAACTCACCCCTCAAATCGCGAGGCAACAAAGAATATACTAACAAAAAATAGCACCAAGAATGTAGGTAACCGCAGGCTTCTTGGCACTGGCGGCTTAATGTCGCCTAAATACAGTGGTTTACCAAAAAAAAGATGCAAAACCCAATACCAAAAAACTGCGACATTCTTCCGGCTGTTCGGCATTTGTGCTCTATCTCCAATTTGTAGAGGGCCCGGGCGTATTTTTTACTGAAAAGAAGCGTGGGAATGGCGGCGATTTTGTGATTTGCCGTTTCAACACATTTACATTGAATTCTAGGTCATAAGGGTGAGCTAGCAGAGACTTTTTGGGTAGCGACGAACGTGTGGCTACGTTTAGAAAGTATCTTTCTAAGTTGCAACATGCAACAGCATAACAAAATTCTGGTGGAAGGCTTCCTAGCGATGTTTTGTAAAGGTTCTTTTCTACAAGGCAGGCTAGCAGTGTTTCTTTAGGAACCGATGAAGGGTGATAAAATGGAAATTAGCGAAAAAATTCGAGACCTTTAAGAGTTGGGACGGTATGTGGCATTTTTAACTTAATTTCGATAGAATTTTCAAAATTTGGAATTTCCAAGGCAGCGCAAGTTCTCCATCGGCTTTCTCTACGAGGAAAGCTAGCAACGGTTCTTTGCGGATTTTCATGCCAATCAAAAGCTTCTTAGCAACCTTTTTATACCATTTTTGGGATTAGGAACTTACCCCACACTATAACACTCTTCGTACTCCTTTGACGCGGTAATTTTGGCCGAATTTCGCGTACAAAATCACCCTCAAAACGCGGAAAAATCTTTCAACAAAATTCCAATGGCCGTCACTTGGTGTTCGGTTCGCTCGTCGTTTGGGGGTTATCTGAAATTCAGAAAATTATGCCAGCATGTACAAATCTCACAAAATAATCGAATGGCATGCGTGAGAATTCCGGAGGACTCAATAGAGTACCGGGAGAGCTCGAAAAATTCAAAGGTTTTTTGGTCGAATTGGCGGGGGCACAAATTGGGCAAAATTGCTCTTCGCAAAAAATGGGTAGCAACGTCCGCGGGGAAAGCGGTTTGTTCTCGGGCTTCACCGGAAGAAGCCTAGCGACCGGAGTGGGGGGGGGTTGAAAGAAACGAAAAAATGGGCCGCCCACACGTTGAACATAGAATTTTGGGGGGGCAATGGTTGATAAACGGCACTTTTTACAAATGAGTGTCTCAAATCTAAAATTCAAGGCCTTGGCAAGTCGAAAATACACGTAAAATTGAGATTATTTACTGCCTTTAACTCGATAGTTTGGGATAATTGGCGCTTTACCTAAGCTTGGATTAAAAAAGTACACGTTACACAAACGCCAGCTACAAAAAAAACGTATAATTAAAGGACCATAGGAAGCAAAACTAAGCCTAAGCATGGAAAGCTTTAATTATCCCTAATCGCGATCAAACTTTCAAGAGACAGGATTTCAAATTGATAAATCTTTCTTATTTATTTTTCAAATTTTGGTTAAAGGGTTTTGAAAGTTGCATACAGCACAAAGATTTAATGGTTTTTACATAAAAAAACTATTATATCTAGCTATGAGTCTATGGGCCAGACCGCCCCTTGAGTCACAGGCTAAACAATTTATAAACTATGGTCTCTGTGCGGGAAGCTCATTGAAGCGAAGCGGTGTGTTTGTGCCAAAAGCAGCTTTTTTGAGAGAGGTCCCAAAAACGAGGTCGTTCTCAAAAAAGAGAATAGAATGGCAAGAATTAAGTGACGCCTGTATAGAATCGCCTGGAACAAAAACTAAAGACTTGCAGCGAAATTTACATTTTTCATTGGTTCGGATTCGAGGGAAAACTAGCAAAGACGCTTTAGGAATATTTTGAGCCAGATCGATCTAAAGGAATGGGCACCGGTAAAAATCGACCCCTTCCACCCACTAGATCTCGACAACTATAATAAGCCACAAATAACGCTACTAATTTTTGTAGTTTGGCTACTGTTAAAATTCGATATATTCGATGTGACCAGGTGGGCAAGCGAGCAAAGATGCTTTAGGATTAGTTTGGGCAGGTCTAAAGAGATTCGAACTGGTTAGTATCGACCCGTTTCCATCAGCTAGATCTCGACAACTACGATCCGCACCAATGCAAGGCACAGTTTTTTTATGGGTTCGCTACAGATAGCGTCGGTAATGACGATAATTACAAGCGTGTTTAGACGCACTGCGTAACTGCCTACACTCAATTATCCTATGAGTTTGATTTCGGGCTGTATAACTGCTTGAAAAGTCAGAAGCCGCTTTAAAATCTGACTTGAAAGCTAAATCAATTTCCACAGAGTATTAAGAAGCGGAGAATTCTGAGGTTTGAGAGGATTGGCCCGGTTAGTTCCGGCCGGTGAGGGCAGGTGATTTGTGGCTGGGCCCGGGCAAATTGCTATACCGGCTGAAAATAATTGGCGAATAAAAGTTGGGGCCGAACACGGGGGCGATGGTCGGGGAAACAGAAAAAGCTCAAAAAACGGTTCTAGAATTTATGACAACAATGTTCGATCATCGGAGGCGATAATCCAGCAATTGGTTGGGAATTCCGAGAATAGCCGCGGATCCAATTTGCTCGGGAAAATGCCGAAAAGTTAATTAATAAAGTAACGGCAATAAGCACATAGAAGAGGCAATTTTAAGACTCGTATAATAGCTATCAAAACGTTATAAACTTATTTGAGACGCCCTACTTTTGCCCGTTTATACTTGGTGAACCTAGGAATGAATTGTGAGTGGGTGGCTGATTCATAATTGGCGAAAATCGGGGGGAGACAGATCGTCTTCCTAGCAAAAGACGTTATGAGGCCAAGTCCGGCCGGAAAAGTTGTTGTAGCAAATCGTAATGAGAACCTAGAGACAAAACTAGAGATTTTCAAAAATCTAAACCACCAAAAAGTGCAAACAAAACTGGAACCTGAAATGAAAATATTCAGCTGACCTTAAATCGGTAAGAAATATAAAATCGAGGGGGGGGGGGGGGGGGGAGGGGAAAAAAAATCCAAAAAGAAAAAATTTGAGAGGGGGGGGGGAAAGGGAGGAGGGGGTTAGAGGGTGTTAACAAAAAGTTTAATAGCCTAAAAAAACCCGGAAAGGCCAGTGAAATACAGTCGAACTCCCCTATTTTTGTCATCCAAAATCAAGATGACCTGAAGGGCCAGAAAATCCCAAAAAATAGATAATAAATTCCACACTGTCGCTAGATCCAAAAGACCGATGCCGCCCCCAGGAATATTTATCCCCCAAATCGATGGCCGGCCAGAATTTTAAGGACGGCCGGCCGGGCCGGAAGACGCTCCTTATCTTTAGAAGCGTCGGCGGGAAACGCCTTTTCCCCCCGTCGCCACCCTCCACCGGCTTGTTGCTATTGAAAAATAGACGTAAAGCGAAGGGGGGAGCTGCGTCATCTCTCACATGCTGGCCACCGGCCTGATAAGTTGATGATCAGCAACGGGTTCGTTGTGGTTTGGTAGGATGGATAGATTGGGGACGAAATTCAGATTAGTCCACAAGGCTTCTGGGTCCGGATTGAATTGGAAGAAGCGCTTATCAAGGTCCGTAATAAATCAGGGTGGCGATTTGCACCCGGGAGGCGAGAAGCTAACGAGTCTGGCTAAAAATTTCACCAAGATTTTTGAAAGTGCAGAACAGAAAATATTCTAAGAATTTCTTAGGGCCAGAACCACAAAAGAAATGAAAGTTGCCGCGTTCCGGACGCGTTGCGGTCCAGATATAAAGCTAGCTATAGTTTTTAAGGGGAGCTAGCTCGTAATTTTCGCAAATATTTGACGGAGGTGTTAAACAGCGCGTTATGCTATGGAATTTCAAGCCGAAACGCCTTCCCCCACTCACGCAACGCACACGGGTCGCACACGCGACGCGTCAGCGCGGAGCTGATGAACATCATTAACATCCCTTACAGACCGAAGATTTTATATTCAGCTCAAAATGTTCTAAATGGCTCTGGAATTCAGTCCAAAAAGCATTTTTTTTTATACAAAAAGAATACAGAGAATCGTTGAATCCTACAGGATCAAGTTTGAAGCCCAAAAACAGCTCCGGATTTTTAAGAAGCAAAACAATTTTCCATTAAAAAATCGCCTCATTATACAACCGGATCGCCCCGAAAAAGAACACCCAGAAATTATCAGCCCCACAGCATCGGCAGCCGCGTTATCAGCCCGGAATTACAATAATTTAGGAACGACGCACACCGCCACGCCCACCCAAAGTCACGCCAATTTTTGGAGTGATTCTCCATGCGTGAGTATGCATGCGATTTGGGATGGGGTGTAGAACGAGGATTTTTATTGAGTGGCCCGTAAAAATTTATGCGTGCGCCGCCTCCAAAATCTCCGGGCGCAAACAATGCGGCCTGGAGTGGATGATGGTAGTTACACCCGTAATCCCGGGTTGTTAAGGTTAATACCAAAGTGAGTGTGTATGGATGTTTGACCAGGGGCACACAAAAAACATTAGAATCAGGACTGGTCTTGCAATAAAAGGGAAAATGTCTCGTTGACCATTAAAAATGGGTATTTTTGGTGGCGGAAGCAGAGAACATTTTTGCATGACTTTTTAGAAATGAATTGGCTTTTGGTGTTGCACGTGGTTGTCGATACCCAGTCCAAAATGGTCGATTCAGATGCTTAATGGTCGCTTTAAAATATCTTAGGGTATCCAAAAATTGTAGAAATTTCGCAGGCGACTTCGGAAAGGACCCGGCCGTTGGATGCTTCAAAAAATGTTTTCGAGCCGTTGTCAAGGCAGGGGAAAAATTTGATAATGTAGGTAGGCCGAGAGGGGAGCGTTTTTAGCTAATTTTGCAGCCGTATCTGTTCACTTTCTTGCCTAAATTAATTACTAAGAAAAACTAATGATAAAATCCGTGAGGAGGACTTTAGAAAATGACCATCGATACATGTGAAGGAGCTTGAAAGCCTCTGCAAAAAATATTACAAAAAATAGATAGAAAAACGTAGAAAGTTATAAAAAGTCCTGCTGACAACTACATACTTCAATTCATACAAAGCAAAAATTTGAGAAATTACGATCAATTGGTTTATAGGGCGTTTTTCGATTATAGCACGATTCTTGATAACATGGAAAAACATCGCAATCGGCTGAAAACAATTCATCCAACTCTCTAAGCCACCCGAATTTCGCGAATCACCGTAATTAGTCCCCGGGGAGCCCGGGCGACAGATCCCATTCTTTTTGCATAAGGTGCTGAATTTTAAATTCGGTTTCCCCCTGGGGGGCCCAGGCTGTAGAATAATGGGCTCGAAAAGGGGAAGAGAGAGAAATGTCCCCGAGGAGTGGGGTCCCGTCACGCGAGACAGGGCCCCCCTGGAATCATTCTGCACAGCAAAAACTCGCCGGATGAATGGAGGTCAAATATACGGGGCGATGGAGGGGCCCCGAATTCGGGAAGTTCGTGAAGTGCACCGGGCGATTGTATGCACTTTTTCGGGAGGTTTTTCCGGACCAAAAAAAGGATTTCCGTGAGGTTCGAATTGACGGTGAGTAGCAAGTAAAAAACATGTTGTAAATTGTCTATTCACCACGGCATTCACGCGTAATTGGAGATTTTCTCATGGAAATACTTCGAAAAAGCGGGGATTAACGCCGCCTAATCTCTCTCACGTCTCCTGGTATCCCAGTGTAATTAGCATACATGGAAACGAGGGCAGAGGGTCAAAAGTAACGAACAATAAAGCCCGAATAATCCTAGCAAGCGCACCTCAAAGGAAAAACTAAAGACATGTTATCTGGATCCTTGCAAAAAAAAAACTAAAATAGAAATCCGTCGTTCCCAATAACGATATTTTCCGATAATCAGAATTTTTAAGGTTTAGTGCCATAGGAAAGGCTCTGCGTAAAATTAAAATACCCTCTTA